CACGGAAGAAATGACGATAACTGTCAGTGGTCAGTAGGCGATGCATAAGTTAGGCCTATTTACAGACCTACACGTTTACGATCGAAACCCGAACATAATATGACGGCCACAAAACGCCGCCAGACTGAATTCTGGTCAAACATATACTGCTTGCCCTTGGTAATTACCCTTGGTATCCATAAAATAATAATATGGAAAAAAGTCTTGAGCCTCCTTCACCTCTATATACATTATGTTCTGTGTATCACATATTAATATCAACACTGACGCTCATGATCAGTGAAAGTGACCGGCAAACTGCATTCTAAACCCTGCCACTGCTGAATAATACGATACATTTAGGCTAAATCATTTGACGATCTGCATGTACAGAAACATATCAACAAGCGGAGGCTGCTTCTGAAAAATTAACTTACCTCATCCGAATTCACAGATCATCTGTCCAGTTCCAGTTGCTGCACAATCTCTTGGTTGTAGACTTCTAATATGTCTAGAGTGAGCTTGAACTAAGATGGCTGGTGACAACAAATCTTCCGCGACAATGTGACGTCATTCTGACGTCACTTCACGAGGCAACAGGCTAAACTTTTCAGCAGTCGCTCTCACGCCGCATAAAATGGGCGCAATTGTTTTTTACTGTAATATTGCTTGTGGCAACATTTAGTAGACAGATAACTTCGTTATAGATATATATGTTTAAAAAAAATAAAACTAAGAGATGGTAGATCTACAAGTGGTTTCCTAAACATCATTTACCAAAAGTGTTGTAATGTCCAAAGCACAACGTTATCACAACGTTAATTTGCAACGTTGTTGTTACGTTGTGGAATAACGTTGTCATAGAGATACGCAATTACGTTCTGGAAATTGTAGTATTAAGAGATGAAAATTTAAATGCCGAATATATAGAAAGGTAATGTATTACTGCCTTGGTATTCTGACAAATTCATGTTGATTTTGATAAAGCAGTTCTATTCCTTTATGACGTTCGAGAAGCAAACTCTATAACGTTTCACCGACGTTTCAGAAACGTAGCTACAAAACGTTGTGTGATGTCCAATGCACAACGTTTTCACAACGTGAATGTGCAACGTTGTTATAACGTTGTGAAATAACGTTGCACGTTGACTTTATAACAACGTTGTGACAACATAATATCACGACGTTACCAATCCACAACCTTTCCACAACGTTGTGACAACGTCGTGTGTTAGCTGGGAGTCGGCTTAAACAATCTGGATTTGCAAGTTTTGAGCCTGGCTGGTATACGTTTTAGTTGGTTGGTTGGTTGGTTGGTTTGTTGTTTAATGCCGCATTCAGCATATTCCAACTATATGACAGCAGTCTGTAAATAATCGAATCTGGACCAGACAATTCAGTGATTGATATCATGAGCATCGATCCACGCAATTGGGATCGATGACATGCATCAACCAAGTCAGCAAGTCTGACCACCTGATCCCGTTAGTCGCCTTTTACGACAAGCATAGTCACCTTTTACGGCAAGCATGGGTTGCTGAAGACCTATTCTACCCCGGAATCTTTACGTTTTAGTCATAACAAGACAACATCAATGCCCGTCGCTGAAGTTGCGCTGATGCCATGGGAGGTATGGCCTTCTGTGGGTCTAGCAAACCCATGAGAGGTTGGTGGTCCTATTCAATCTGAAACTTCCGACCAAATTGATACTGATGGAACTTTTTCGTCCCAAATATAATCACATGGATTTCCAAGTCCAAATGTGAGTAGTTCCTTTCAGCTGCAGATAGTGATCTAGAAGTGTACACTATTGCCTTTTCCATCCCATCTTCCATGACATGGGATAGCACTGCACCTACCCCGTAGGGAGGGGCATCACATGCTAGTGTCAGGCGCTCTTTGGGGTTATAGCTATAGTGAACTAGTAACTTACAAGATGACAGGTGTAACTTGACCTTCTGGAAAGCCTCCTGTTCTATCCTGGTCCATTTCCATGGTGTATCGTACCTGAGGAGGCAATGCAATGGAGCAAGCGTTGCTACCAGGTTTGGTAGAAATCTTTTGTGATACTAGACCCTGCCCAAGAAATGACAGGTCATTCACATTTTTCAGCACCATGCTTTCCCTTTGTCATCAAGGGGATATAATCCCTCAGCATCTATTCTGTGTCCCAGATACTCTACAGACAAACTCTGGAATGTGCACTTAGTAGCCTTGAGCCTGAGCCCAGCCTTACTGAATCTAGCACAGTCTTGAGATTTTTTGCAATACTCTATTTCATCTACCCCTGTCATGAGAATGTCATCTAAGTAGACACATACATGTGGAATGTCATGAAGCAGATCCATAGTATGCTGAGGATTTCAAATGGTAACAGATGGTATTGGAACAACCCTCGATGTGTGTTTATGTTGTCAGCTTCCTAAATTCCCCATCAAGAACAAGTTGCGGATATGAATTGCTCATGTCAAGCTTGGTGAAGGTCTTTCCATCAAAGGGGTGGTCAGGTAGCCTAGTGGTTAAAGCATTTGCTCGTCACGCTGAAGACCCAGGTTCGATTCCCGACATGGGTACAATGTGTGAAGCTCATTTCTGGTGTCCCCGCCATGATATTGCTGGAATATTGCTGAAAGCAGCATAAAACCATACTCACTCACTCACTCACTCTTTCCACCAGACAATGATGCGAACAGGTCTTGTATCCTGGGAATTTGGTAGATATCAGGTTTTGCCACTTGAATGACGATCAGTTTATAGACCCACATATCAGAATTGACAAGTCAGTCTTTACTACCGGTACAATTGGAGCAGCCCAGTCTGACTGTTTAACTTGCACATTTCCTCTTGCCTTTTCCAATCTGTCAAGTTCATTTCCAACCTTCTTTCTCAATACATAAGCAACCTTTGGATGCCAATAAAAATCTTTGCATACACAACATAGAGCAGTTTATTTTCACTTTACATCCTTGAAACTTGCCTAGTTTCCCGCTGAACACATCTGAGTAATCAGAGAGCAAATCTTTCATTTCCTCATTCTTCACCCTGAGGACATTTCCCCAATCCAGTTTAAAGTGTGAAAGCCAGTCTCTAACAAATAAATTCTGCTCATGTCCTTCCACAACTAGAATCAGAATCTCCAGTGTCTGTTTCCCATATGTTGCTTCCACATCCACATAGCCTAGGATCGGGATCTTAGCACCTCTATACGCTCTCAATATAATTTCTGATGGAAGTACTACCCAACAGCAATAAGTCCATATATTCATTGAAGGAATGTGTTGCTCCTGTGTCGCTTTCAATTTCTTCCTTTTGTCCATCTATGGATATGTTCACCAAGAATGGATCCAACTTGTAAAGTAGGGTCAAATAGGTATCAAAATGAATCACACGCCTTTTATTTGCCCTTTATTCGTCTAAAAATAGGATTTACAAAAACTTGGAATCAACAGGAATCAGGTAATCACGAAACAGAATGGTAATCAAAGCGCTTCAAACATACATTTTCTCACAACACTTTCTCAAAAAAACAACTGACTGTACACGGAATATCTGGTATTCTTCATGGTTGTTGATCGCTGACCCGTTGGTGTTTGTTGGTTGCTTAGTTGAACTAGTTTGGCCTCTTCCATAGCCACAGCTTTTATGTTCTCTGTTACCATGGTAACTGTTACGAATTAGCCACTTTAGCCTTATGACACACTCTTTCAGTATGTCCAATCAGACCGCAGAAATGGTATTTAACATGCCTATAATGGCACTCAGGTTGAACGATGATTTGTTCCCCCAGATTACAAGGGACCATTAATTTACAATAATTTACATACGAGGTTACAACAGCAACCCATCTGCACATCACTTGATACCTATTCTCTGTCAGTAACCAGGGGATGTGGACTTCGTATAGAGATGGAGATGTCACTACGATATGAGAAATTGTGATTACGACAGTCAGTTTGACATCAGCCATTTTGAACTTCAGTGTGTAGTGCACATGATGACAAAATGTAGCAGAAAGTCTAGAATTGAAAATTAGAGACTTTGCAATAACTTCTTTTCCACTGTAAGCTGTTTTTAAATGTTCAGAAGATTCATCTTTTCAGGGAAACTTGGATTTCATTTTGCAAAATCCAAAACAGCAGTCATGGCATTTGTCTAACATCCTGTGCTTGTAGTCAGCTGAATACCAAAGTGTGTGTAACTCATGCTCATTGTACTTTTTAAGTTTATATACAGTAAGATATGATTATTACAAAAACATTATTTGTTATCTTCATGCTTTGTAACTCACAAGGGTGGCCCAGTTGCCTAAGGCGTCGCAATTCGCTGTGCAGAGTTGCGTCCCTTGGGCACGCCAGAAACCTATGATTGTCGGTTCGAATCCTGGTTCTCCCCGATTATGTTTCTAGATTTGTCAGCAAATTATCCGTGCTCATGAGTTTCACCGAAGTAGTAAATGTCTTAGACCATCATCACTTTGGGCTTTCCTCCCACATTAAGCTGACACGCCATGATATAACTGGAATACTGTTATAAGTGGCATTAAACCCAACTCACTCACTCACTCACTCACTGTTACTCACAAAACCTTGAAGGTGATTTTGGATACCAGTGCTATATATTTTAATACAAGAATGCGAAAAACATGGATTGAGCATCATGAATATGTCCACCATATGTCATTGAAAAAATGTAAATAACCGTTGAAGTTCACCATATTCTGAGCATGGACATATTTGGTACTCTTCTTGGTATTTATAAGTATACAAGTGGAACTTCTGTTCCCTCTTCATAAAGTTTTTTATGGAGCTCCTGGCATTTTCACCTTTCCATTTCTTTCAAGTTTTATATATCATCTTACAAAGGGGAGCTCCTGTATCTGTCTTTTGCCAGGTTTCTTACGATATATTTAGTAGTTTTAGGTCAACGTTTGGTCATAAGTGTGCATAATAATTGTAAGATTATTTATTAACTTGATCTCTTTCATTTTAGCCACTGAAGATTGAATGTTATTGCTTGTTTAGTTGCAGGAACTGCAAGTGATGGCCAATATACCAGTCCCATTGACCAAGAGGATTCCCAACTGGGTGTCACACTGAAGGTGTCCAATATAAACCCTGAAACCCCCAAGGAAGACCTCATAAACTTTCTAGAAGCCCTTTGCAATGTTGAAGTGGAGCAGATCAAATACACTGAAGAGAAAGACATTGCTGTTGTCACCTTTCCATCCAGTGTTGGTGCGTGGAGATTGTCATTCTACGATTACATCAATGATAATTATATCATGACCCTATGGAGTATCATGCTCGGTTTCATCCCGAGACTCCAATATCAGACAGAGCCCAACAGGTCGAGGTCGGATATGGGCATAGGGATGATGCTGGATGATGATATGGAAATCTATGGGGAAATAAATTTTTATCGCTAATGCTGACTGCACCTTTGACATTTTCAGGTTTTATTTCTTTATGCACACAGCGGTATATATTTTAGTTTGCCACTATTAAGTAGATGCCAATGCACACTGTATATGAATAGAGATGTCTCTCGTACTCTCTTCATCTGTCAGTCTTCCTTTTTCTTAAATTAATTGGTCTAGTTCCATTATCCTGTTGGAAAGGGAAGGTGAGATATTGCATGAAAGGTATTGCTGCCACTGATGTGACATCATTTCAAGGATGTAATAATCCAAACTATCGTAGTATCGACTCGACCCGTGTCTAGGTTGACAGTGACAGTCTACAGCAATCTATGAATTTACCTTGGTGTCTATTTGACACATCTCTAATAACCTTTCAATAATTGATAATGATGACCAACACATGTAACCACCACAGGTTCATTAACAATTTCCGAAATCTCTCCTGTCATGTTTATCGTATCGGCCATTTTGACATCTTGTACTTGATGTAAATGTATTATGACCGGCTGTCATTGTGACTGACTTACTGAGGTAGTTCTTAACAGACCTTTCTCATCTAATGGTGATATTATTTGAATACATGTGTTCCATAAGATGTTTCTAAAGAGCAAGTTGTGCATACATACGCTCATATCACATCCCTTATTGAGGAACTATTTTATTCTGTGATATACCTTGTTGTTGTCAGTGTAAACATGAAATCACACGTACTAAATAAAATTGTGCATACATCTTGGATTACATCCTTGGCGGTAAGAAATTGTGATAAAAATTTATAAGAATTGACTTTCACTTTGTTTGAGTTCATAGGAGTATTAAAAAGTATTAGCTTTTCAGATTTAATCATTTCTTTTCTCAGGCCGTAGATGATGTAATTATTAATGAGACAGGAAGTGCATGCATATGGGTCCTTTTTAGGCTAGTAAAATGCAAGTTCCTTTCGATCAGGAATTAGGTAGTATTGTATGTACTATACCGGTACATGCTTCTCAAACAGAAGGTAATTCAATCAGACTAGAAATTACTGCTGGTATGTTTAATGCTTACTGGAACCACTTGCACAAAGCGATCTTAGCACTACGGCTATTGTAAGCCTAATGGTATGTTAAAGTATGGGAGTTACAATCATCTTAGCGCTAAGATCACTTTGTACAAGTGGGCCCTAGGGCTTTGAGGAGTGTTTGTAGGGGAATATTCTGTTTTTACAGGGACTTGCAACTTGACTTCATGTCCCCTCAAAGTACCTTTTTCAAACACTTGATATGAATCAGTGTAAAGTGTATTGATGACAGTCCACTGTGCAGACAGTGACACATTCATGTCTGCAATTGTGTTTGAAAGATGTCAATCATTTGCTTCAGATTTTCAACAAGTGAAAGGTCAGCACAGTAAAAAGAAGAGGCGTTTGAATGGTCATCTGGTTGAATTGGCACCATTAGGATCTACTCACAAGCTATCCGTGCAAGGCCATAGTAGAGAACTAACACCAGCCTCACTACAGAAGTACTTTGAGAGTCCAGACTCTGGAAATGACCTTAAAGTACCAATTGAAGATGTATATGAACGACAGGATGAGGACTATTTTGTTGTCACTTTCAAGGATTCAGAAGGTACAGTATGCAGTATCCATCCTTTGGACCCCAAGAAACACGATCACATTGGCTGTATGATCAATTGTGCTAGCATGAAAGCGAAAATATAAGATCACCTGAATGAAAGTTATTGGTCTTCATCTATTGACCATGTGTCCGTTCATGTGCACTGATACTTAAACCCCCTTCTTTACATGCCTCCATTGCATGGCAGGAGTAATGCTGTGCAGTGCCAGGCAACAATCACATAAATTTTTCTGCAAATTGTGTGGGTGGTAGGGCAGGACCATCTTCCCGAGGCAAGGGAGTTAACTGACAACAAAAGTCCAGTTTCCACCCTTGCTGAACTAGGCAGGTATTATGGAGTTACATTTTGGCTGGGCTAACGAGTCTATGCATAGTCCAATCAAAATCACTGAACTAAATCAAAATCTGGTTCGTAAACTGTCATGCAGTATTTACAAAGCATGTGCACTGCCAACTCGTTGTCAACAGACATTTTCCAAATCTTTCCATATTTTTAATCAAGGTACTCATGTGATTTGATGCACTTCGTGATGTAAGACCCATTTTATCACAAAATAGATCTTGATTATCGATCAGATCGTCTTGACTGGGTGCAACCATTTTGTTTGAAGCAAATGCAACTGATACGAGAGGTGGAATCTCATTGGTCAATAGGAGAAGCATGGAAGGGACATAACTCGTAATAGCCACTGGTGGCACAGGAGTTTCAGCCGAGTTCGGCAAGGGTGGAAACTGGACTTTTAAAGTCAGTTACCTCTCTTGCCTCGTGAAGATGGGGCAGGATATGCTTACCCAAACACCAGGTGTCATCACTAAAGTACTCACGGAAATGAAAAAAAAACCTGTTTTTCTCAATTTAAAAATCGACACAAAGTGTTACGTAGCTGTAAATACGAAATAACAAAACAACTTGAAAAGTCCTAGTCTGGATTTGCTAGTTTGATCTCAGTGAACAATACAAACTGTACTTTACAGGAGGTAATTTGTCGGCACTTTCAACATTCAAAAATAAAACTAAGTCCAAATTGACATAGCAGAAACAGACTATAGGCATTATGCACCTGTTCTCACCTGTCGTCAAGGTGTCATAGGTCACCTTGATCTACTTACACCTGGTTATGCCCTGTTTCACAATAGTCTGTTTTATTCACATTTTTACACACTTTTACGTGTAAAAAGCCATAAAAACATTTGATACGCTGTATTTGTGCCACGGCCCAATTAGTACTAATTTAGTTGTTTGAATATTTACATATTTTGTATATTAACTGCATTTATTTAAGAACTGTGGTAAAAAAAACAGTTTTTTTTCATTTCAGTGAGCAATTTATATAATTTTTACTGCTATTTTATCTTTTACGCAAATGGAATCTGATTCATTGGATAATCAAGAATGGGTATTTTGTGGCATTGACATGTTATATTTCCAAGTCTAATGAGCATTTTAATTATTTTCACATAACATGTTGTACATGTTCCGAGCTACAACACAGTGAATTTTTAATTTTGAAAACTTTAAATTGCCACCGCAGCAGCTTATGTTATAGTTAAGACACTCCTCCTTGGTTTTGGTTGAAAATGTAAAACTTTAAGTGAGGGAAAAGGCTTTTCCCGAGTTAAACCCAAAACTGAGAAGGATTGTTTTAACAAACTTAGGAACCGTCCAAATGCAAGACATCATGTAATATTGAACATTCTTTGATCACCTGCCCTAGGCTTTGGTTTTTGGTTTGGTTTGTTGTTTTACGCCGCACTCAGCAATATTTCAGCTATATGATGGCGGTCTGTAAATAATCGAGTCAGGACCAGAGAATCCAGTGATTGATATCACGTGCATTGATCCACGCAATTTGGATTGATGACATGCTTCAACCAAGTCAGCAAGACTGACCTGCACCAGTGTCTCAGTGGGAAATCAGTGGGTTACAATACTTAACATGATGTTTAAGGTTGCAGGTTCGATTCAGCTCATGGAATTGCCATGTCAAAAGAATTTTGACTTTTATCAAGTCAAAGATCAACATTAGATGCATATCAAAAGGCTGCTTATACAATTCATCTGCAAAAATTGTTCATCTTTTCAATATTTCTTGATCAAATTGTGCACGAATACCAGATTTACCAAGAACTGGTGCCTTTTGCTATTTAGGAATTTTGTATTTTTTAATATTTTGTTTGTTTTCATGAACCATTAATGAACCATTGTTTTTCCATATGAATCAAGTGGTCAATTGCCTTTTACTTTTTTCACTTTTTAAAACAAATGGAAGATCATATTGTGTTATTGTCTGAAGGTACCATTCTTTATTGGTGTCATCGACTCTTTAGAACAAGTTTAAGGCAGCCTCTGAGGTCATGGGCTGAATTCTTGCACTCATTAGAACATACCATTAACAGAGGATATGAGTATTTTATGTTTGTTAATTTTTTGTGAGAATTGTGTTTTTATTTCCTTGGATTTTTTATGAAATGACAAATGTTTTGTCAATGGATGACCTGAGGGTTCTTAAGGGGCATTCACATGGTACAACTAGTTGTTAACAATTTGTTACTTGCAACACATTGCATGGTGTGAACATGCAAGTTGGACCAACTTTTGACGTATGCAACTTGTTGGGTGTGGGTTTTACGAAATAGGACATGCTCTATTTTCATGTGACAATTTGTGTGCACACAGATGCCATTAACAACTATTTTAGGACATGAAATATGTACTGCAAAAATGTTGTAATTTTCACATTTTACCAAATCCTTATTCTCAATGTAATTCTGTGTTCGAATAACGGATACCTACATGGGAAATTCACTTACAAAATCATCAGATGTCTGCTGTTTGTCCAAAACACTGATAATCATTCCGAAAAGACTCCAATAACCCTATGGGAGGAGGGGAACACAAAGTATGTGATCCGGACTACCAAGTTGTCAGACTTCAAATTTTGTGGAAGCCTTGGTGGCTGAGTGGGTTAATTAGATCTCTGACTTTGTGTGCCTCACTTTGATTATGTGGGTTCGAATCCCGGATTGGACTCAAGCCCAAAAGTACTAGAATCTGTACTTTACTAAGAAAGTGTTATCCCAAATATCACATTTTTTACCTTTGACCTCTTTCCAAATAGCATTGTGTGTTCATAAGGCGACTTTTTTTTTTTTATTACTTGGTTAACGGATGCGCCCCTCTTCAAAGTCCAAATGATGAAAAAAAAAAGAAAAAAAAAATTACTCCTTTTTTTATTACCTCCGATCTTCACTTTAAAAATTGCATAAAATGTTTAAACAAAAGAAATGATTTCATTTGCTTCGCAAGAGTAAAGCAAAGGGAAGTCACACTGATATTTCTAGCTGGGATCTTTCTCTAATAAATGCATCTCTAATACAATCAAAGCTTGTTAACTCAAAAGCACAGTGGTGACCAGTTTAACTCTTTCAGCACTGTTGGCTGGTACACCGGCCAATAAGCCACGAGTCACCAGACACTTCAGGGTAGACTGGCCAAGTCACTTCAAAATAGTTTATAATTCTATTAATATTATTACCTGTCATATCATTCATTTATTAAATCTTATCACATTTCGCAATGTCTGAAACGCGTATTCCATTTGATTTTATCATTTTTTATCAAATTTTTATTTATGAAAATTATCATACACGAGGACAGTACCATTGCTGTAATTTGATTGGCTGCCTTAGGTCAAGTGCTTAAATTTGACCAATCACGAACCTTGTAGCAGATAATGTCTGTGAAACAATATAAGTTTTTTTAATGTATACCGACAAGGCAGCCTTCGACGTATGTGTTATTCATTTAAAGCTCATGTTAGTGAGCGGACAGCCACTATCATTGGGAAATGGGTGTTGACAGATATTATTTGTAATTCTTTTTAAAATAATGTTCCAACTACGTAAACCAATAAAAATAATATAGAAATAGGTAAGTGGATTTTATGAAATCTTATATTTGCTGAAAATCATTAAATTTTTGCTTCATTGGTCCTTAATCTGGACGTTATGAAAGTTTTAGCTTACATTATTTTGATTTAAACAAACTTAATTAAGTTATTAATGAATTATATAAATAATGTAATACACATAATTTTCATATTTATAAACAATAGGATTACTTAGATCTTTCAAATAATGTATGGCCAAACATGCAGTAGCAAAGATGTTTTACAAGCAGATAATTTCCTTGATAAATATTGGCTTCATCTATCACACAAGAGTCTCTGGGAACTTGGTGTCACTGCATTTATCTTCTGGTTGGCTGGTGCTGAAAGAGTTAAACATCGCCCATGCTGCTAAAATAGCAGCGTCTTTCATGCATTTCCACCCAAGACATGATTGTTGTTATATTGCCATTTGTGCACAAGCTGACTGCCAGGGATATGATATAGAAACGGGCTCTGTCCGTCCATCCATCATGTTTCGTTTCCGGAGCATAACTGAATATTTTTAAAGAAAATTTGAAAATGTTAGAATTATATTATTTTTTTTACATTTCCATGGCAACAAGATAGACTAAGGTTCTGTGAGGGTAGGGTTTGTTTCCGGAGCATAATTCATAAACCGTTCAATATCTTTTCGTGAAACTTTGAGGGTCTGTCAGGTACATGCTCAACTGGTGCCTTTTACTATTTAGAAATGTTAGAATTTTTTATTTTTATATTTTTCCATGGCAACAAGTTGAACTTTTAGAAATTAATGAATTCTTCTTTTAAATGCCAAAAAATTCAACTTGATACGCATTAAATCTGTTAGTAAGTAGTCAGTAGTAAATGTAGTAACTGGTTTTGTCAGTTTGTACTTTGATCATGTTTTTTGTGAAGAAGGTTTCATTTTTTTCTTGAACTTCATAGAAATTGTGTTTTGCAGAATTTATTTTGTTTCTTCAGGATATTTTGCATTTACATCAAGTAGATGCTCCCCTGCTGCCTTTTACACCTTACAAAATTTTGAATATTTTCAAATGTATGTATGTGATCAAATTTCACTATTGTTGACATAATATACACTTCATTTGCTGGGTAATTCCATGACAACAACCTCGGTGAAAAAGGTTAGGGTTTGTTTAGATTTAATTATGTCATAAATTCTGCAACAGGGGCGGGGTATATAGCCACATTACTGGCAAACTCTTGTTAAATGGCCCTACCTCACTTTTGAAATGAGTTCGAAATCCGTAAACCAAGAAGTAAAAAAAGTGTCGCTTAAGCCTATATTCGATTTTGAAACATCGTAAACATTCTAGAGCTGAAGCAAACCATGTTGGATAGGTTGTGTTTTCAAAATCATGATGTTTTTCCCGTATGCAGAAATGCCTATCACATCACATATATTTCACTCTGCTATGACACATAAAATCCATGAATTAGGCCTACCCTTTTAAAAATGTGAACAAAGCAAAGATCTAGTTTTACATGTTAAATTTTTCTACTATTTTGAGAGATCCAGTTGTCAGATTGTTGCATACATTTGCACAGGTTTTTGCAAATATGGATGGGATGATAATCGTTGCAAGGATTGAGGAATTAACAATTAGATACTTTGAGGATGATTTGGAAAAGTCAACAGAAATCATTCCACATGACGCCATGACTGATTGCAAAATCATTCACACTGACTGTGGTATTCGTCTAGAAACGTGTTGATTTCAGATTGATTCTGAAAACTTAACTCAAATGACTGATTTATGTATATATGTGATCCTTGCTTCAAAGAAAATCCTACTCTGAACATATCTTTTCACCTTGTAAATTTCTCTGATGCTGTTTAAGTACATGACTTTGTATTTAATTTAATGCCATAGAATGTATACATTTTTTAATAATTTGCAGTTTGTTTGAACATTAAAATTGACATTCCTCGTCTCGTGTAACACATATCCGATATGATGCTTTGTGAATGTAACACACTGTAGACATGTTTTGGAGTACTGTGAAATATTCATTATGGCAAATTCATATAAATAGGTTAAATGAAAAAGCCACTTCAAAGTAAACGTTTTAAAGTAAATATATACCTGAAGAAAATATGTCATGTTATATTTTTATTAATATGGACAAAATTATTTGTTTTTCAAATGGATGAAAATATTTATGTTTTTACCACTTATGTTCACTATTAACTAGTGTTTGGTATGAAAGGTATTAAAGAAAACAGTTAAGATATGAATCGATATTTGTTACTTTGTGTATGACTGTGATCGATATTAATGTATTGAGAAGTAAAATATCGCAATCTACCGATGCATCGGTGTATCATCCCACTATTGTAATATATACATTTAAACTACAGTTATAACAAACACAAAGGGACCACTGATTTTAGTTCGTAATAACCGTAGTTCGTTATAAGCATATATATACGGCATACCGTATTTACAGCAATTGACCGGGACTAAAAAATAAGTTTGTTAAATCGGTCAGTTCATTATAATTGTGTTCATTATAAACGTAGTTAACTGTACTGTTACATTTTTTAAAACTGATTCAACGTTTTTTATAAATTGGGATAAAAACTTAAAGTACCATATTCGACGTAATAAGCACCCCACTCTAATAAGCGCCCCAGCGATATTTGTTAATATATTGGCTAGTGAACAATTCCAATTAGCACCCTTCCAATTAACAAATGTTCACAAGACTTATTTATCCACGTATAATACGCACTCGTGTTATATCCACCCTTAATTACGGGCAATATCATTCTGGGAAAATATATCTGTTATGTATAATACGCACAGACTTTTCTTTTGTATCATTTCAGGCTGTCAGCATAAACCACGAAATTTACGATCTTTAAACTCTTTCACCAAAATTATATTCTAATAAGAGCCCCGTTTCTAATTTTGAGACCGCCCTGGGTGCTTATTACGTCAAATACGGTATCTGGTTTCAATAACTTTGCAAGAGACAACTGACCATAGCACATTTTCTTGATTTTTATCGGACATTCTTCTGTATTATTACCAAATTTGAAATATATCTTCAGGATATTTTAGATGACAATCTGTCAGTGTTTATAAAAGGAAACAATGTGGAATCTGGTTATCAATATTGATAACTGTGTTGGAACATTGTGGGTACACTTGAACAAAAATAAATTGGAAGTATTGTCGTGACCTACATGTCGCTCACCATAGCAGAAAATTAGCAGAAAATTTAGTTTCACCACATAAAACAAGTAAGTTTTCAGATTGAATGTGTCACATTATACATAACAATACCATCCTGATATATATGTCAGTATGTCATTCAGATATAAGGCAGCATTTTGTTCGCTCACAGTCTGCATAAAGCTGTCAAATAAAACTTCATAACACAGTACTTTATCAATGTATGATAAAAAGTTGCTACATTCTAGAGTTTTTTTCAGTCCTTAATTTTACACGATTGAGTAGAAAATTCAATACCATGCAACTCCGTTAAATTACAATGTCAGAGGCTGGCCCAGGGCCAAATGACCTCAATTTTCACTCAGCTTTAATTTTTCAAACTGTGCTTCTGAAAATTAACTCAGTACCATGATTCTAGCGGTTAAGTAGTGAATCAAAAGCTGTTGGTCAATGAATTCGCCAGATTCAACTTGTATGCAACTCGATGCTGTGTGAATTCTTAGTTGTATACAACTTTAGTTCATACAACTAATTGCATACAAATCATAGTACAGTGTGAATACCCCATTAGTAACTTTTTCCATTAACTAAGTCAGACACTAAGGTTTATAACATGTTCTAACAATGAAAACTTGGTGAGCTGTAGTGCCATGTCACTATCTTTCCCCAGAAGCTAATATGACACATTCATCTATTCTTTCAGCTGTCCAAAGGATAGTATCAAAGGGAAGCCATCACCTTGGAGGTGCAAATATCCTAGTCCATGAGTTTTATGAGAGTGTAGGACGTCCTGTCAGACTGTGTGAAGATGATGAAAAGGAAACTTCTGCAATAATTGACCGTTTAGAACTTGCTGAGATCCGAGTTCTTGAGAAAGATTTTATTCCCACATGGGAGAAAAAAGGTCTGAAGATCACAACTGATGAGAAGACCTCAATTATGTTTGAAGGTCAAGCTCAGATGGTGATAGAAGCTAAGTCTAAACTTGAGAACCTGCGAAAAGATATGTCAAAACACAGACATAGTTTTAAATTTTCCCTATCAAAAATTTGTCTTTTGAGGAAGTTGGAAACAGAATTATATATTAGGGGTAAACTTCAGGCAAGCCAGTTTTGTGGTGGCTGGCAGCTTGACAAAGATAACAGAGTCACAATAATGGCACTCTCAGGGGTAGATGTATCATCAATGACTCGCCTTCTTGAAAAATGTCTTGTAGAAAAAGAAGTTGACCTGTTTGGTATTGATTACAAAAGCTTTGAAGATAGATTTACGGCCCAAAAGACTGGTACATGTTTTGAGTTGAGTCCTAAAAGCTCAATGGTCCTGATCACAGCTACAGATAAGGATATTGTGAGTCTGAAGAAAGATGCTGATATTGTTGTGGCTGCATTGCGGAAAGAAAACCAACGGATGGGGAAGGCAGTCGTCACCAAGAAAAGTGTCACAATATGCCCACTTGTTATGAGATTTGTCCTGAAGCAAAGTCAGAAATTCAATGAACATGATGTCAAGGTTTATCCCACATCTGAAAATCAGCTTTGCATCGAAGGTTCAGAGAATTTCTGTTCAACTGTGTCCAAGCATGTGAAGCACATTCAAGACAGAGTAATGACAAAAACTTTGGAAGTTGAAAATGACCATGTCAAAAAACTTGAAAAAGCACAGTTAATTTCAAGTCTGGTGAAGTATGTTGAGAAGGCCACCCAATGTGTTGTTGATGTTGATGTCAAAACAGGTATCCATGAAGTGAAACAGGAGAGATGGGCAATTGGTAAGGGTCGTACCTTACATGTCGTCCAAGCTGACTGGAGACATTTGGACGTGGATGCACTTGTGATTGCAGTTGACAGTCAGTACCAACCCCTTGATGAAGTATCAAGACAAGTACTCAAAGAAGGTAGTAAAACAAGTTCTGTCACAATGTCATTTTGTTTTTGTTAATTTAGGTCCATCACCTAGTTTACCTTGAAACATGTAATTGACAGAGCAACCCACACAGAAGCAGCTCATCAGCATAAATTTCATTATTTGGTATATGTGTAGTTAGCAGTGGGGCTCATCAACACATATGTTCTGTTTTTCGTTCAATATTAAATTTTGTTCTTTGCACTTTGACCAAGGTACATGTACTAACTTCTCTCAAAATACATTTTCTCATGATGTTAACATCCCCTTAGAAACCCCTTGGCCAATGATGCTGAAACTTCATATGCTTGCTCCCACCACTGATGTCGGGCGGTCGGGTAGCCTAGTGGTAAAAAGCGTTTGCTCGTCACGCCGAAGACCCGGGTTCGATTCCCGACATGGGTACAATGTGTGAAGCCCATTTCCGGTGTCCCCCGCCGTGATATTGCTGGAATATTGCTAAAAGCGGCGTAAAACCATACTCACTCACTCACTCACTCACCACTGATGTCAATTGAATTTGATCCAGAAGTTTGAATCCGATTTTCCATTTGGCCACCATTTGGCTATATTAAAAACAATTTTGTATGGCCATTGTCGGCCATTTTGTTTGGAGATGTGTAGTTACCAGTTAGTAGTTTGGCTCAACACATATGTTCCATTATTTGTGATGTTTTTAAGTTTGACCTTGATTTGACGTTTACCCTTTGATCATAGTGAATTCTGAATATTTTCATTGCCACTACTCAGCTGTTATGTTTCAAAACATAAAGAAATTTGATATTTGTGAAGTGGGCCTCAAGGCACATGCTCAATATCATCTCTTCAGAAACGAGTTGACCAATTAAGACTTCACATATACTTGTTCCCACCAAGAAAGATGACATCTGAATTTTTTCAAGAGGTTTAAATATGTGATTTTCGATATGGCCAGCATGTCAGCATGTGGCCATTGTGCTGACTTTTCTCATAAAAATGTACTGAAAATCTTTTTCCTCTGTAAATAAAGCGACAAAACCCTTTCCATATCCAATAGTAATATCTGCCTAAAGCAGAGTCGATTGTACAATTAATCATCCTTTCTGGTATTAGCAGACTGAGAAAGCTGAAATTTGACTTCACATCCAGGTGAGCTACAGTGCCAGGGCACTATTTTTCCTTTTGGCATGGAATTTTTTATTCAAGAATTGACTTTCACTTTGTGTGAGTCCATTGGAGTATGAAACTTCATAGAGTGAGGGCCAAACTGTATGAATGTCGCAGCTTAAAAAATAAAATAAAATATAAAATATTATGGCAACAAGTTAGACTTTGACTCTGTTGATAGTGGTGTGTTTGTGTGTTAATGTGTACTAGTGAGAGGGGTACACAAAGTACATGATCTAGACTACCAGATGTCAGACTTTCATTTTGTGGAAGCCTCGGTAGATGAGTGGGTTAGATCGCTGACTTTGTGTGCTCGTGATTAAGTGCCTCAATCTGGCAGTATGGGTTTGAATCCCGGGTGGGACGCAACTACCAAAAGGACTGAGAAAGTGTTATCTGAAATATAACATTTGTTGCCATGGTTGAGTTCTCCCACTATCCGGAGTTCTGATCTTACCCCATTTGTCAGACACCTCATGAGAATATAGGAAAAATAAATTAAATGACTTTCATTGTGTTTCATGGGCTTTAATAGCCATATAAACAATTCAACAAGGTGTTATGTATTACTATATCATTTTGCACTTTGTTTCCGCTCAATAGTGTCAATGCAATTTCTGTACATGTCTTAATGACAAATCTCAAGTGAACACATAATTTCATAATCAGGTCATTCTGCAGACTAAAACATGCTATTCTCTTGTGTTTATGACACAATCAATACTATATACGTATATTAAATCATAAAAGTACTTTTTTGAATGTTGATTCTGCTTCTCATTTTGGATGCTATTAGATCATATTGATGCAAAATTTTATTCTTTTTATTAATTTTATATAAAACAAAACACTTTAAAAATCTATACATTACAAAATTGGAGACGTATTCACATTGGTTTGCCTTTTATGTTGACTATATAATCAAGCTCTATACCAGTAAACTTTAAAAAACCACACTGCAACATACATCAGAACTAATTCTGAGAATGATTCTCACTCGTTAAGATTTATATGGTAAAAAAATTTCATGTTCTTTTCTTACGTTTTTTTATGAATTAATATTGTGCAAACTAAGTTGCTGAGTGACATGTTTGTGACAAATTCAGATATCTCTGACAGTATATGCACAATTTAATTGGTAAAAATATATAAATTAACATAAAATGTTTTATTCATTTGATCTTAATTATACAGAGGATTAGGACTGGTACATTACAACAAGAGGTGGACCCGTGAAGATCCAGGGTAGAAAAGGTCTTTAGCAAAAGGCGCCTATGCTTGTTATAAGAGGCGACTAACTTGATCAGGTGGTCAGACTCACTGATTTGCTTGACTGCATGTCATCGCATCCCAATTGCATGGATCGATGCTCATGATGTCAATCATTAGATTGTCGGGTCCAGACTTGACTATTTACCGCTGTCATATAGTTGGAATATTGCTGAGTGTGGCGTAAAACAACAAACAAACAAACCAAACAAGAGGTAAATCTTATATGTTTTGACGAGTCATCTCTATTCCACTGTCTAACAACTCATTCAAATCAGATCTAAGTTCTTGCTGATGCTGAACAAAGATCTGAGGACATCCCATTAGGGGTTACGTCAGAAAAACCTTTCGCAAACTTTGACCGACTACTGTAATGACTAACAAGAAGTCGACATCAGTCAATTAGAAAGCAGCATTCTTGAGCTTTACGGCACTTGTTTCAACCTGGTGACTTCCATATCAGACTACACTTGAAAAATATGTTGACACAGTTCTCAATTAAAATTTTGAAAACTGAACAAACGAACATTCGTGGATGTCTAATATATGGTTGCTATTGTATGGCAGTGCTTCCCACGTACTGTGCAACGCCTCCTGTGTTCAAATGTTTATCCCACAGAAGCAAGAGATAGATGATAATTTTGACGGAATCAGTCTATGGGCCGAAACTGTTGTTCAGAATATCCCATGTTAATGTTTTCGAGGTTGCATGATCAGAAAATGCATTCTGACTCTCACTTTCATGATCTGGTAAGCGATGCTTTGATTAGTCAGATGAAAGGTCATTCTGACATGACCCGTAATGGGATATCCTCAGATCTCTGTTTAGATAAAGCGAGAACTAAGATCTTATTTTAATGAGATAACAACTAGGATATCTGACAAATGGGGTAAGACCTTATCTGGTTGATAGGTTAATTCACCAGTGGTACTGATGGTGGTCGAATGATCTGTGCATTCAGTAAAATCATGTTAATATTTGATATTAGGTGTGGCTCTTGGTGTGTAAATGTATGATGATGGTGATAATGTTTGGTTGTTTTTTTTAAAGCTGGAAGACACACAAGAGATGAGATTGCACAGAATAAGATCGAAAGATCAGCAATATTGTCACATGGAGACACAGTGTCAACATCTTATGGATCTCCAGGTTGTGTGAAAGCCCTACTGCTTCTGTGCATATCAATCAAAGGCCATGATGAGGATGCTGACAGAATGTCATTTTCAAAAGCAATCCAAAATTGTCTTGTGACTTGTGACCTGAAACAGTTTTGTTCCTTGGCTATTCCAGCATTCAAATTGTCTATAGGACTGAATGATCATAATATGGCACAAGACATTTTGAAATCTCTGCAATCCTATTTTAGTGATGGTACATCACAGTCCATCAAGAATGTGGTACTGCTCAGTGAAGATAAATATGCTTACACTGCATGTCTTGAAACTGCTAAAATATTCCTGCCTGATACCAAGAAAACAATTTCAAGCAGAAGAAATAGAGGTAGGTGTGAAAAATAGTTGGATCATATTTTGTTGTGACAAATTCTGATAGTTTTGTATATTTGCATATTAGTTCAAGTTAATACAGTTATTATGTGAAGTCATTAGATTAGACGCATCAGTCATTGTCGCCCGTCACACACACACACACACACACACACACACACACACACACACACACACACACACACCCTCTCACACACACACACACACACACACACACACACACACACACACACACACACACACACACACACACACACAGATATGCTTATAAGTATGGAAAGGGTTTTGTCACTTGTATTTAAATGTTACCATTTTTTCTCCAAAAGAATTTTGCAACACAAAGAACATCGTTGAATGTATCATATATTCAGTGATCCACAAAGCCATCAAATGAAGATACATTAGTAAAGTTAAGAAAAGTTGAGTGAGCTTGTGTCATGGCCTGTTTTTTCTGTCGTCCATTGTAAGCATCTTCACGTCAGAAACCACTGTACCAACGAAGTTGAAACTTCACATACCAATCATGGCACCCCAATTTGTGAGGTGTGAAGCCCATTTTCAATATGGCCACCACATCAGCCATATTCGGAAACCTATACATAGCTATTATTCAGCCATTTTAGTTCAATGTGTGCAATGCAATTTGGCATGTGTGTAGTTGGTAGTGGGGCTCAAATATGTGTTCCGTTATTTGCAATATTTTAAATTTTAACCTTGATTTGACCTTTGACCTTCGACCATAGTGCAAGCTTAAACTGCTTAAGGCCACTACACGGCCATTTGTTTTCAAAATTTTATCAAATTTGGTGCATATGTGCTATTTTTTCGATATAGCTATTAGCATTTCCATCCGCCGTCCGTTTTCCAGTGAAGAAATCCTAAACGAGTGAATATTTCTCAATGCAATTTGCTATACAGATCTATCTAGTGGTGAACTGGTGCCTTTTGATGATTTAGATTTTCATTTTAAAATTTTTATATTGTTTTCATGCCAACAAGCTGGACTTCATTAAAAATGAGAGTGGTGCATGTTTACGGAGCAGAACTCCAAACCAGTTGAATATTTGTAGATGAAACTTGTTCTACCGATCAGTCTCGTGGTGAACCGGTGCCTTTAAATGATTTGGGATGTTGAAAAATACTGATAAACATTATTTCTTTATTCACTGAAGATATCCAATGGCAATGAACCAATCGTGGGTATAAGTAGGCAAATTCGATTTCTGTATTCCACCAGAACAGGGGATATGTCATCTCCTGATGATTCATTTAACCTTTTCTTTAATGACTGGCAGAGTTTAACTTTGGCTTATGTGTGTTTCCTGAAGGTGATGTCATATTTCGAACTATTAGATGTTTGTGTTAGGTTCAAGTCCTCAGCGTTTATGCAGAAAATATCTGAAAATCAGTGCTGACAGCAACTTTGTGTCTATCTTTCTTGATATTTAAAGTGTTGTCATAGCACTATTTTTTTCATCTCTGACACCTGACTCAAAGTCTAATGGGGCCAGGGCTGGCCCTGTCGTCTAAGGCCCCGCGGTTGATGTGCAGAGTTACGTCCCTTGGGCACGCCAGAAACCAATGATTGTGGGTTCGAATCCTGGTTCGCCGCAATTATGTTTCTAGGTTTGTCAGCACCATACCCGTGCTCATGGGTTTCACCGAAGTGGTAAACGTCTGAGACCTGCATCACTTCAGGCTTTCCTCCCACATTAAGCTGACAAGCTGTGATATAACTGGAATAATGTCACTCACTCACTCAAAGTCTAAGTCATGCTGAATTGTCTATCATCTGATTTTCCATTTGGCATCAAAGTATATTCCTTACGACATCACCTCTGAAACCATAGGGGCGGTGGAGTAGCTAAGTGGTTAAAGCGTTTTGCTCGTCATGTCGAAGACCCAGGTTTGATATTGCAGGAATATTGCTTAAAGCGGTGTGCAATCATACTCACTCGCTCACTCACTCACTTTAAAACCATAACGTCCATATGAAGCTCAAACTGTCCATGGATGATTAGACGTATTGATTCTTTTCGCACAGAATTTCCATCCAATTTGAAAAATAATTCAGTATGTAATGCAGGCTGACATAGTTACAATTATCCATCTTCCACAAAGGAAAATATGAAATAATACATTTAAAAGTATATTAAAAGAAGCACAATATAGATGTTTGTTTTTTGGGAGCATGATACTCACACGCATTGTTTTTTAATGTGAACAGCACACAATGATGGTTCAACTATCAGGTGTTCATAAAAACACTTTTGTAAAGCTAAAAAAAATAATAGTCTTGGTTCTCAGGTACCGCCCGCCTTATTATAAAGTCTGCATGCAGTTACTTCCCTTTACATGCACGCTGCTTTACTGCACACTCATGTTATGGTCATGGTGGCAATAGGAGTTTGTATCCTTGTTTATGTAGGGAGGCCCTTTCCCGGGTTGATGGTACACAACTGTTTTGTTTGGTTACATACTAGTTTGAACCAGCAAAAAAAAGACACTGCACCCCTGCACTATATTTTAAAAAGTCATTGCCTGGGAACCAATTCTTTGATTTTTTTTATCCTAAGGGTAAATAATGCTTGTTATTAACGCAGGTTGTTTTCAATCATTTTGTGTCTCCAATGTGCCACTGCTGCCTCTCCTGTATCAATGCAAATGGTAGTCACACCTGATATTGATATTGTTAATTGAGTTGTTACACCATCCCTCTTTTAGGGCATGTCTCTGTCTCCTGTTGTATGTATAGGTTTTGTCCATGCATTTCCATGATAACACATTGTTCAGACAATGACAAAATATTATGTTTAAATTTTTAAAGCACCATTACTTTTTTCTGCTACTATATTATTATTATTAGGTGAGTTTCAATAGATTCCATATAAAATATACTAATACCTACTGTCTCTGTCTATTAAAGGCTTTTCTTGTTGCTGTTTTCCACATGTTCCACCTTCACTTTTCATTACTAACAGCAACACACTGTCCTGTACATCTTGTTAAGGTCACACAGTAAAAGACAAGTCCCTGGACAGTTATTTGTTGGATTTTCTTTCCTCATAATATTTATTTTGTATACAAATGCATTATCAAAATGTTAATCAAATATAATGTTGCTAATTTTCAGTGTTTGCAAAAGAGAACGAACAGATGGCAGAAAGAGATGCTATTAGTGTTTCAGTTATCAAGGGAGAACTTGTGAAACAAGAGGTAAATGTGACTCCTTAAAATCATGTTATGTCATGTGCATGTGCATGTGTTTGTGATGGGTGCCACCGGTGGGGCAGGATACGCTCACCTTTTTGCGAACACCTGGTATCATTACTATTTGATAGTGATTCATAAATACATGCTCATGTGATAGTCGGAATCGTACAATCGACTCTGCTGTAAGCAAAGGTTTCTGTTAGATATAGAAAGGGTTTTATTTATATTCTTCTATAGAGAATGTGTCAAGAATGTACGAAGATGCACCCTATAGGTTTCAGATTATGGGTTTCTCCAAAGTTTTAATGTCTTGAAACGATCTTGTTCAATATTCTTCCTTTTAGGATCACATATTGGGTAACTCAAAACACATCACATTTTCTGGCATTTATTAAGGGGTGTGGCCGGGAGCATTTGCCAAGTCTTAATATGTATTACTGACTGTGTCAAAAAAAGTCTGTTTACCCTCGCTTGTTGATGGAATCTCAAACAACAAAACACTTGCACTTACAACTATCCAAGTGCTAACTACCTTGATGGGTCTAATTTAAGAAAATGAAATAAATTTGTTTTTTAAAAAAAACAAATCTATAGTGTCTCTTGTGATAACCTCAAGGTCTCTTTAAAATGGCTTGTTGCTTCTGACAGGAGCCCAAAACAAATCAAGTATAAAACTTATTTCAGTTTACAATTTAAAATCAAACATCATTAACCAGCACAAATACTACTCATGACATTTGTAACATCAGATTCTGATTTGGACTAGTTTCAATGATGAGAATGTGTGAAACAATCCATTTCAAATGCATCCAACCATCAATCAACCATGATCTAGGCTATTACATATAAACTTTTCAAAGATTCCAATCAGTCATTATTCTTTTGTTTATATACTTTTGGTATCACTTTTTTGGATTTTTTACCTTATAACATTATTTACAAAACAAACTCCTCCACTCTATTTCAACCACACACCAATCTACTCAACTGTATTTCATAAACACTGCCTCATACTTGTATATACATGCTTCTCGGGGCGGTGGGGTAGCCTGGTGGTTAAAGCGTTCGCTCGTCACGCCAAAGACCCGGGTTTGATTCCCCACATGGGTATATGGAATATTACTGAAAGCGGTGTAAAACCATACTCACTCACTCACTCACGACATGCTTCTGAACCATACTCTGTACATTACTTGCTTGATGACTGTGTTTGAACCTTCACCGAAACGTCACTCCTAATTGTAATGAAAAAGTTGTTCATCCATATATCGTATCCCTACTTAGTACTCCAACTTCGAAATGCCTCTCAAAGAACTCATTCAGCTTGTTTAAACAATAAGATAATAATAATAATACATGACAGTAAGAATGACTAACAGCCAGTTTTCCTTGACAGGTTGATGTCATAGTGAACACAGTCAGTCCAACTTTGAAACTTGATGAGGGTGCCATTTCCAAGTCAATCTTTGCAGCAGGAGGCAATGAGCTTCAAATACTCTGTTACCAAGCCTGCCCAGCAGTCTTTCTGAGAGGACAATTTGTAGCCACTAAAGCTGTAGGAAAGTTAACTTGCAAAGAAGTTTTCCACTGCTGTCTCCCATCCAAACACTTACAAAACAGTGGAGCGGTAAGAATCTAGGATAGTCATTTAAGTTCAATATATTCATGACTATTTACAGGTAAGTACTGTGGGTAAATATTTATGTGAGGTCAATTGTTATTATTCAGTGAAGTTGCACTGTTCATTTTCCTTTGATCTGTCTGTTTCTATAAGATTTACGTAAAACATTAAGTAAGAATATATTTTACCTCAACAGGAGCAAGGTCCAAGTTGACCTTACATAATTGCATGTTGCAAATCAAGTACAAGATTCAAAATATAGGAAAGACACATCGCAAAATAATAAAATATGTATGTTTCGAGTTTTTGTTTTGGTTCTGAAATAATAACAAGATAGATGAATGTTTATCAATTTATGTGAAGGTTTTGATTAAGATAAGTGAAAGGTCAAGGTTCGTCTTCAGTATTTATGAAGGAAATTTTTGAATATCAGTGCTGGAAGTGTCTGACTTTGTTGACATGTCTAACTGTTGACTACATATCCATCCATGGCATCACAAGTCCAGATAAATTCAGGTGATCTACAGAATCTTTTACCTCTATTTCTTTTGTTATGGAACTGCTTGTCTCTAGTTTTAATCATTTTTGACTAATAATTTCAGGTCTTTTTGCAATTGATGAAGGACATGCTGGATGCAGCTGCAAGCAAACAATTTCACAGTATTGCTCTACCAGCTCTTGGCACAGGCAACTTGGGCTATGACGCAAGTAAAGTTGCTGGGTGGCTGTATGAAGCAATTCGGACACACAGGGAAGTCAATCCCAGCTCAAGTCTGAAAAAAGTATTGATGGTGATCTTTCACAAGGATAACAAATCATTTGATGTAAGTAAACCAGAATGTATGTGGGCACTTTCAGCGATTCAATTTCTTTCTTTGAAAACATAAACTGTATAAATGGTGCATTATAAACATTAATACTTTATATTCATGAACCATTAAAAAGTGTATTAGGACAAAAACAAATTTGCAATACCAATATAAAGATGCCAACCCAATATTCACCCATTTTGGCCTCAGACTGGTACAAAGCCAAGACAAAAACATTGTTGATTACAGTAGGAACAGTACATACTTTTTATGGAATAATTAAATTCTATATGTTGTCTGTTTGAATAATAATGCATGGTAAGTTTGAATGATCATGTAATGTAGGGTGAGAGTGTCTTTGGATGTTGATCAATTCAAGGAAAAATGACATTTTGTCTGTTGAATGAACATGTGGGTTGCTTTTCAGGCATTTCAAACTCAACAGAAAATGTTTGAAGAAAAACCTGACACTGCAGGATATAAAAAAGGTAAGACTATCTAAAATATGTTGATTTCCATTCCTCATTTTCATCTCTTTTATTCCATCTTCCCGAGGCAAGGGCATTAACTGACTATAAAAGTCCAGTTTTCACCCTTTGCTGAACTCAGCTGGAATTCTGGAGTTACAGTTTGGCTTAACTAACGAGTCTATGCTTAGTCCAATCAAAATTGCGCAATGAACAAGACATCTGGTTAGGGCTCAGTCACACATTCAGGATTTTTACTGCTGTCCTTGATAGGACCATTCCAGATTAAAATTGGTCGAAAGTCTGATCAAGATCCTGTGATTCATGGTGGGAAATTCACAAATTGGTAAAAACATTTATTTAATCATGACAACAATCAGATATTGTTCTGGAAGTGTCCTGATTCACCCATTTCCAGCCAAATTCGTCTCCGACTCTCCCGTTCTCAATCTGAATCTGATCCGATTTATATCTTCCGCATGGTAAGAAACGACCAAATCTCTCCCGACAGCATCCCAAATTCTCCCGAATGCGATCCGACAAAGATCAGACAGTGACCGGACAGTGAACCCACAAAGATGGTTTGCATTCAATATGATCTGGACGCAATCTGGACAATGAACAATCATATGGAGATGCCAATTAAACTGCGACAGTGAGGTGCACGACAATATGGTAAAATGTTTTTACCATGTTTGAACACCATGCAAAGTGACGCCAATTATTTGATAGTTTTGATTTTAAATTGTTTGATAACAGTCAATAACTACGTATGTTTGTTTTTATGGACATCTGTAATCTATCGATGTTGACCAGGCAGTCACGCCTACAAGTGACTCTCTCTCAGGCCGTCTTTCACTCGCTTGTTCGGAGAGCCGTCTCTCGTATGCGTAACGGGGCTGTGGGACGACTTGTTTACCATTTGCGAGCAGTTTGAGGAATGTAGACATGTTTAAACGCGCTGGCACACAGGTGTGCGTTCGTGTGCCCGAAAAAAGTATATATATGTTGTTACACTATGACGAATAAGCTTTAAGAAAATACTGAAATAATGTTTCTGAAAAATATGCACAAAGGAGAAAATCGCTGTCCAAAATCGGCAAATTTGGCTCCAATTTCGTACATTTCTCTCCAAAATTTGACTCTTTTAATTGATTTTTCTACATTTTATATCTTCCACCATATAATATATTACCCATTTCAAAATTGTTGTCCTTATACGTGATCAAAATACATTTCTTCCTTGTTCTAACCACGAAACTACACGCTAAATAAATATCGTGGATATTATACGCACCATTCTGATTCAGACACATTTAGTGTAACAAGTGGGATGATCCGATTCAACATTTTAGTCATGCATCAGTTACCTCCCTTTATTGGCTTGTCGACCAGTCACTTGTACGCGAGACGGTTCTCGCAGTTTCAAAGAAAGTAAACATGTTTCAACGCGATGGAAAATGGGTGTGTGTTGGTGTGCATAAAATAATTCATATATTTTGTAACTCTACGATGAATAAGCTTTTAGAAAATACTACATGTTAGTTTCTGAAAAATATGTACATAGGAGAAAATCGCTGTCAAAAACAGAACATTTTGCTCAATTTTTTCACATTTTTCTCCGAATTTGACCGTTTATTATATTTCTTATGACATTTTTTTCATGTCATACGATAACTAGTATGATTAACAATGACTCTACGTAATTTTGTGTTATGTTCAAAAATAACACTTGTAGAGACATTTATGTACAACGTGCAGAAATCCATGGTTCACTGACAGACCGTCACGCATACGAGTGACCCCTCTCAGGTGGTCACTTGTACGCGAGACAGGAGAGCCGTCTCGCGTACACGTTACGTCCTCTACTGATGAACAATTTCCCCACACCATCCCGACAACACAGGACATTGTGATGAGTTTGATCCAACACAGCAGAATCTGTCATGACATAGTCACGATTGTAATCCGACTAGACAAAATCGGCTTAGTTTCCAGAATGTTATGGGATTTGGCCGAACTCTATGGACTTTTCCTGATCCGTAGGACTTGGTAATGAACGTATACGACTGCATTTAGATAATGATAGGACATACCAGATCGGTGAGGATTGTAATCCGACTTTTTCACTTTTTGTGTCGTAGTGCGATCTGATCTCAAACGTGAGCCATAATCGGCACTATGTTAACGCAACCTTAGTAAAGACATTGATTTCAATGTCGACTGAAGGTTATGCAAAGTGTGTGTACCGCAAACTTGGCGTCCACAGATATTTTCCAAATCTTTTCAGGTTTTTAATCAAGGTGCTCAAGTAGTTTGATGCATTTTGCAATGTAAGGCCCGTTTTGTTACAATATAGATCTTGATTATCGATCAGATCAACTTGACTGGCCTCTGCCAATTGTTTGAAACAAATGCAAGTGATATGAGAGGTGGAATCTGATTAGTCAGTGGAAGGGACATAGAAGGGACATAACTTATAATAGCCACTGGAAATTCCAGCAAGGGAGGAAACTTGACATTTATAGTCAGTTAAGGACCTTGCCTCGGGAAGATGCTTTCATTTAAACCTAAATCAAACTTTGTAGGGATTTTTATTTGGCAGTCAGATTAGCCATAGGTCGTTGAAAGCATATATTATATACTGATTATGAAAGAGATAAGACTCCAAAGTAGTTGTTGAAGAAAATTGTTATATTAACAAGAGTAGTGGCTGCTATTTTACCAGAACATATGCTCAGAAAGGGGTATTCTCCTGTGACTTCTTCGCTGGAACGATTGTAAACTCTAGATATATAATGGAGGATATTGATATGTTTCGTATTGGAGAAAATGTATTGTTATTAACCTGTGCATTGATATGTGCTACTTTTTCCCTCAATGTGTTTGCTTGAACTTGTTAAGTGGGCACAATACCTTGAGTATTTATGATTAGATTTTGACTACATTTCTTAATTCATGAGTAGTAATTATAAGGTTTAATAATATATCAACATATTCACCTGTACCTGTACCATGTGTAAAAATCATTGAGCTCAGGTTCAACCAATGTTTCTTCAATTTCCTTGATTACGTAGAAGTCTTACGTCTTATTGCAGGAAAGAATACTTATTATATCTGGTTGTCTTTGTTCACGTTTTAGACTCTTGATTACATATCCAGGTGAACTTTTATGCCATGGCCCTCTTTCTTTACCAGACAAAAACGAAATTTGTTTATTTCCCTTAAAACAAATCATTCACACAGCATATTTTAAATGACCTGCAGGGAGTAACACTTAGTGTGATGAACCAAGTGTTTGTTTGCTGCAAGAATGAAGAGAACTACAGAAAAATGTCACATTGTCTGTAACTTCTAACACTCCTTCTTCATAGAACCAACTTATGCAGATGTTGCTGCACCCAAGACAAATAAAGGCAGACGTGACAGAAGAAAAATTGAAATCATCTTGACAGAGGGCCAAATTGCAAAGCAGCAGGTAACCTTTCAAATTTTCACTTGCTAACATCACCGGTATTAGGTAATATCTAGGTTGTTTTTTTTTAGGCCTCTGGCAACTACTTCCAGAGAATCAGGGGCATGGGTGGCTCAGTCGTCTAAGGCGCCGCGATTCGCTGTGCAGAGGAGCATCCCTTGGGCACTCCAGAAACCTATGATTGTGGGTTCGCCCCGATTATGTTTCTGGGTTTGTCAGCACCATACCCGTGCTCATGGGTTTCACCGAAGGGGTAAACGTCTGAGACCTGCATCACTTCGGGCTTTCCTCCCACATTAAGCTGACACACCGCGATATAACTGGAATAATGTTAAAAGCGACGTTAAACCCAATTCACTCACTCACTTCCAGAGAATCAATTAAGTAGGAGTATGAAACATAAAAACAAGAATTTGGAAATGGTAAGTGAAGTACTATGATGATATTTATAAAATTCGGTTTGTGATTCAGTTTCCTTCAATATACTGCCAGCTGTTGAAGGGTTAAGTTTACAAAGTATCCAACGTGCATTTTGATAAGACAAAACACATAGACAGTGACTTGATGGCAAACTGGCTCTTTGATTAGCTATATTTCATAATTTGCAATAAAATGTTCGATCAAGAGCAGTATGAAATCCATTGTTAAACAAGCTGAAACTATAGACCAGGAACTACGAATGCTTAATGACTTCATCATCAAGCTATGACATTAGTTTTATGATGAAACATGATATATGTAACTGTTAAAATGGAAAATGCCAGAGAACAATCTGTCTTGATCATCAGCAGCATAAAATTTGAATTTGACCACCGCCTCTGCCTTTTGTTTTTGAAACTATGCAGTGCTTAGACATCTCAGGGATATCAGCCCTGGGCCAAATTCATCAAAGCGATCTTTCCGCTAAGGTGATCGCAAGTCCCATACTTTAACATGGGCTTACGATCTTCGTAGTGCTAAGATCGCTTTGAGGAAATGGGCCCCCGGGGATTTTGTTTTAACACATTGATCAGTCATGTCAAGGGTCAAGGGTCAAGGTATTCCTAATGCTATTTTTTCATTGATACTTTCTAGGTAACCTGAATTTTTGTTTGTTTGTTGTTTAACACCGCACTCAGCAATATTCCAGCTATATGACTGTGGTCACTATATAATCAAATCTGGACCAGACAATCCAGTGATTGACTTCATGAGCATCAATCTACGCAAATGGGATACAATGCCATGCATGTTAATCAGCCATCTTTTTTCTATATGTATTGAAATTTGACATGGGTGTAGTTTGTAGTAGGGCCTAACACATATTTTCCACTTTTTGCTGTTATGAAATTTGACCCTTTATTCAACTTTTACAGCATAAGAATTAAAGTCACCAAACTGAAATGTTATCATGGGCAATCACACAATCAAAGTAGGTGCAAAGTTTGGGGAAAGATATCTTCAAATCCACTGTATTCTAGTCTGCCACCTGATAATGTTTGAACAAATTATCTGCATACATTGGGGTGCAATGGCAAAAGGTTGGTATTCACATGCAGATGCCAGGGAAACCAAACTTGACTTCGAAGAGAAAGGTTCTTTAATCTGGTGTGAAGTTGTAGTAGGCAATAATTTCACCAAACTAAAGTTTTCACACTGGAATGTGTGGTGGTATAAAGTGGTCGTGAAGAGGTTGCTACTGTTTTTTAAATGTTTTGTTTCAGACTGACGTCATTGTGAACACAGCAGACAATTGGCTGGATTTAAGCAAAGGAGCAGTGTCACAGTCGATTTTAAAGGAAGCAGGAAGTTCTATTCAAGACGAATGCAACAAAAAGTATAAGTGGCAAACACCCATTCTTGATGGGACATTTGTTGTCACAAAAGCAGGGAAGTTGAAAAGCCACTATATTTATCATGTGTGCTTGCCAAGGTTTTCTTACCCAGGAAGCGACGCAAAGGTAAGTACATTGAAAAAGGGTTACTTTTCAAAAGAAGGTAAATTACTGTAAATCATGGACTTAATTCAAGGATGAATGTAATGCGAAAGAGGACATAGGATCAGATTGATTGTTCCCTATTTTAACTATTAGTGATCTGATTTGCAGGAAGCTGTATATGAAGTTTGCCATGTTCTACTCCATTTTGTGCTAGTTTGAGTCTGTCATGCCATACCATGTCAAAGGCTTTGCTCAAATTCCAGAATACTGCGTCTAGGTATTGTCTGTTTTTAATAATTGGGCTTTTTAAAATTTTATTTTCCATTTTAAGTATATGATCTCAACATGAGTGTCACTTTCCTGAAGCCGTTATGATCAGGTTTGATGTGGTTGCCAGTTTCAAGATGATGCATCGGACTTTATGTAACCGTGGCTTCCATAGCTTTGAACATGTTTGAAGTGAGTGAGATCGGTCAATAAGAGTTTGGTAGAGCTTGTCTCTCCCTTGCTTTAGAAGCAGGACAACTGCAGTATGTTTCCATGCCTTTTGGACTTCGTGTTGTACAACTCAGTGAGAAAGCTCTTGGTTTTTATCATGGTTTTTTTCAATATCTCGTAACACATGGTGCAGTGCCTTTTCTATGTTGTATTGCATCATCAAACTCTCACAGTAAATGGTATATCGTAAACCAGACGCTTGCTTTGCGGCTGTTTTGATATCTTAGGCATAAGCACTTTTTCCTGTTGGTATTCTTTGCTGCAAGTTTTGTTGCTGCTGACAGATAAGAAGTGCTCAGTTAGAATGTTGGCCTTTTCTTTGACTGTATGGGCGTTGGCCAACTTAGAATGTTTTTAGGTTTATGCTTGCTCCTGATTGTGTGTATTTTGCTCTGTTTTAGCATTTGTATTTCATTTGGAGATTTGCAGAAGGTCTGCGATGACTCTTTTTTAGAATCGTCTATGAGTTGTCTTACTTTTGTCCTGGCTGCTCGGACCTGGGTGATGGATGATATATCACTTATTGACCTGTTAAGGGCTTTCTTACTCACTCTCCCAGCTTTCACTATTTCCCTGTTACCATGGTACCTGAGTTTTGTCGGTTTGGTGGGATTTAAAAAAAAATTGATGTTTAAGCTGCTGTAATAATTGCTGAGGTGTGGTTTTTGTAAAAAAGATCAGGATTATCCAATATTTCTGAGGATTTAAATGATGTACATTCCTTCCTGATTTTGGGCCAATCAGCCTTGGCATAGTCCCATGTGGGCCAAGGATTGGGCTGTTCCTCTAATTGTGGTGGATTACCTATGGAGATGAGTATGGGAAGGTGGTCGCTTCCCCTAGTGTCATCATGGACTTGCCATTGGCAATGTGAGGCGAGGTTGTTGGTGGCAATTGTGAGGTCAATTGAACTCCATGTATTGTGGACATGGTTATAACATGTGGGACTGTTTGAAGTTATGAGGTTCTTGTCTTCAACCCATTTCTCTATGTTTTTGCCATATTTGCACGAATCGTTCCTCTCTCCCCATAAAGTACCGTGGGCATTAAAGTCACCAAGGATTATCCCATTTTGCCTACTATACTGACATCTTCCCAAGGCAAGAGAGTTAACTGACTATACAAGTCCAGTTTCCACCCTTGCCGAACTAGGCTGGCATTATGGAGTTACAATTTGGCTAACAAGTCTATGCATAGTCCAATCAAAATCGCGCACTGAAATCGAAATCCAGTTCGTAAACTGTCGTGCAGATTTCGGTTGATGGCAGGATTTGCAAAGCATGTACACCGCCAATTCGTTGTCAGCAGGTATTTTCCAAATCTTTTCATGTTGTTAATCAAGGTGCTCACGTGATTTGATGCATTTCGCGATGTAAGACCCGCTTAATCACGGTATAGAACTTGATTATCGATCAGATCGTCCTAACTGGGCGCCACCATTTTGTTGGAAGCAAGTGATAAGAGAGGTGGAATCTGATTGGTCCATAAGAGAGGTTTAGAAGGGACATAACTGGTAATAGCCACTGGTGGCGCTACGATCAAGCCAAGGAATTCCAGCCTAGTTCGGCAAGGGTCGAAACTGGACTTTTAAAGTCAGTTAACTCTCTTGCCTCGGGAATATGACTACTGATTGTTACGTGCAGATCCTATTTTGTTCATACTTAAGTATATATTTCTCAACGTGGTCAGACAAGGCATCCGACCTCTGATCAGTAGGTCCGTGGTTCGAATCCCAACACGGGACTCGGAAATTTTATGGCCACTACATTGGCGCCCAACGTGGGGCTGAGCACATAGTAACTTTGAGCAAAATAAATCTCTGTCCCCTACTATGCGGCCCAGGATGTGCCTTCTGTTGATGGGGAAGTATGTAGGAGGACGTGGAGTCATCCCACAGATGACATTCTTACCTTGTCAGCTTGCTTCGGTTATGTGGACAGGGCGTCCGACCTCTGATCAAAAGGTCCGTGGTTCAGATCCCATCATGGGACTCGGAAATGTTATGGCCGCTACATAGATTTTAGGTTAATTGATACAAATAATGGCAAAACTTGTTAAAAATTATTATCCAATATAGCAGAACACAGAAAAAATTATTACAATATTGTTTTACAGTAAAGGAGTGTACAGGTAATACTTTGCGGTCCAATTTATGATTCTTGAAGATCACTGTTGTTTATTAACTAGTTATAATTACCTTGCCTTAATAGTTTTTCTGGAAATTAGGCAGACAAAAAACTAAGACAGAAAATATTTCTCATATTTCTCATATCCCAACAGTCCCAACAGCAGGTAGTCAAAGACAAATCAGCTGGAGGGAAGGTACCTATTGTTTTTTTCAAAACTGGAATGGCAATAAAGTTTGACAAAATAGTTTCAAAATCATGATCATAAACATAAACATTTCAAGTGTCATTTAAAGAGAACTCCATTAAAAGAAATTAGGGGGCACGGGTGGCCCAGTCGTCTAAGGCGCCGGATTCGCTGTGCAGAGTTGTGTCCCTTGGGCGCACCAGAAACCTATGATTGTGGGTTCGAATCCCGGATCGCCCCGATTATGTTTCTAGGTTTGTCAGCACCATACCCGTGCTCATGGGTTTCAAAATTTGCATGCTTCAAAATAACATTTCTTGGGGGACAAATATCAATTTTGTCTCAACCATAACATAATACACCCAGTATCCAATCACTCATTTCACCTAAACAATATTCATATAATTTCTTTTGAGTGAGTATGAGTGAGTCGGGTTTAACGCCGCTTTTAACAGTATTCCAGTTATATCACGGCGTGTCAGCTTAATGTGGGAGGAAAGCCCGAAGTAATGCAGGTCTCAGACATTTACCACTTCGGTGAAACCCATGAGCACCGAAGTGGTAAGTGGTAAATGTCTGAGAACTGCATTACTTCTCCTAAGCAACTGTTGTATATTGGGTATATGAAATATGAACATTTGTGCAGATTTATGTCAAATCATCTAAGATCAAGGTTATTGTGTGCTGTTGGGGTATAATCACGCAATCCACCAAGTCACTGAACCTGACCACCCGATCCATTAAATTACCAGAATAGGTTGCCTGGGACCAATTCTAACCTGGAATGTATCAGGATTGTGGGATGCCAAAGGGAAGCCTAAAGGAATTGTAATGGACCTGCTTTTGTTTCTCATGACATGAAATCATCTCCCTGGTTTTCCTCACTGGTGATAACATTTTTTTCAGTTCAAATTGTCCGATGTGATCTTACAATGCTTAAAGACTGCATCAGACCACAACAGCCAGAAGATAGCTTTCCCAGCACTTGGTACAGGATCACTAGCATATCCTCCTGAAATGACTGCCAAAGTCATGTATGAAATGGTGAAGAAATTTGAAGAGGCAGTACCTCAAACTTCAATTGAGAAAGTAGTATTCGTTGTTTATCCCAAAGATAAGCATACAGTTTGGGTAAGTTTCAGGTAGAAGAATTAGGTTCTAAGATGCAACTTCCTCAAGTAAAGTAGCAACCTCCTTAGAATCAGATCTTTTGCTCCGATATGAAATGTCTGCATGAAGAGATGAAGACACTTACAAAGCACATTGTAGGTGTTTGTGTTCTCTTCAGCCAATCATTGTCAAGGCTTCCAAATTCATGGTATGTCATGGTAAGAGCGAAGCATTCAGACCTTCTTATCTCATTTTTGCTTCTCGAAAACAAACTTAAATGACCAGTTCCGAATGTAAATGATTAATGCCATCCTATGGGTCTGTTATACATCCTGAGTGTCATGTATTCACACCAAGGATTATTTGTAATCTCTGGGGGCAGAGATATTTTTGGTTGACATTGAAATTTCCAAATCAAGACATGTACAGTAAAGAAATGGAAGCAGTATTAGGGAAAAATCCTTGAACACATTATCATTGTCTTGAGCTTGCAAGGAGGAAGTGGGAGGGATGATACAAGGGCAGGTAACTCATGTTGGTAAATGCAAACCAATCAAGAATTTTTACTATTAACATTTGGGGGCAGTCGTGTATCCTGGTTAAAGCGTTCACTCGTCACGCCTTAGACCCGGGTTCGATTCCCGACATGGGTACACTGTGTGAAGCCCATTTCTGATGTCCCCTGCCGTGATATTGCTGGGATATGGCTAAAAGCGGCATAAAACCAGACTCACTCACTCTATTAACATTTTGCAAATCTGTTCTTTCTTACAGTTTGTGAACAGTAATAACAGTTTCTTCAGTGTGTACAGCTAACCAGCTTCAGTAGCAGAGATATTAGTCATGTCATTTGATTGTGACAATGGTTGAAAAGCATTGTGATGCAATTTAATCCCTTTGGTGATTTGTTTGAACTCACCCAAAGCGATATCGCCAGTTGAGGCCATTTTTGGATGATAAATCAAAATCATGTCATTATCTTTTTATTCACTTCTCAATGTTTCTGTCTTTAAAGTCATTCAAGTGTGCTGATGAACAGTATAAAATGCATCATGGAAGAGGGGCTACCCACGGGGGAGGAGGAGCTACACATGGAGGAGGAAGGGCTACACATGGAGGAGGACGAGCTACACATGGAGGTGGAGGGGCAATGGGAGGACAAGGTGAGATGTCAGATGTTTTTCAACAAATGTGGACAATGTAAACAAAGGATAAATACACAAATAGATATAGTTTTTCATGTTTTAGTATATTTTCGCAAAAAAAAGTTAACCATTTGATGACATATGTTATCCAAATGTGTAGACTTTAATGATACAGATGAAAGATATATGTAATTTGTTGAATTGACTGTAAGGTGTGACGAATAAGGGCAGAGTTGTTTTGTCTGTATGGAAGAGTTTTGTCTGTATGAAGGGGTTTTGTCTGCATGGAAGGGTTTTGTCTGTATGGAGGGGTTTTGTCTGTATGGAGGGGTTTTGTCTGTATGGAAGGGTTTTGTCTGTATGGAGGGGTTTTGTCTGTATGGAGGGGTTTTGTCAGCTGTATATCAAATCTGAGTAAAGATCTAATTTGAATGAGATCTGAACAAAATGAAGGGTTATGTTCACATGGAATTTTTGTTGTTCTTCTTTTATTCCCTGGAGACATCACACAAGTTATTTAGACATTTGAATAATCAGTGCTCTTCACGGCATTGTCGATTACTCAGTGTATGAATCTCTTTTCTATTATGATAAATACCCGAGACCTATTCATCACCCGACCTTTGCTTTGCATGACATAAGGCAAATATTATATGTCAGCAAATCAAATATCACTAGTGCAAATGTTTTGTAGCGTAAGGACTTCTCTCTCCTTGTCTTTATAGTCAAGAAAACATTAGCTTATGTATATCTCCCTTTATAGCCCTGGTAATCAATAATGTCAAGGATCAAGGTCATCATCAAGGCCTGAATAAGAGTTTTATAGAACATAAGGCCATATACCGGTACTTTCATTGTTACATTTAGTGACATTTAGTTCCAACTAGGGACATCATATCTGGCTGATGTGTCCCATTGTACATGTTCTTATAACATAGATAGCTTAAGACATTGGACTTTAGGTTGTTCATTGGGTAGGTGTTTTCCTAATTCAATCCCATTGTGCCTACATCTGAGTTTGCCTACATCCCAATGTGCCTACATTCCAATGTTCCTACAGCCCTTCATCCCATTGTGCCTACATCCCAGTTTGCCTACATCCATATATTCATACATCCCAGTTTGCCTACATTCCATTGTGCAAACATTCCATTGTGCCTACATCCCAATGTGCCTACATCCCAGTTTGCCTACATTCCATTGTGCATACATTCCATTGTGCCTACATCCAAATGTGCCTACATCCCAGTTTGCCTACATCCTATTGTGCCTACATCCCATTGTGTCTACATCCCATTGTGCCTACATCCCAATGTGCCTTTATCACATTGTGCCTACATCCCATTGTGCCTACATCCCATTGTGCCTTTATCCCATCATGCCTACATCCCATTGTGCCTACATCCCAATGTGCCTTTATCCCATTGTGCCTACATCCCATTGTGCCTTTATCCCATTGTGCCTTTATCCCATCGTGCCTACATCCCATTGTGTCTACATCCCAATGTGCCTACATCCCATTGTGCCTACATCCCATTGTGCCTACATCCCATTGTGCCTTTATCCCATCATGCCTACATCCCATTGTGCCTACATCCCAATGTGCCTTTATCCCATTGTGCCTACATCCCATTGTGCCTACATCCCATTGTGTCTACATCCCATTGTGTCTACATCCCAATGTGCCTACATCCCAATGTGCCTTTATCCCATTATGTCTACTTCCCATTGTGCCTACATCCCATTGTGTCTACATCCCATTGTGTCTACATCCCATTGTGCCTACATCCCATTGTGCCTACATCCCATTGTGCCTCCATCTCATTGTGCCTCCATTTCATTGTGCCTACATCCCATTGTGCCTACATCCCATTGTGACTTTATCCCTATTGTGTCTACATCCCAATGTGCCTACATCCCATTGTGCCTACATCAATGTGTGTCTACATCCATGTGTGTCTACATCCCAATGTACCTACATCCCAATGTGCCTTTATCCCATTGTGTCTACATCCCATTGTGTCTACATCCCAATGTGCCTACATCCCAGTGTGCCTTTATCCCATTATGTCTACTTCCAAATGTGCCTACATCCCATTGTGTCTACATCCCATTGTGCCTACATCCCATTGTGCCTACATCCCAATGTGCCTACACCCCATTGTGTCTACATCCCATTGTGCCTACATCCCAATTTGCCTTTATCCCATTGTGTCTACATCCCATTGTGTCTACATCCCATTGTGTCTACGTCCCATTGTGCCTACATCCCAATTTGCCTTTATCCCCATTGTGTCTACATCCCGTTGTGTCTACATCCCAGTGTGCCTACATCCCATTGTGCCTACATCCCAATGTGCCTACATCCCAATGTGCCTACATCCCAATGTGCCTACACTGCTCTTACATATTAAGGAAGCTTGAGGCATTGGGATTTATGAAGTTGTCCCTCATTAGATGATGTAAGGGATGGTAGATGCACATGGATACATATGGGCAAGTTTAGGTGTCACCTGATTTAGTAAATATTAATTTTCAATGCAAGAGAATAAACACTAGTGAAGATTCATGTTTCTGGAAAGGTTTGGGGCATGAAAAGGACCCAGTGGAATGAGCTTTCGTTTCTGCATTTAATGCCAACACTTTTCTTGTTCATGTGGGTGCATTTAAGACTGATTGAATAAGATTCACACAAGGTCTCTGATAAAGTACTCTACTGTGTAGGTTGAGTTGATATATTCTTGTCAAATGAGGACATAAAATATTATCATATTTTTGACACAGAAAATAGAACAATGGACAATTTAGTTTTGAATTGGAGACATTTTTGGTCACAGTAGTTCTTTCGTTATTTCAGCTGCTTCCACCGGAAAACCAGTGGATTATAAGTATCACAACATGCATGTGACTATCAAGTCAGGAGACATCTTGAATGAGACTTGTGATTGTATTGCTATCACTGCTGATCCAACACTCAACTTATGGAAAGGTAAATGTTTCTTATTCTCTTGAAAAGATTGAGACATGCATATCTCCCAAACAATAATTTATATGTTAAATCGTGTTGGTCTGACACACTCCATTGCCTATTGTGGTGGCACCTGGTCCTCTGCCCAGGTCACAAATCAGGTGAAGTAAAGCTACTTTTGTCGTGAACAGTTTTTGGATGGGAGACCGCATTCGACAGCTTGAATCCTGAGTGTTTCTGGTGCTCTGGTCCTGCCCCACACTGAAGAACGTTACTCTTGTGGTGCTTCCTCTGACAAGAGACTTTGTTTGAAGTATGCCTCTGTTCATCCAGCAGTGAATGGGTACCTGGTAGGATGAAATGGCAACTATTAACCTTCTAGCATCTCACAGGCAGCCTGGATTGTATACCCCCCAGAGAGCATCTTCCCGAGGCAAGAGAGTTAACTGACTTTAAAAGTCCAGTTTCCATCCTTGCCGAACTAGGCTGGAATTCCTGGGCTCGATCGTAGCGCCACCAGTGGCTATTGTGCGTTATGTCCTTTCTATGCCTCTCCTATTGACCAATCAGATTCAACCTCTCGTATCACTTGCATTTGCTTCAAACAAAACAGTGGCGCCCAGTCAAGACTATCTGATTGATAATCAAGATCTATATTGTGATAAAACGAGTCTTACATCGCGAAGTGCATCAAATCATGTGAGCACCTTGATTAAAAGCATGGAAAGATTTAGAAAATATCTGTAGACAACTAGTTAGCGGTGCACATGCTTTACAAATCCGAAATTTTCATGACACTTTACCAACCGGATTTTGATTTCGGTGCAAGATTTTGATTGGACTATGCATAGACTCGTTAGTCCAGACAAAATGTAACTCCATAATACCAGCCTAGTTCAGCAAGGGTGGAAACTGGACTTTTATAGTCAGTTAACTCACTTGCCTTGGGAAGATGCCCAGAGAGCTGAAAATGAAATCACATGCAGACTGATCCACTGACTGCATGTGATTTCATTTTCAGCTCTTGACATAAAGTGCAATATGAATGGATGAATGAAATGGTCAAACTCTAGAAGTTGATTGGACACCAAATTGGCACCTTCTAATAACTGTGTCATGATGTTAATTTGCAAAAATATGCAAAACATGATTCAAACATAAAATTGTGATCATTAATATATACAAGTGATAAATATATCATGGACACAGACAGTTATCATGAATATAATATGACATGAGAGGAAGCTTGTACTCTGAATTCTGTTTCATCAGGGACCATATAATAGTCTCTGGTTTCATATGGTATATGTTCAGTCATACAAGACTAACATGACAGATTGACTGCTGTAGTTCAGATTTATTTTTTGAGGCAACATGTGACTACATTGTAGTTACTTCGGGCAAGTAATCAGCAACTGAGGAGAGTTTTAAAAGCCATATGTAAACAGATAATTAGGATAGTACAGTGCAATGACTAACAAGAAATCAGCATTAGCCAATCAGAAAGCAGATTTCTTGAGCTATACAGCACTAATTTCCAAAAGGTGACTTCATCCAGAATATGCTTTAGAATAATATTTTGATCAAGTTCCTGATTAAAAATTTGAAAATTAATCAAAAGAACATTCAGAAATATCTAATACTGGTAGATGGCCGAGTATGTATGGCACTTCTTACCACGGTCCCTACAATTCAAATGTTTATCCCACTGAAGTAAGAGATAGACGATGATTATGACGGATTCAGCTATACAGTCCGTAACTGTGCTTCGGAATACGTACCCCATGTTAACCTTTTCAAGGTTAAATGACCAGAGTGAGTGAGCGAGTATGGTTTTACACCGCTTTTAGCATTATTCCAGCAATATCACGGCGGGGGACACTAGAAATGGGCTTCACACATTGTACCCATACCGGGAATCGAACCCAGGTCTTCGGCGTGACAAGCGAACGCTTTAACCACTAGGCTACCTGACCGCCTATTGAATGACTAGAAATCACAATGGGATTGTCACTTTCCTGATCAGGTAAGCAATGCTCTGATTGGTCGGACGAAAGGTTGTTATTCCATGACATGTAATGGGATGTCTTCAGTTCTTTGTTTAGCGGTAGCTAGAAGTAAGATCTGATTTTAATGAGAATGTAAGAAAAGAGAAACACATATAAGCAGTCAAGCCAGAATCTGATAAAATGTGCCGTTAAATATGTTGGCTTTTTTGTCAGAGCTGCAAATGAAATGTTCCATATTATTTTGTTTCAGGAACCATAACCAAGAATCTACTACAAAAGGATAGAGGAAATCTCCTTGAAAAAAATTGTAAAGAACCATCTCAAAGTATGTTTCATTTGTCACTTTGGGTGCTGTGTAGTATAACCTCACTGAACACTTTACATGGTAGTTTGTAAATTGAGACTTTTAATCCTGGTAACAACAGGTAAAACAGAGTATCAGAGACCATATACCAGATATGGATTCTGAGAGTATATATGATTATAGGTAAGCCCCCATGAATGGAGCTGCTTTATAATGTTGCTGCAAGATGGCCAAAGCTGTGGAGCTTCTCTTGGAATATTCAAAGCTTACTGACATTTGAGGATATCCTTAGAAGTCTTCGCCATGGACCACAAAACACGTCACTGGAAGGTCAAGGTCACTTTATGAAAGTAATTCATGTTCCATGTTGTTGTTACACTTTCTCAAAACGTATTTGTGTTTTTACCACTATACATTGTCAATATCTTGTCCTGGACTTGCGGAGAAGATGTTTTCAGTGAGCAGATTAATGGAAACGTTTTGGTATCATTGTCAGTTTCTGAAGCATCATTACCTCTGCATACCTGAAACTTGATGTGAAAGGTCGTCATTGTCAGTTACAGATACACATTCGCTTGTATGCACCTAATATTTGGTAGTTTGGTGTATTCTACAGTCAAGGTGAAGGTCACATAAAGGCCTGATTAATTAAAAAGTGCATATAGATTATGTCTATTATAAAACTTAAATAATATGGAAGATGAATTCCACGTTTTTCTTTGGTGTACAAAATATTCAGCTTTCAGAAGTAAATATATAGAACAGTATTTCTTCATTAATCCAAATATTCCAAAGTTTCAAGCTTTAATATTCACTGATAAAATAAGTACACTTAGTAACAGTACAGTGATCATCCACCATGCAGTGCTGCTAAGGAAGAAATGTACTGTAAAATAGTCTCTCTCAACCACTTGTAACTGATTGCTGTTGTACATGAAGAGCCAGAGGCCATTTAGTATTCTAATTAAACAAAGATGGATTGATGAAGAGACCTTCATTGAAGAGCTGGGGGCACGGGTGGCCCAGTCGTCTAAGGTGCCACGATACGCTGTGCAGAGTTGCGTCCCTTGGGCTCGCCAGAAACCTATGATTGTGGGTTCGAATCCCGGTTCGCCCCGATTATGTTTCTAGGTTTGTCACCACCATACCCGTGCTCGTGGGTTTCACCGAAGTGGTAAACGTCTGAGACCTGCATCACTTTGGGCTTTCCTCCCACATTCCTTCATTTTCCTCCAAAGCTGACACGCTGTGATATAACTGGAATACTGTTAAAAATTGCGTTAAACCCGACTCACTCACTCACTCATTGAAGAGCAAGCTCACAGAATGGTCATTCATAAGAAAGGTCTCGGCTTCTTGGTGTTCTGAATACAGACTTTTTGTTGGCATGACATGTTTGTAAGAATTAGTTACATAGCATTCTTCATAAATAAATAGTCAAGCATATGATTGGGTGAAAGTGAGGGTCAAACAAAGTGCATATTACTTAAGAAATAAACGATGAGTGGGAGTTGTTTATCACACAATAAAACACTGCAGGGAATAAACCATGAGGGGCGCAGCTTTTGGGTGCGATCGTTTGGCCACTGCGTTCACCTGGGCTGTCCAGCTTCGTCTATAGGGAACAACTCAAAATACACTTCCATCTCAAAACTGACATCGTCCAATTTACCAATGTGCGAGCGCATGTTCTAATCTCCAGAAATGAAGTCGTGACAGAACAATGTTTTATCGTGAAATACGCCACGATTCGTTCTTCATTGTTCTTTGCGAATTATAGTTATCTTATATAATCTTATTAGGGTAGCTGGAAGCATAATACTTTCTGGTTTAAAAAACTGTACTGCATTGGGCATGTGTTGAGCTTTGTGTAACAAAAACACAGGGTACTTCAATGTTCACTTAAATAAAAATGGTTTGTTTTCATTTGATCAAATTATGGCAGTTATGACAGTGGTGTCACATGCATAATCTGAATTCCATGATAACATACTTATACTAGATGTTATATGTCAGCTTATTTTTAGTCTTTCAGGCTTAGGGTAGGAACAACTCAAGAAGATCTTTAATCTTGATGGAGTGAAACAATTTGTTCATTTATTAAAATGCTTCTACAGGGTTTATCTGTAATGACTTGGATTGTGTGAGTATGTAATAATTTTGTGTGTTGAATCCTATGGTTCTCCTGTTATCTCCCACCTAAGTGAAGTATGCCGGGGATGTAGAAATGGGCTCCATCTGTCTGTCTATCCTATTGTTTCCAGAGCACAACTCATTAACTTTTCCTTCTTTCTTTGTGAAACTTGTATGCACTGAAATACTGCCTTTAGCTATTCAAGAACTTTTGAATTTACATTTTTTTGCTTAGGGTAGGGTTCATTTCCAGAACATAATTCGTAAGCTGTTGAATAGTTCTTTGTGAAAGTTTTTATGCACTGAATTTGTGCCTTTGTCTTTATTTCAGTTTGTGTTTGCATGATTTCTAAATACAGTTCATGATCGCTTTCTTTTCATTTATCATTCTTTTTCAGGAAAGGAATATGACTCAAAAGGAATGCTGATGATATCCAGTTTTCATTGCTGCTCAGCAAACATGCTGCTTCTGTTGAACAGAGATATGGTAAAAAGGGATCAACAACAGGCAATTTTGAAAAGTCTCGAATTTGCAAACCTCAGAGAAAACATCAGTTTGGCATTTCCAATCTTTGCCCGTGGTTAGTTTCCCTCATGTTTGCTCATATGATTCAAAGTTACAAACATTTTATGATATATTATAACTTTGGAGAATGTAATTATAACCAATTGGATATATTTTTAATCTTTAAAAATGAAAAATACACAGTATGCATATTTAAAATGAGCTGTGAAGTTCGACAACTACACAAACTGCCCAAACTGGTTTATGGCCATAGGCAGCGAAGTGGTGATACCCCTGTTTGTCTTTGGTCGACATGGATATTATGACTGGTCACGTGCAAGGGAAAAGATAGAAACTTGGACTGACACTGAATAATGTCTTGAAACATCTCAGGTAGATGCAGTTGAATATCATAAATATAGTTCCAAAGACAGCACTTGAGATTATTAGCTGAAACTTTGGACAAACTGTTGGATTCAGAACACTGGTTTTCTAAATTATTACTGATGCTGTCGAAATTGATATCAAACAGTCCTTGGTTATCTTACCTGACTAATGTCATGACCTGCTTGCCTGTCATCCATGTGTAATAATCATTTAATCACTTGCCCAATGGCACATAATGCATGTTAACATCATAAATACACCCTTTTTGAGTTTACTTTGTTAAAAATAGCTATATTGTATGTAAAATGACTGGAAAGCATAAAAAACTGTTTTGCCCAGTGATCATCCACATTTGGGTAGGTCATGCCCCTGAAGATTAGGTATTTATACCGAAGGTTAGATGGATCAGTGTATGGATGTTTGTTATTGACCAAGGAGTGATCATGGAATGGAGAACGTCCTGAAGTCATGCGTCTTTGCAAACTGAAAGAAAATATTCACTTCAAGAAGTCAAATAACAAGTCAATGAATGGCATTTACAACAAATCTGTTTCTTCCCTGACAAATGTAATTTGTTTCAAAGCACCACTAGTGGTAATATGAAAAGGTTTCAGTTCAAGTTTCAATATGACCAATTTTGAAAATTGTTTTGACCATGCTTTTATATTCTCTCAAAATGCATACCTTATTCGACGTAATAAGCACCCTGCTCTAATAAGCGCACACGGCGATATTTGCTAATATATTGGCTCGTGAACAATTCCAATTCCTTCCGATTGATCAATGTTCACAAGACCTATTTATTCGTGTAAAGTACACACTCGTGTGTTATATGCACCCTTAATTATGGGCAATTAAATTCTTGAAAAATAATATCTGTCGTGTATATTACACACAGACTATTCTTTTGTATCATTTCAGGCTGTCAGCATAAACCATGAAATTTATGACTATGTTGTTTTTCACCAAAATTTTATTCTAATAAGAGCCCCCTATTTCTAATTTTGAGAGCGCCCTGGGCGCTTATTATGTCGAATACGGTATTTGGCTCTGTAAACTTCTCTGAAATTGTCAGACTGAGTGAGGTGAACTTTGCTTTTTATGTTTCTACTTATGATTTGATTACATATATATTTTTTTTAATCATGACATTTTAGTCTCAGTATCTAGTCCTCAGTATTTATGGAGAAAATAGTTGTTGCAAATTGACATCAAGATTTGTGAGGTGTCAGGCTTTGTTGACATTTTAAACTGTTTGGTACCAGTACATATCCAGGTGAGCTGCATTGCAGTGGCACTATTTTTTAACTCATTCAACTGAAAGTCAAGTGAGCTGGTCATGGCCTGCTTGTCTGTAAACACTTTGCATATGTATTTAGAAAAAATTGGACCAAAGAACATCAATAAGAAAACATACAACTTTTTGATTAACTACTTCTGGTTTATTGCAAATGGCGATGTTTCGATGTAGATTCTGACATGTTATCAAGACAGAGTGATAACAGTGCCCTGCTTCTGTCTTGTTTTCTAATTCTGGAGCAGAACTCTAAAACCGTTGAAAATGTCTAGATGCAACTTCCTATACAGATCAGTCTAGTGGTGAACTGATGCCTTTTGATGATTTGGGATTTAATTTTTTCACATTTTTTGTTAGTTTTCATGACAAATTGGACTGAAAATAGGGGAAGTGCTTGTTTCCACTGCAGAACTGCCAAACTGTTGAATATTTATGGATGCACCTTGCTATACAGATCAGTCTAGTGGTGAACTGATGCCTTTTGATATGGGATTTTGAACAGCATTATTCTTTTCTTCACTGAACTGAAGATATCCCATGGCAATGAACCCAAGTGGGCTATAAGTACCGTCATTCCATTTCTCAATTGCACCAGATCAGAGGGATATGTCATCTCCTGATGACTGTTGTTTGCTTGTGTGAGATTGAGGCCTAAGACTTGTTCTGTATATTTTTGCGATATTGTTTAACCTTGATTCTACCTTCACACTTTTACTGTTCTCTTAAATCCACTCAAATGGCATTCTTGGCTAAACATCCCTGTATAAGCATCTCTTATATTGTGAAACTTGTAATGATGTTTTGCATAATTGGTTTTAGATCACAGGAACGCTGTGGAAATGGCAAAAGATCTTCAAAAAGCTCTAAAAGCATATGACAATTCTGGGTCATGCCTATTTCACATCACTGTGGTTGTGTATGAAAATGATATGCTAGCAGCTTTCAAAAAGAAGTTTGCAGAACTGATGTCTGAGGAGACGAAACAAGTATTTGGTGCAAGTTTCCAACCAGTGGAGGGTAAGATATTCATCAAACAAATATGTACCAATGTTTTGAATCGGAATTTATTAGCTTAATACTACATACACCTGTCCATGCATTTTCCACTGCCTCATATGGCAAAATACCTGATCAGAGTTTTCTGAAGTTGAGAAAAGTATTATTTTCATTGAGGTGAACATTACACTTGATATTTCACTGCAGTGAACATAATGCTTTGACAGAACTATTGTCACACAAGAGTTACCTCCCCTAAATTGTCTCCCTTTATCATAAGTGTCTGACCTGTACAAAAACTGTTGACTTCCTATGTATGTTAGTTCCACTTTGACAAGGCAAAATAATGACAAATGGTCATTTGTGGAGTTAACATCACTTCTTGCCGTTTGTTATTCTCTCAAAATTATTTCGTTATAAACTGTACATTTCTCATTTAACTTAATTGTCAATCGAGACTGTTTGTTTCACTAAGCGCCGTTTTTGTTACTTGACCAGCGTGTATTCTTTCACTTTCAGCAGCTTTTTTTCGTAGTTTTCAAGAATTATGTTGCTAAAGTTGATTTTTTTTGTGTTCATATCTATATGTATGATACAGAATTTTCATGACCCTAAATATTTTTGGTTACTTTATGTTTATGTTTTTTTATGACAAACACGAAACTAATTTTTTAATCACAAATACAAGCAGTGGTGAATCGTCTCTGTGTGTTAGGTAGGGAGAATTTACGTTTCAAGGTTGTACATTTGTAATGAAATAATATAATTACATCTAAAGACATCTACTCAAAACGTAATAATAATAAATAGTATGCATAAAATATCTTCTATCATAAATTTCGTGGTTTATGCTGATAGCCTGAAATGATACAAAAGGAAAATCTGTGCGTATTATACACGACAGATATATACTCCAGAATTTAATAGTCCATAATTAAGGGTGCATATAACACATGAGTGTGTGTTATACATGAATAAATAAGTCTTGTGTACGTTGATCAATTAAGGGGTGCTTATTAGGATTGTTCACTAGCCAATATATTAGCAAACATCGCTGTGGGCGCTTTTTAGAGCGGGGAGCTTATTACGTCAAATTCGGTAACTGAAATATTATGCATATGTTGATGGAGCGTTCACAACAACTGGGACAACATCAGCGTCAGGTGGAGCTACACATCTCCATGATGACTCCTGTACCAAGAACACAAAACTACTGGTATGGTTTTGTCTCCTACAAATAATGACTAAAGAGACATTACAAAGTCAGATTGTAGTATAACTACCAGCTGACAAAGTAAAATAATTATGTTTATGTAAGCAGGGGTGATCATAAATAACATGGGTCGTTGTATGTGAAGAGGATTTATTGACATCAGAACAAACGCCCTGAAACATATACTTAAAAAAATAAAAATAAATAGACATAGACAGAAATATGTAAGGGTACATCACATTCACATGCAGTCATATCATATTATATTCATTCACATCGTCACACCGACGACAAAGAAATAAATAGAACTCATGTTTTTAACAAATACATTGAAGGAAGTGTTAAAAGTCACAATAACTATATGTACATTTGTTTTTCTTTACATTACATTAATCATTAATACACAAGAAAATACAAGCATACCCTGTAGGTGAAACTGGGGTGCGAACAAGCCTCCGAGTGTCACTTGAATATCACAGAATATTCCACATGTTTCTATAACGCTTGACACCCCTCCATGCAATTCCTGATGTTTACAGATAATACGAGCATCTAAATATAATAACTGCTTACATTAAAAATACTACATTCCTGACAAGTAATCTTTGTCCAAACACTATGAACTTCTACTAAATCTCAACAATGTAACACAGTCATAATCATTATTTCACAATAAATTACACTGCCAGATAACAATATACGTTATAAATATAAATGGTGATAAAAAACAATCTTTGGTAGCTCCAGTGTTTGTCAGAATACTGTGACTTTCATGTGCTGATATTGGTTTAGTACAAATCAGGTAATCCATCACATGAGGGTGTGGCTTACTTGGGGATTTGAAAGTTTTTATCCCCCGCCCCAACGAAGTTGGCGGGGGATATAGAAATGAGTTCCGTGCGTGTGTCCCGAAATCGTTTCCGGAGCATAACTCAGAAACCGTTAAATTTTTCTCTATGGAACTTTGCATGTCTATCAGACTCATGCAGAACTGGTGCCTTTTGGAATTTAGGAATTTTATAAAAAAAATTTTTTACGTTTCCATGGCAACAAGTTGGACTATTGTTCTATGAGGGTGCAGTTCGTTTCTGGAGCGTAACTAAAAAAACATTAAATACTTTCTCACAAAACTTTGCATGCCTACTAGGCACATACTAAACTGGTGCCTTTTGCTATTTAGGAATTTTATAAATTTTTATTTTTTATGTTTCCATGGCAACAAGTTGGACTTAGGTTCTATGAGGGTGCTGTTCGTTTCCGGAGCGTAACTCAAAAACCATTAAATACTTTCCAACAAAAACTGTGCATGTTTACCAGACACATACTGGACTGGTGCCTCTTGCTATTTAGGAATTTTAGAATTTTTTATTTTTCACGTTTCCATGGAAATAAGTTGGACTTAGGTCCTACAGGGGTGGTGTTCGTTTCCAGAGTGTAACTCAAAAAACATTAAATACTTTCTTACAAAACTTTGCATGTCTACCAGGCACATACTGAACTGGTGCCTTTTGATATATAGCACTTTTAGAAATTTTTATTGTTTATGTTTCCATGACAACAAGTTGGATTTAAGTTTTAATATAGGATTGGTTTACTTTTGTAGTATAACAAATAAACTGTTAAATATTTCCTTGCCAAACATTGCATGTCTATATATAAAGCGCATACTGAACTAGTGCCATTTTATATTAAGGAGTTTTAGAAATGTTTATTTTAGAATTTCCATTGCAGCTATTTTGACATGGGCTATGAGAAATGTTGGGTCAGTTACCTGGTTTGGGACCATAAAGTGTTAAAATGGGCGGGGGATATAGATGACTTTGTCAACTATACGCTTGTTTTCATCAGGGTAAGACGCTGAATAGTGTTTAATGCAGAGGAGAAATTTGTGAAGAGAACACTTATGCTAGCTGCTGGTTATCTTCTTGTTTGTAGATCTGATGTATAAATGTAGCAAATTGTTTAATATATGACATGTTCTTGACCAAGACTGTTTTGTATTAAAGAACCCTCTCGGTATGAAGACACGCCATCTTCTAACCCACGTGACGGAAACATGGTTGGGACCTTGCCTTCAGTTCTAATTCCCGAGTCAGCAATGTCCAAGATGACTAAAGTGGAATATAGTGTGGCCTCAGATCAGGAGAGTTGTATTGAAGAAGCCATTGGTATCCTCAAGAAACTGAGTCAACACAGTCCAACTGTCCAAGAAGACATAAAGGATGAGAAATTAAAGTGTATTGATTCTGGAAAGGTAAGAAGTAATGCAAAACTATACATATCTAATAGTTAGGTCTAAGTTTTGTCTTGCAGTTTCTGAATTAAGGCTTTATTGTGTTTGTCTGAATTTGACCTCAAACACCCTGTTGCTACAAGACAGATGAGGATCCTACTTAATCTATCATGTGACTGGGATATTTTTCTGGCTTATGATCAACTGGGATTGGAGATCAAGATTATTCATGATAAGATAAGCATAAGACTGTGGAATTGTTTAATTAGATTTTCGTCCTACCAGGCACCTGCATCACATCATGTTATCGACCCCTCTTACTTATGTCTTAAAGTAATTGCTACAATTTTTTGCATTGAATTTCATCTATCTACAGTTAACGTTCACAAAGGGGTTGGACAATTTATGCATGGTGCAGGTTGGTATGTAATGACTTGGGGGCCTAGAAATGATGGTAAAGGGACTGCAGGTTCTTGCAAACACTTTCTAGTTTATTAGATTTAATACATACAAAACTGATTAAAGTTTCGTAATTAAGCAGACAGGGCATCATCTATGTGATGCTTCAATTGCTGTGACAGTAATTCATAGATAAAAATCGGATGTTCACATGTCAGTCATGAACATGAGAACAAATCAACACTTGAGTGATTGATTTAGATTTTTCTGGCATTGTTAAAGAAGTGCCTGTTTAAATTTCCCTACTTTGCTATGTCAGTAAAGAGGTAAAAAGAACAACTCTTGCCTGTAACTGGTTCAGTGTAAAAAGAGTGCGTTTATTATTATTTTTACCTGTCATTCAAAGCGTTCATTAACAAGTTTGTGCAAAATCCTGGCTATGTGATGTCAGACAAAGCAGAAAAAATAAAATGTCACAGATTTATCATAAATATTATTCATGACAAACATGACTGTATTGATCAAAGTCCAAAAACACTCTCTGATCCCAACAGTGGTTTATCATTGGCCAGATCGATCTGTGGAAGGTTGCCAGTATTTGAGCTAAATGGTCTGTGCCAAAAAGAGATTTTTATTAAAATGTAAACAATATGTTGACGATGCCTTTCAAATAGTTTAGAACAGTTTTCACTTCGAAAATGTCCTAAGAAGTCAACATTCACGTTATTGCTTTGCCATAACATGCCATGATGAAGTGAGCAAAACGAAAACTGTGACATTAAATAGGTTCTCAGCTTCCCAGATGATGACAACCCAGAGACAACCAGTTTGATAAATGTGAAAATATGCTAAAATACAGACACTTCAGAACTGAAAATTAATGACTGGGTCAGTAGGTAACAAATTAACAACCAAAGCCTTATTGAATTGAATGAAAAGTGGAAATACTTGTTTGCTTATATACACTTATGTACTTATTTTCATTTCAGAAAGAAAGGTTGGAAGCTTTATCACAAAAGTTTGAGATTAATGTGAAAGTTGTCTCACCTGCTGGAATATTGACACTAAAAGGAAAGTCATTTCAAGTATGTAAAGCCCTGAAAGAGGTCCTCCAAATTATTTCATCATTTCCAAAAGTTTTGAACCTGGAGGACGATCAGGAGAGGATGAGGTCATTCTCTAGTCCTGCCACATTCAGACAGAACTCTCAAGAAGTGACACCCGCTTCTTTGTTACCCAGTGAAGGTCACAAGGACAGCAGAAGTCGTCCAAGTGTTGCTGATAATATCCTATTGTCAACTCAAGATGTGAAACCAAAGATAAACAATCTATGGTGTACTCCAGCCAAACAAGAAACACCTGTTAATAGCTTTGGTAATGAAGATGATGAACACTTTGAAGATGAGAAGCTGTATGGGGATGGCAACATGGACTCAGTTGACAGAACAAAAGCTGCATCAGCTTCTGCATCTGCGTTGTTTGACGATGATAAGGAAGTAGAATGGTTTGTGGTGGATGACACAGACGAAGGAAGAAGACTACAGTCATATGACAGTATGAACAGTAAAATAGAGACAGCGTACTTGAAGGGTGACAACAGTGTAGTGCTTCAAGGACAGGAAGAAGAGCAGTATGTGATCGACTTTGACAAAATGGAGGAATATTTGGAGGGAGAAGAGAAGGATCGAGTTCCAGTCATCAGACGACAGAAACTCACAGGTTTTATATATTATATATTCATCAGTCTAAGCAAAGGTTAAAGTAGTTGATTTGGTTTGAAATTTTGATTTGTAATTGAAAACATGCCCCTGACTGCCATTGGGAGCATGATGTTATACAAAACAGAGTGAGTGAGTTGGGTTTTGCGCCACTTTGAACAGTATTCTTGTTATATCATCAGCTTAATGTGAGAGTAAAACTGAAGTGATGCAGGTCTCAGACATTTATCACTTTTGTGAAACCCACAAGCATGGGTAAAGTACTGACAAACACCATTACACTAAACAGCAGTGAAGGTGGTTGCCTGCTTGGTGCTCTACATTTGTCTGACATTTGTGGTAATTCTTAGACATTCACACACATCGCTATATGTATATATCAGTGTACATCACAAACCAAGTTTTCTTCTGGTGTGTTTCCAATAAACAACAGACTTCTACAGACCTCTTTGACAAATTGACAATAGACTTATTTGATGATTCATAGAAATAAAAATGTATTGGCTGGAATTTTCAACTCAACAGTTGGGCCAATTTTATGGAAATGTTACAAGCCCAATTTTTAAGTCACTGGCATTTGGCTTGTGGGCAGCAGCTATTTCAAACACTGGTTTCAATCAAGACTATTGTATACTACTACACACAAGTGACTTAGCTTTGAATATTATTGACTACCGGTATATGCCTCTAGTGGTTTATTCTCCATGCAGTGTTATATTGCACAATACACAGCGACCACAAGTTTCTTTTGAATTTTTTCATAGGCTTTACTACACTTCTTATATAAAATATCAACAATTTTTACCTAATCTTTAAGGATGATGACAAAATGTACAAGCTTTAAAAATATTTACCGTATTTTAATAATTATGATTCCTTCAATAGAATCTGACCTTGGCAATGTTGGACAAATCCATTTCATGCACAGGAGGATATTTCCCGCATTCTCCCAATACCGATTGTAATATCTCTCCCGCTTTTGGCTGCAATAATTCGGCCATTGTGTTTATCTGTTTATCTGTTTATCTGCGCTGCCCAGGTACACCTAGATGACTCACTAGACACTCCCTTTAAAAAAACCTTTTTGATTTCACCAAGTTGCGAGTGTATGTTTGAATCTCCAGAAATGACTTCAGGATAGAACAATGTCTTATTGTTCTTTGCAATTCATCTCGTAGCTATCTTATATTTTGAAATTATAAATAATTGTCCCCCGCCGCGCGAAAGCGCGAAGCGGGGGATATAGTATTCACGACCGTCCGTACGTCCCACCTGTTTGTTGCCGCGATATCTCAAGAACTAAACACTGGATTGTCTTCATATTTGGAACTATGGTGTATATACAGACTCCGCAGACACCAGTCGGTTTTGGTGACCTTGACCCCATTTTCAAGGTCACAGCAGGCATATCTGCTTTTGGAGTTGGAAAACGATGTTGCCGCGATATCTCAAGAACTAATCTCTGGATTGTCTTCCTATTTGGTACTAGGGTGTATATACGGACTCCGCAGACACCAGTCAGTTTTGGTGACCTTGAGCCCATTTTCAAGGTCACAGCAGGTAAATCTGCTTTTGGAGTTGGAAAACGGTGTTGCCGCGATATCTCAAGAACTAATCTCAGGATTGTCTTCATGTTTGGAACTATGGTGTATATACAGACACCGCAGACACCAGTCGGTTTTGGTGACCTTGACCCCATTTTCAAGGTCACAGCAGGCAAATCTGCTTTTGGAGTTTGAAAACAGAGTTGCCGCGATATCTCAAGAACTAAACACTGGATTGTTTTCATATTTGGAACTATGGTGTATATTCAGACTCCGCAGTCACCAGTCGGTTTTGGTGACCTTGACCCCATTTTCAAGGTCACAGCAGGTAAATCTGCTTTTGGAGTTGGAAAACGGTGTTGCCGCGATATCTCAAGAACTAATCGCTGGATTGTCTTCATATTTGGTATTTTGGTGTATATACAGGCGGGGGACATTTCGTCACTTCTGTGACAAATACTTGTTATATACATAATTAGCATCCCTGTCAAACAAGACTGAGGATTTGTCAGTGTTTGACCACTGCCACTAAAATTGTCCATCCATTGTTAACTTTTACATTTTGACATCTCTAAATCCACAAGGGGGCACAGGTGGCCCAGTTGTCTAAGGCGCAGCGATTCGCTGTGAAGAGTTGCGACCCTTGGGCACGCCAGATACCTATGATTGTGGGTTCGAATCCCGGTTCGCCCCGATTATGTTTCCAGGTTTGTCAGCACCATCGTGGATTTCACCGAAGTGGTAAACATCTTAGACCTGCATCACTTCGGGCTTTCCTCCCACATTAAGCTGACACGCAGTGATATAACTGGAATACTGTTAAAAGCAGCGTTAAACCGAACTCACTCACTCACTCTCTTTGAAAACCACAAGGACTTTGAAGCTGAAACTTAGCATGATGTATCCAGGCTATAGAGTCTCTAAAAGCTGCTCTTTGATACAACCAATTTGATACATGGCCACCATTTCATCTCTTAATTAAGGTGAGCTACATGCGACCTTTTTTCTAATGTGTACTGCACAAAGATGATTTACATCAGAAATTATCCTTCCATCTTGCCACATGTCATGAGAGGGTTTGCGTTTGTTTTTACACTTTTCAAAAAGGATTAATCTTTGAGATTATTATGAAGTGTGGTTGTATGATTAATTAAGTGAGCTTTCTCAGAAAAATATGTTACCTGTTATGACTTTAGTTTCTTTGAATAAAATAATATACTTTCAATAATTATTAGATCAATCTCTATTTGACTGTGATTTATGAGAGTCAGTGTAAGCAATTAGCTTGATTAAGCCTGTGACTTTTTTTGTTTCATCAGATGCCGATGCAACTCTGCCTCAGAAGCTACAAGGAATTGACCCTGAAGGTATGAAGCTTGTGCAGTTGGTTCGGTCATCATCCGAGTTCCTGAAGGTCACGGAACAGTTCACCAAAGCATCCCAGTTACCCTCGTCATCAGTAGTCAAGGTATGGCATTCTTGATCTTGGTTTAAAGAGGGATAAGGGAAACTTTGTTACATATGTCCAAACTACAGGAGAGGACAGCTAAGAGTCATTTATGAGCACATCTCTACCCTCTGATTTTTGTTTGTTTTGTTTGTTGTTGAACGCCACACTCAGCAATATTAGAGCTATCTGGTCTGTAAATAATCGAGTCCAGTGATTGTCATCATGAGCATTGATCCATGCAGTTGGGATACGATGACATGCATCAAACCAAGTCAGTGGGACACATTCTGTGGTTATGGAGGGTATAGGGCAGAGGATGTTTATTTGGCTTCTGAATTTACCCTGGTACAATTCGAAAGTATTGGATTTAAATGTTTACCATTCTAGAAGGTAGCATGACACTTATTACAATGAGGGGCGGTCTGATAGCCTAGTGGTTAAAGCGTTTGCTCGTCATGCCGAAGATCCGGGTTCGATTCCCGACATGGGTACAATGTGTGAAGCCCATTCCTGTGTCCCCTGCCATGATATTGCTGGATTATTACTAAAAGCGGTATAAAACCATACTCACTCACTCACTTATTACAATGATAATGTGGTCTTACTCACAGTAGTAATTGAATTGCCTTTGTTGTTACAGGTTACGGTTTTCTTAATTGGCATTAAAATCCAGGTTAGAATTGGTTTTCAGCAAATCATGCTTGTTGTAAGAGGTGACTTACGGAATCGGGTGGTCAGACTCGCTGAATTGGTTGATTTCATGTCATTGTGTAGATCAATGGTTATGGTGTCAGTCCCTGGATTTTCTGGTTCAGACTTAATTATTTACAGACTGCTGTCATAATGCTGGAATATTGCTGACAAACTTGATAAACATACCTGGGTAGAGGAAATAAGGCAATGGATGGATAATGACTAAATGATGAATGCACTGGACTGCTCATGTGAGATTGATCAACATTGATGAACTCATGTATCATGTCTTAATCTAAATGGTAAAAATACAACCTTTGCACTCAGTTCTTGTCCATTTAGATAGTTCATGTCTAAATGGATGAAGTTGTTGAAGTAGGACTTCTCTTGAACTCTTATTTTCAGATTGAGGAAATACTGAATGTTACATTATTCAAGAATTATGAATCCAAGAAAGCACAAATGTTGACACAAGACATGAAGGAAGATGAGTTAAGGGAGAAGCAACTCTGGCATGGCCCTCTTGTCAATACTGATGTCATTGTCAGTGTCAGCAACTTTGGCTTCAACAGGAACTACTGCAACTACAGTGGAGGTACTAGCCATGTTTCCTGCTCAATAATGTATTTTGGTAGCTTTTAGAACTGGGTTTCTGCTGTGAAAATGAACAGTTTCTCAGCGTCAATCTTTTGGTAGCTTTTAGAACTGGGTTTCTGCTGTGAAAATGAACAGTTTCTCAGTGTCAATCTTTTGGTAGCTTTTAGAACTGAGTTTCTGCTGTGAAAATGAACAGTTTCTCAGCGTCAATCTTTTGGTAGCTTTTAGAACTGGGTTTCTGCTGTGAAAATGAACAGTTTCTCAGCGTCAATCTTTTGGTAGCTTTTAGAACTGGGTTTCTGCTGTGAAAATGAACAGTTTCTCAGCGTCAATCTTTTGGTAGCTTTTAGAACTGGGTTTCTGCTGTGAAAATGAACAGTTTCTCAGCGTCAATGTAGCTTCTTGGATAGTTACTGTGTTCACCATAATAAGCGCCTCAGATGCTTTGGAATAGACAATGGGGGCTGCTTATTCAAATCATTCACTTGTTAGATATGTCTTCAGGGATCGTGCGGTTGTGAAGAAAATGAGTTCAAATGTCAATGAAACTAAACTTTTTCGATAATGGTTACAAGGCAGTTATATTTCCTTCTGTGCATCTGTTTTCTGTAAATAATCAGCAATATACTTCAGGAGATATTGACTGGTCATGTAAATTTTAGATCTTACAAAGAGATGCTTGTAAAGACTACTTACAGATTGGTCAGGGGTATTTATTGGTGCTGGGCACTTAATACAGCGAATATGTGATAGAAGAATTCATACAATATTTCAAACCTGGTATCAGCTTATAAACTTGTACGTATGTTATGGCTTTATTTGAAAGAAACATGTTCATTACCTTAAAATTTACTTTTTCTGTTTCAAATACATCAACATTTGTAATTTTCAGAGGATGATCTTGGACGAGGTGTGTACTTCTACACTAACATTGGACCCATTCTTAAAACGTCACAACCAGACCGAAGTGGACACCACCATGTTTGTCTGTCCAAGGTGCTGACAGGGTGGGCATGTCCAGGAAGGTCGACCTTGAGAGATGCACCTGCTTCCTGCCACTCAGTGGTGGATATCGACTCCGCTCCATCCAAATTTGCCATCTTCTTCGACAATCAGGCTCTCCCCCTATACCTCCTCACCTTCACAGCAGAGCAGAAGTAAATGTGTTGAAGAAACTTGGTTAGATAACAGATTATTGAAACAAAGTGATCAATCATTGTTTAGTAATGATAATGAGGTACTGTTTACCAACACCGGCTCTCGATCATCAGCTTATGAGATCACCTTGATAAGTTCCTGCTGTCAATTTGAAATATTATTTCACTTATCAACAGTAGAACTAGACAAATCCCAGCTCTGTTGTCTGAATGGTGTTTGAAATTATATGTATGCTTTGTCTGATGGGATTTTATGATTACCGGTTTTATTCTTGGGGATTGATTTTTAATCAGGGACAATTGAAAAGTTAATCTTCACTTAACATGTAAACCTCTTTTAACCCCTGGTTCTAGCAGTGAGGCCTCCAATAGGCCACAATGTCCAGTGTGGAACTGGTCAAATGGAATTAGTTTAAATAAAGAACACCTGACTGATGTATTTTTTTAAGAGGATGTTCACAACAGGGGTGAGTGTCTTCAGCTGTTTATGGTTATAGCTCTGCTGTTCTATATGATGGCTCAATAATGCCCTGCATTTTCAGCAAGGAAATTGTTATAGTTATATAAAATATAGTTGTGCTAATGGAACTATTTCATATATGATGCTAATGTACAAACAGAATTATATACTGACTCTCTTTACAGCAATCATACAACTTTGTACTTTAACATTTGACTGTGTTTCTAAAGTCAACTTTTTATGTTTGTCTTATTGATATTTTATAACAAATATGCAATGCAAAGAAACATCATTTATATGCTTAGTTTAGTTTGTTTGAACATTTTATCCAATATGAAATGATCATGTACAAATTACCTCAAATTACAATTCCTTATCCCGAAAGGATGTACGATAACAAATTACATATACATTTGAGAAATGAGAGAGTAAGATTGATAGAAGGAAGAGGCAGATATCTATATCTATATTTTGTTATATTACAAAAATGTTTTGTCTGTTAGTCTCTAAATGCTTTGTAGTTTAAGTTTTAAATGAGTTTTGGTTTGTTCAAGTTACTTAATTAATCGGGTTACAGTGCTTCTTTCCTGATTTCTAGCTGTTTGACTTGTCAATATTTCTGTGAGTAATATTCTATGGCTGTCAATGATGTAAATTTCAGGAACTGACTTATATCAGTTCTTCAAGTTTTTTACAACAGTACACTTAGACAATAACCAACAAAGAAGCATGGTTTTTGTTTCCCCATGTACAAAAATTGTGACCTTCCAGAGCCTGAGGAAAGGGACTTATAATTTATGACAGATAATCTTTAATTCCTAGTTTAAATATGTTACCAATATAATATTATTACCATCTAAAGATATTATAATAATAGACCTCCTCCGTGGTCTAGTGGTAGAGCGTCCGCCCAGAGAGTGGAAGATCCGGGGTTCGATTCCCGACCGCGTCATACCAAAAGACGTTAAAAGATGGTACTTGTTGTAACCCTGTCTGGCGCTCGGCATTAAGGGGCTAAAACAAGGACTGGTCGGCTCGGAGTCAGTATACTGTGTCTGAGTGGGGTATTCATGTTCAACTGCGGCATGGTATCTCAGTGAGCCAGCACTATAAATTGGCATCAGTCCCGACTAGTACAAGCAGCCACACAAACACACACACATACATGCACGTCGCTATATAAGTGCAATAATCTTGGACGCGACGTTAAACCCCATTTCACCTCACCTCACCTTATAATAATATTACCCATTATAATATTAAGATAGAAGACATGGAGAATCATACCTACAAAGAAACCAACTGAAACTGAAGTCAACTATTACTAGTACAAGAGATGTAACATTGTGAAATAATTACGAAGTGTTCGTGATATCTTATTTTCAATGATTCTGATATGACTTTTGATAGAACTACATTTTAATAAGGGTGTTCCCATGACCTCAGACAAGTGCACTTAGAGCACTATTTGCAACAGTTTAAACAATATCTGAAAATAATATCAGGAACTCCATGTATGAAACTTGCAAAAAGATGAGAGAGCCTTAATGTGAGATGTCTGTAATTTAAAACAGACGTTTTGGTAGGAATTATTAGAAAGAATCATACAGAGATCACAAAGCCAGGATTTCTTCTAACATGGAATCTACTTTTCAAGGGTTCTGAAAATTACAGAATGATTCAATGTAATTGAATGTATCCATCATTCACTGTCATGACAATACATGTAATTAAACATGCTGAAGTACTCTATTATAATAAGATTGCAACACAGCAATAGCCAGATACCTTACACTGTAATACAATGACTGCTCCCTTGCTACCTGCAACTTTGAAAATGTTTTGTTTAAAAAAAATTATTAAAATACAGCATTAACACTGACCATGCGGGCAGTATGTCGTTTCTAACACAATTAATTATCTCAATAACACTGGTTTTGTGACATAAAACTTGCTATATATGAAGATTTTCCTGCGTTAGCACGCACCTCTACAACAATAGGATACACTATCGCACGTGGCTAAATAATTTAAACTTTCCAGTTAATGTAAGAAATTGACTGACAACAGCTTATGAAATGCCCATTATTCTTAATATTATCTCATATTCATGTTTTCTGTTCGTTAAGAGTGGATCTCGGCCATCTAACACTTCTCAACAGTTGAATTTCAACCCTTCTCAAACTCTCTGACCATCGCTGGTCACTTGTTCGCAGTAAAACAGATACTCAAGGGAGCATCTATTGTATCAGAATGGTTCAAAACAGTCAGTGTAGAGCCTCTATGTCTATGCACCTACAGTCACAAAAATTAAACAAGTTTAAGTAAAATAACATTTCAAACAATAAGTACACCTGGTGCTAAATGCTACTGTATGTATTTTAGATGAAAAAAAAATCCTGCAAATGTTATGATTACATTTGGATCATCATTACAATCATAATATTATAACTTATTCTCTAAAGCCTATATAAATGCAATCTAATTGGCATAATTTTGTTTTCAAGTTTCAGTCTACATAACCATAAGTGGAACAATTCCAAAAATAACATGAATGACTAACTGAGCTCTATTGTAGAATGTAGATATATGTTTACTGTGTTTATGTTTACCAGTTTGTTTTGAAGATTTGCTAAAGTCTAGCTACAGTAGTTTGTGTTGTAGGCATTGTCAAGTTACATCAGTTGAGAACAGGTGACATTTTCAGATCTATTTGTAATTGCCTTATCATTAATATTGGAACATTGCTTTAAATCAAATCACTTTGGTATTAATGTTGCTTGATTATATAATTGTCTGACATAACTACAATTCACAGTTTTCTCCTTGTATGAGATGCACTGTGTTATAGCCGAATTTAAGGTATTTGTAGTTCATTGAAAAATCCTTTTAATTGTAGCTTTGTTAGGGTGTATATGTGTATGTGTGTGCATGTGTTTAGTATAGTCATAAGATAAAACATAAGAACAGCCAGCCCTTGCTGCCAGTGGCCGTTTCAGGCTATTTTCCCAGTGGTTAGTGACAGCAATAGTATAATGTTGCAGCTAAGACTTAAAGTTAATTGTTTTGTGTGGAGTCTTAGAGGTCGTGACCTGATCAACCATGATAAGTATCCCACAATTATCCTGTGATATGCCAAGGAGAGGCACGGGCCACCAAGCTGTTGATGCCCGTGCCTATAATAAAACACAAGATGAGATTGGATTAAATGGCCGAGGGTGTGCAGGTACTAGTGGGCTACTAAGCTGCTAGTTGGGTATACCAAAATGCTACCGTTGCCATGGCCACTAGTGTGGCCAACGGCGATTCGCAGCTAGCGCTGCTGGCCTGAGACCGCTACTGCTGTCCGGCCCCCACGGTAGCATATATAAACGCTACCCTTGCTTGGCAACTACCACGCTGCCAAAAGCAGCTTCTGCTGCTGGCCTATGTCAGACTACCGCTGCCCGGCCCCAGGTAGCCGGCCAAAGCAGAAACCACTGCCTGGCCCCATTAGTAAAACCATTGTTGCCACTACCACCGCGGACCCAACTGTCAGCTACCGCTTGACAAGACAACTTCCGCCACCGGGCCCATATACGTGGCAATTGGTTGCCCAACGTAAGTTATTTTACGTTTCCCTGGCTGAAAAGTCGGGAAAGACAAGGTTCCCACTGAGAAGCAGGTAACCCCGGAAAGGTTCCCGCTGAAAAGCAGGTAGCCTTAAGCACGAGTATTAATTTGGAAGCAAGTTAAGTTGTTACTAGCGGTGTAGCCCACAAGAACCCAGCCACAAAGCACCAGAGTGCCACCCCACACCCACAGCCACGCGATAAACGGAGATAGCATTGTTGCCCAGCTTGCCTATGTATTGAAAAGAAACACTAACCTGTGGAGATAACATCCTTACTAGCGCAAAACAAGTGCCAGGGCATGCAATAAATTGTCCGTAAACACACACAGTCCTTTGTCGCTGAGGTGGACGCCCTCCCAGGAGTACCATGTCTTGTCTGATGCCAGGATCTGGGGATGTGGCACTATTGTACCGCCGAGCTCTTTTGGCTCGGTTGGCCAGTCGGCGGTTGATATTCTTCCGCTCTCGATCTTTAGTGGATCCCTGGCATCGTGCCGGTAGCGCCTGGGCAGCATTGAGGATATGATGATCTTGGTGTTAGGAAGCTGGAGTCGTATCCGAAGGATTGATGCCACCATGTCAAGGTAGAGTTGGATGCCCTTGACCGAGCACAGGTCGTTAGAGCCCAGGTGAATGATGAGGGCTCTGGGGCTGCGCCGTGTCGCCTTGACCTGTGCATCCAGAATGTTGTCCAGCTCCTTCCACCTCATGCCATCAATAGCATCCTCGGTTGGTTCGGACTGGTGCCCTTCAGGAGCAAGTACTGCCGTGCCCTGGCCATGTAGCTGGATCCCACCATCCAAACTGTAAGCAATAAGAGGTGTTGTAAGTACCATGAATAGACTATTTAAATTAATTGTGCAGCATTAAATTTGTTGGTAAGCGTATGTAAGCATTGTAGCAATCTGACTTCCACCTGCCGTATTGCTGTATGAGGTGTTCCGGCACCTCGTTCATGGCTGCTGATGTGGCTGCCCCAATGCGGAAGGAGTGCGAAGAATAGCAAACCATGTTTATGTTGCTGTGTGCTAAGGCCTTTTTTAGGAGTGCCTTGAATTGGTACCTTGTAACGGGGAATGGTCGAAATGAACAAATGCATGTTGTGGGCCGGAGGGGCGCGCCTCCAGATAGTGCTTGATGGCGACTACCGGACATAGCGGATTACCTGGTATAGATGACATTGTAACTGTTGTCCCTATCCCATCAGACCTTGAGTGTGGTAGATGGATTGAAAGCTGCTGGGGGTTGCCCGAGAAGCTAAAATTCTGGATGGCGCAACCTGTTTTTGAGGGTCCAGTTTGGACCAGCTCGCTAACCCTAAAGAAACCGAAGAAGGCTGTGCAGTAGACTGCCTTGAACAGTCTGGCTTCATATTCTGACTAGCATTCGTGCTGGTGTGCGGACCGGAACTGGTGTAAGGCATTGATGCCTGTTAGGTAAGTGACCCATGTGTTTGTAGACAGAGATTGTTGTAGGAGTCTGCCGGCTTCCTGCCTCAGATCAGCCATATGTTGCACGCGATAGGTGTGGGGTTCTGGTCCGCGATAGTGCTGCCTCTCGGAAGCGTTTGAGCTGAAAGATCGAGAGAGCATCGGCAATAGTGATAGCAGCTGATCAACCATGATAAGTATCCCACAAGAATTTCAGATATAGAGTTGGACGAATGAGTGTGAGAAAGAGAGCAGAAAGTTTTAAGATATGAAAGAAGTAAGATATGTTTCTAAGAGAGTCTAAAAAGATTGTGTGTATGGAATAGAAGACATACGGTTTTTCAACCTGTCCGAGCCACTGCCCAAGCTACTGTACAAGTTACGATCCTGCATTTATCCTGCAACTGTTCATTATATTTCGACTTATTCTTGGAGTGTGTGATAAATTATTCAATCATTTGTGGATTTTCACTGAATTTATGGAAGTATGTTACATGGAATTTGTGAAGTTTGAAATAAAAGACAATATCAAAGTGCTGGATCGAGTTGAAACTGATATCCTCTATCTCCAATAATTAGATAATTTAAGAGTTCACACACTGTATGTGGGAAAAGGCATAGACTGATAGTAAACAGTATACAGGCGATCCTTGTGGCACGTATGTACTTTACACCAACACATGCCCAAATCGTATGTTCATATTTGCCAAATGGCATCTCCTGATGACTCTTGTTTATTAATATTTTACTTGTGAAGGAGTTATAAGTTTTCATCATCATTATGAGTTATCATCCATGGTTATATTTCTGAGCCTTATGTTTTGACAAAAGTATTCTTTTAGCACCATTGTATGAAACATTCAGTCAACACCTCAAAGAAATAGCTTGGTCCATTCATATATTTGTCATAAGTTAACCTCTGATGTGTCGACTGATGTGTCAAAGTTACAATTATTGTCTCCTAGTCGTTTTTCATTCCGAAACGTACTTCCAGCACAAATTTACTCCGATGAAACGATCTCGGCACGACTCGGTCATCACAGTTCCATTGCAAGGTTTAACGAGCTAGGAATCTTCATTGTTTGGAGTAAGTGAGAATGGTATTACGCCGCTTTTACCAATATTCCAGCAATATCACGGCGGGGGACATCAGAAATGGGCTTCACACATTGTACCCATGTCGGGAATCGAACCCGGGTCTTCGGCGTGACGAGCTAACGCTTTAACCACTTGTCTACCTGACCACCGCCGGTGTTTGTTTGTTTGTTGTTTAACGCCGTACTCAGCAATATTCCTGCTATATGATGGTGGTCTGTGTAAATAATCGAGTCTGGACCAGACAATCCAGTGATTAATATCATGAGCATCAGTCCACGAAATTGGGATCCATGACATGCATCACCCAAGTCAGCGAGCCTGATCACCTGATCCCGTTAGTCGCCTCTTACAATAAACATAGTCGCCATTTACGGCAAGCATGGGTTGCTGAAGACCTATTCTACCCCGGATCTTCACAGGTCTAAGCAACAATATATTTCTGTCCCAATTGGGTTACACAGCAAAATCACAGGAACGAATGAGATCTCAACATTCTGACATTGAGGTGAGATAAAGGATATTTAGACTGATCAATATCAGTGACCTAAGCTTCCTGCTTATCACACAAAAACTGGATCACTTATTCTCATTCAGGACCTTATTTTTGTATCATAGTCGGGGAAGCCATTAGTTCACATAAAGTTTGTGTTAAGATTGGAGTAGTACACTTAATGTGGCTACCAGTTGAGATGTCACAGGCTGATTGCAAGGGACATGTCGTATGTACATCATTAATGGATATTTGTAATTTGTTGTGCATCTTGATGCAAGCTCAATAATTACTTAAATAATCCTGGTTTGTTAAATTCTATAAGAGAGTTAAAATTATCACTGACCCATTTCTCCAAAAAAAAGGTACTAATTCTACTGTTTTATAGACATGGATTTTGTTCTTCAATGTCATGTGCCATTGCAAGAAATATATGATTGATGCCAGCAGTTAAATGTTTACGCTGATATATGATACCTTGAAGTTGTAGCATAAACAAAAAAATCCCATATATAACATGCAGTACAAGTTATTTCTTACGTGTAGGGGCACAGGTGACCCAATCGTCTGAGGCGCCACAATTCGCGATGCGGAGTTGCGTCCCTTAGGCACGCCGGATACCTGCGAACGTGGGTTTGAATCCCAGTTCGCCCTGATTATATTTCTAGGTTTGTCAGCACCATACCCGTGCTCATTGTTTCACCAGAGTGGCATAACTGGAATACTGTTCAATGCATGAAACCCAACTCACTCAGTCTTACATGAAACTGTCCTACTTTCTTCTTTTCACCGGAATTCATCCTAGTTCACTGTCATTAAAAAGGAATCCTTAGAAGGCCTGGTACCATGATGGTGTTTCTGCTTATTTGCTAAAGTTTAAATGTAATGTTTGCTCTATACATCATATACATCGAACCAACATAGTACTCTCAGCCATTGTACTTGCAATCACAGAGTAACACAAAAAATATATGATTTAAACTAACTGAACATGAAATGTGTGAGCGCTCACTAAAAGAAACAACACATTTCAATCAGTATGTGCAAGCAGACACAGTAATAGCACAGGCGTGTGTACAATAAAACTCTATAGAGCCCGAAAATATACTTGTAACTATTATGTTTAGTGAAATCACTTGACAAAGGTTACAACATGGAAAACGGTCTATGTGCATACATGCACATCACCACCCAGGTACATGTACCACAAGGTTACACGGCAAGATACAGTACGCATAATGCATAAGCCGGGAATGTCTATGTACTGTCAAATTACTGAACGCAGAAATCTTCTCTCATTATTTAACCACTGACAGAGTTCAGATGAAATAAAGTATTTAGGCACATTATAAACTGTCTATATTTATGAGCTATATAATTTAAAATCACAAAAATGTCTCGCACGCGTGGAACGGTATGTTACGATGTTTTCCCAGAATGACGTCATAGTACATGTAATTGACAAGGGGGGATGAAGTCAATACGTAGCTGTCTGTGTCTTGCTAGGCCATAACCCAATCGCATTAAAATCAGATCTTAGTTCTCGCTATCGCTAAACAAAGATCTGAGGACATCCCATTGCGGGTCACGTCAGGACAACCTTTCATCGGACCAATCAAAGCGTCGCTTAACAGATCATGAAAGTGACCGTCGGAATGTATTTTCTATTCGTGCAACCTCGAAAACGATAACACGGGGTTTTCCGAACGACAGTTACGGCCCGTACGACTGATTCCGTCAAAATTATCGTCTATCTCTCGGTTCCGTGGGATAAACATTTGAACGGAGGAAGTGTTGCACAGTACGTAGTAATCACTGCCATGTACTCTTAACCATATATTAGACATTCCAGAATGTTCGTTTGTTCCGTTTTCAAAATTTTAATCGAGAACTGTGTCAATATAATTATATACAGAAATGGAATTCGCTAGGTTGAAACGAGTGCCGTAAAGCTCGAGAAAGCTGATTTCTAATTGGCTGATGTCGACTTCTTGTTGGTCATGTCAGTCGTCGGTCAAAGTTCACGAAAGGTCGTCCTGACGTGACCCGTAATGGGATGTCCTCAGATCTTTGTTTAGCGGCAGCGAGAACTAAGATCTGATTTTAATGAGATTGGGCCATAACCGGGACTGCTTCGTGACATGAAGGACAGACACAGTTGTTGATCGCAGTTACAGCCAAGTTTATTACTGATTAATTTGATACTGATTTAGTTTAATACTGATTAACATTCACTTGACAAAATCTGAACATATGCTGACATCAAATATTTCATTAAATTTGACGATATACAAAATGTTATAACTGCGAATACATTACATTAACACTTATTTAATCCTTTATCATAAACATACTTGAGACGCATATATACTCATATGTGCGTATCATATAAATAGAGTATCATATACGTGACATGATACATTTACTATCATGTATACATACAATATACAATATATGAGAAATACCAAACACAGACCTCTGCACGAGTAGTACAGCTACATCTGCATGACAAATAAATGAAGATATATATATATATATTACAGGGAATATGTTAAACCTGTATATATATATATATATATATATATATTACAGGGAATATGTTAAACCTGTACAAGAGCTATGAAGAGAACAAACGAGTCTTGAAAATCATGGGCGAGATACTAGAAGCCACAGCTACTTCAAGGCTAAGCTGCTTAGTAACTCAAGGTGCCACTCAAGTCTGGCATGTGTCAACAAATTGTTCTTGTTTGTTAAGTCTATCCTGTGTTTGATGTAGCATTGTTTTGATTACAGTGAAGACTAATTGTTAAGTTAAGTGAACGGTATTTGTTATCATGTCAAATAAATTTGTCTTCTCATAAATAATTTTTTTTTATATCAAGTTTGACCATATAATAGTCTCAAAAGTAATTTCAGAGAATATGTCTAAAAAACTTGATGTTAAATCAGGGAATATGTATAATACCTGAAAATTTTAGGGATTATGTCAGGGTATGAAACTCCCCAAAATTTCAGCCAGACCACAGGACTGGCTAGCTGAAATACTTGCCAGCCCTGACCAAAACCTGCCTGCCCACTATAATCATATGTTTCTCAGGATAAGCTAACGGGGTTCATTGGGAAATATTTAGAATATTTTCACATATGAAATATAACCTGACCGTCGGGCAGGGGGATTTGAAAATCTGGCAGCCCGAGTTGAAATCAACCCGTCTCGGACGGTCGGGCAGGCAGGTATTTCGAACACTGATTGTGTATATTCCCTGAGTGAATCAGACATTAAATATATTCCCTGAAAATTTCAGGGATTATACATATTCCCTGTAACATATACACACTGTGCAGACCAATCTGATAGCAGCACTATTACTTCCGAAAGATACATTATGTTAATGCAGTGTAACTAGTCTGTCTTACAGACCCTGATACATTTATATCATAGTCTATAATGTTTGGCAAGTCTAGATTACTGCAGTATCTGAAAATGAAGAGAATCACTTGGCTCCCTTTTTATTAGATTTTTATTAAGATAACTGAACAACTGTTTTTTTCTGTACGATATGTTCATTTCAGAGACTATATGTTAGTCTACAGTGTAACTTAAAACATTTCTAAAATGTAATAGTAAAACCCTGATTCATTCATACATAATACATTCATACATTACACATTCATATATACCAATATGTAACCTAGCAACACGTTTTACATTCTTACTTTCATACTTCACACGATCATACATCAGCTTCATAGTACTTGAAGATTTAGTTTAATAATAGTATTTTAGGCCTGAACTTAGTGCTTACTGAATTATTTACCTGACGTAAATAACAATAATTGTAATGCATACAGAAACACAACTAGTTACTATGATCTATCAAATATTTACAACATGAAAACACTGCCAAATTATAGACAGTATAAACACAATATACCAACAAATCCTAGGAATACGCACAAGCTATAAAATATCAACATAGTCAAAGGGGGACAACTCTGATATATGTGTGGCGCAAAGCAATGACGGACAGGAAGTCTTCCTTCAGAACGCTTTGATGTCTCTGACGTTTGATGAGTATGAACTAACTTTATGAACATCCGTAATACATGGACGTGTATAAAACATATTTAATAGCACATATATCCTCTAATAATGGCACAGTTCTCGATATTTCTATTTCTCGGCCATTCGTCAACACTCGCCCTTTCCCGTAACTTCTACAGCCTACTTTCGCTTTCGGTTTGGCAAGTCACGTGAGGTTATATCAAACCAAAAGCGAAAATATGATTCAAGGAAATTGCTAAACCCACACTTGAAGTCAAATATAGTTATGAGAGACTTCGCAAGGACATTGGGGATCTATGTGGTGAGTGTAATGACCAAACTATATCTCCTATTTTGAGGTACACACGATCGATAAGCTGTATGATTTAGGCGTACTCTGCACAGGCATAGACTGAAGCGATCAACAACAACAGAGGAAGTCAAACACATTCTTCGCCATATTCTTGAATGTTCATGTTTGTATGTGCGATCGAGACGGTCCTGTCACAGGGGGTGTATAAAGGCGTCGTTTGGGACGTTTGATGATGTTGGTTGGTTGGTTTGTTGTTTAATGCCGCACTCAGCAATATTACAGCTATATGACGGCGGTCTGTAAATAATCGAGTCTGGACCAGACAATCCAGTGATTAATATCATAAGTATCGATCCATACAATTGGGATACGATGACATGCATAAACCAAGTCACCGAGTCTGACCACCCAATCCCGTTAGTCGCCTCTTACGACAAGCATAGTCGCCTTTTTATGATGTAAGCACACGTTACATTATATTTTTTTCTTAGACACTTATACCGCTTATCAAACGTAGACCAGACACGTATCACAAAGATGTCTCTACCGCCTTCTGGACGTAACTCATGTTATTATATATACCCGAGTGTGAAAGACTTGAGGGTTTTTTTTACAAGAATTACCTCCCCTCGAATTGTCTCGCTTTATCGTAAGTGTCTAACCCATGCAGAAACTGTTGACTTTCCTTTTTAAGTTAGTTCAACATTGACAAGGCAAAATAATGACAGATGGTCATTTACAGAGGTAATTCTCTTGATAATGTTCTGTTATATGTTATTTATACTTTTAATCATTTTTATTTTTGTAATGATTTCAAAGAGTAAGCACATGCTTTTTGTGCTAGGTAGCAACGCTAGTGGTGTAATAACAAGACCTGCCACTCTGAAATGGCTTGTCAATGCATTTTGAAAGGGCGATGGATCAGATGGGGTGGTAAGAAATTGGCATTACCTCCCTTGGCTTACTTTTAAAATACAGTACCACAAACTTTTCAAACAGGTCACAATGCCCTATGACATAATTTGTAGTGTTTTGTTGGCAGCTACACTGGAGAAACAATGCCCTGTGATTTCAGGGGTCATGGAGTGTGCATAAGCTCCTCTCAGTGATCTGTTATCTATAGATGCAATGTTGCTGAATAAACCCAGCGATGTTGAGAGTTTTGAATATTTGTTTACTAAATATAGTCTACAGCGGTGCATTTTATAGCAAGCGTTACTTTATGAAAGCACTTTTATTTTCAATATTTTTTTCTTCTAAATTCAAGTGGCTAAAATAATTATAAATGGGAAGTAATATACATATATTATTTTTTCGATTCATTAATTTTCATTATTATGCACAGGAATGAAGTTTATTAGGTATATTATATTGTCGCTGAACACATCCAAATGTTGCTTGTGTTTGGGTAGGTTATCCCGAACTCTATCCTTAGCCCTTAGATCCCTTAACAATCAAGCACCCCATTACAATCATTAGGGTCAGGTCCCGTTTAGTGGCTATTAGATTACCTGAACTCTCTCCCTTGGATCCCCTTTCGATCAATCAACCCTAGCTATACGATCATTAGGTTTAGGTGCCTGTTTAGAGGCTATTATAGATTCAATAATTGCAACTGATATTCTTCACACAAAAACATCGAGACAGTAGGATGACTAAGTGTAAAATATTTTGGCTACTGGAAACTGGCCTGGAATATTCATCAAGCTATTCTCAAATTTCATGGCATTCATACATACCCGTGAGTTTGAAATCTGATGCCTGACACCTGGAGCCGTTTTCAGTTCATGCCATATCGGCTCATTCCTTACCAGCCGGTATCTTGTAGATTACGGAATGGGACGAGTGTGCCAAATGGCATCGGGATCACTCGTAAGTGTCTGTAGACTAAAGATACGAGACACCTTCGTAAGTGTCATGATACATGACGTACAGCAGAGATTGTCCTCAGGAGAAGTTGAAGTACTGTATTCTAAAGGTGCTACCCTCCCCTTTTAGTGCATCATCTTCTCATCATGCTCTCCAGTGAAAATGTCGTCCAAACAAGGTAAAAATGTATTGTTGAAAGGCAATTGCAGGATGTTGCCTCCAAGGAAATTCTCGTCAGTGATGATGATGATGAAGGTAGTCAAAAGAACGAGAATGATCACGTTGGTGAGAGTTGAGATGCCAGGAAGAATAGGAGTGAGCCAAGTGTAATGAGTGACCAACAGAGTTTGTATAAAGTTCATCTTCCGCACCGATATGTAAGGTCTGAAGTGTCTCTCTGTGACAGACAATGGGTAGATGACCGATACCCTAATCGTCGATCCTTGGAATCATACCTCTCAGTGGAAGATCGCCAATCTGGAAAGGAGCATTGAGCCGTGGAGGTTCGTCAAACCATGGATACCAGCCCTAGATTGCCGATAACGATTTTGAGTTCGATTGAACTGTAGAGGAAAGCTTTTCCGCTGAACGCCATGTCTTTGCAAGCTGATCCACATGAGACCTGTGTGAATCTTGATCGCGAGTCTGAACAGTGATCCTGTGACGACTGATCCTCTGCAGAAAAGTCTTTAGATCGACGAACAGGGGATCTGGACCGTCGAGAAGTAGACGTGAAGTGCCGAGCTGTGGAGGGACAGAATTGTAGTAGAAACAACTATAGAGGTTTCAATCAAAGCCACAAATTCATCAAATGTTTTTAGATTTCTTCATAGGTATTTTTTGTGTCATCATACCAAGATGGAGTGGATCATTGCTCACAATATCTATCACTGGATTGTCTGTTCCAGACTCGATAATTTGCAGGCTGCTGTCATAGCTGGAAACTTGCTGAGTGCTGCATTTGATAACAAACACGCACACATTTGAGTCCTGAGCTTCGATCATTGGTCATTAAAAATACACATACCATTCTTTGACTAGAGAATTAACAGATATAGCAGAAATAGTATAACGACTAAGAATCACAAGATAGATGAAGGCTTCGAACATATCAACCAATGAAAGCAGTTGTCACCGCTCAGCAGTAGGTGAAAGCCACACACCCAAATAATTTTTTTAAGCCGATTACAGGTCGTGTGATTTAAGCACTTTCACTTTAGACATTTGAATACTTTCAATGAATACAGGTATTATGAATTTTTCTCTCTAAGATATTGACTTAACGTATCTAGGAAAATTGATACTCGCAACAAAATCGCTATCTTTTATTTCAGTTTACTTGCCCTTTAAACTACAAGGCTACACAGGTTACAAATCAGTTAAACAAACTACAAACTTAAGTAGCACTGAACACATGGCAACATATTCAGAATTCAGATAACCTTTTGAGGAACCCCCCCAAAAAATATATTTTATGTGTGTATTGAATTTTTCCAACCTACTGGGCAGATTTTTTTACCATAAAAACCTGTAATCGAAAAAAACAAAAGATTACTACGGCATTTCAACATGTATTGGAAAGTTTGATATGCCGTAAAAATGTGACATGTGCAATAACATGTTCAGTTTTGCATCATTGAGGTATTATTTATGTGTCCTTACATGTGTAATTCAGTATACAGTTGGTGTTATTTTGTGTGCAATAAATAAGTTTTTTATGTTCACTGTTATGTTCCTGACAATAACATGGCCACAGCACTGTAATTCGCTGTGAGTTACATAACTGTGATCATAGGTTTGAATCCCAGTTCACCCCTATTATGTTTCTAGGTTTGTCACCACCACACTCATTGGTTTTACCAGAGTGGTAAACATCTGTGACCTACATCACTTCAGGCTTTCCTCCCACATTAAGCAAACAGGGATATAACTGGAATACTGTTTAACATGTTTAAAGCAGTGTTAACCTCACTCACTCACTCACTCACTCACTCACTCACTCACTCACTCACTCACTCACTCACTCACTCACTCACTCACTCACTCACTCACTCACTCACTCACTCACTCACTCACTCACTCACTCACTCACTCACTCACTCACTCACTCACTCACTCACTCACTCACTCACTCACTCACTCACTCACTCACTCACTCACTCACTCACTCACTCACTCACTCACTCACTCACTCACTCACTCACTCACTCACTCACTCACTCACTCACTCACTCACTCACTCACTCACTCACTCACTCACTCACTCACTCACTCACTCACTCACTCACTCACTCACTCACTCACTCACTCACTCACTCACTCACTCACTCACTCACTCACTCACTCACTCACTCACTCACTCACTCACTCACTCACTCACTCACTCACTCACTCACTCACTCACTCACACTCACTCACAGTAATGTGAATTGTCAATCTCTCCTTAAGCCATACCTTTTGTGAAGTTGATATTTTCAGAATGGTACTGCTGACTTTTTGACCTGACTTTAAGCATGGTTGTGCTCAGGTATCAGTGTGTACTGGAAGAAAGTGTCACTCCCTCTATGAAAATATAGAGAAATGGACATCCAGTTAGGTACCTGATAATTGAACCCATTCTTTAGCAGTCATTTTAGAAGGAAAAGTGCACAAAGACTGTTGCAAGTTACTCGGTTTAGAGAAGTAAAATTTGTTTGCTTATTTGTTCTTTTACGCTTAAAAATATCAACATCATGTGTGGCCGGGTTACAATGACACACACAGAGCCTGACTACCCGGTCATAATTTTAGTTGGCTCTGATCCAGAATCTCCAGCATCAAGAATGATTTTTTTTTTACAGAGTTGAATATATGTCCCTGCAACCTTTGTTAATCTAAACAACATTTGTCTCCTCCGAACATAAAGTTTATTCAAAGGCCTTCCTCCTAACTTGTTAAGTCATTTGAAGAAAGCCTCGGAGTTTTGCCACTTTTATTGTGTTGATATATTTGAGATATTCGATATCAAAAGACACAAGGGTGAGATTTTGTTTATCATCCAATATCATTCTTGCAACCTTTTCAGTTTGTAGTCAGTATTAGTAATAGGCAGTGTCTGAAGTGTAAAAAGTACTGCTAACAACTTCAGTAGCAGAGCCATTAGTGATGGCATTTGATTGTGATGTCATGGTAACCAATGATGCCACAATGGTCTGCAAAGCATTGTGATGCAAGTTCATTGCTGCGATATCTACATTGTAGATATCGCTTGATCTCATCCAAGCGATATTTCCTGTGGGAACCAGTTTTGGATGATAAATAGAGGTTATCATGCGAGTGTGTTTTGGGAAGGTAGGTAAATATCCTGTATTAGGAATAAACATTGTATTAAGCGAGCCTTGGGGAGCTAAATACATAGTGTTTATTCCTAATACAGGATATTTACCATCCCAAAACACACAAGCGTGATAACCTCTTTATCATATAATGTCATTCTTTAATTCTGTGCTTGAAAATAGCTTTCCCTCTCTCACAAACATTACCTAATCATTCCTGGAATGCGTGCATTAATATTTATGTCACAGGGAAAGTGATGTGTCAGTCGGACAGTGACAGTAGCCAATATAGTTCCAACTGAAATCTGTTTCTTATACAGTGGCGAAGCAACATATATGCAGAACAACTATTGTTTTTACTTGCATTTCATGGCAATCCATCAGTCTGGCCGCTAGAGTAACTGCCCTGACGTCACAGTTAGACACTGATTTTAAGTATATTAGACTGTTCTTTTGATAATGATAGCAATCATCTCTGTAGTTTATCCAGATTCCCGATGGTTAATTCTGACTCGATTGCCAAATGACAAGGGCCACGCCATGTTTGTTTATAAACACTGAAAGTAGTCACTACTTGACCTTTGATATTTGCACCTCTATCCGCATATGACCCCAACGGATATCGTTTTTATCCCTTGGCTCTCTCCTGCCGAGAAACCTACCCATTATATGATAAACAGACATATTTGTTTTCTTTTCTGCTTTTAAGGTGAAAATAACTAAATCATCATGAGTGGCCATGAAGCAATGGACACATCAGACAACTACAAGGATGGACAACATCCAGCACCAGTGAAAGATACGGGACATCATGGAGCTGGTAGAAGCCAACCGTACTCAAACATGCAAGGCCAGTATTATCCTCCAGGGCGACAACAAGGACCTGTCTACCCTCCTGATGGACATCCTCCAGTGTCGCAGTTCTGCTATTGTTACAGTGCACCCCCACACTATCATCCTGGTGGCTTTGTATATCAGTCATATCCTTACATGCAACACAATGTGAACTCCAGTGCTGCAGGTCCAACTCCTCCATACCCAATGGACTATACTACTGGTTACAGACATACTGGTTTACACAACAATACAACCCAACAAATTACTACACTTCCAAACCTCATGCATGCCACTATCCCATATCAATATGATGGACAAATTCAGCAGACTCCGCATGGACCTCAGACTGCAGCTGAGCAAGCTCAATCATATCCACACGCATCTGCCCAACCCCCGTATGGTCCTGGCATTTCACAGATACAGCAAGGTATGACCAACCACCCCTCTACAGATACCGTTGGAGCTCCTCCAGAGCAGCATCCCAATACAGATCCAAAGATTCCTATGAAACTACAACCTTCTAGTCCTTCAAGATCAGGACACTCAAGCTCACCAGCAATTCCCCTAGGAGAGACACATCTCTCAGCAGCAGACTCTGGAACCCCTCTGATGAGTCCGGCCAATCCAGACCCTCAGTTTGCCATGAAACTACAACCTTCTAGCCCTGCAGGCCTGGTTGTTGGAGAGGGAAGTGGGAATGATCCTGACAGTAGACCAGGAGATGGTATCAGTGGTCTCATGGAAGGCTTTAAGAAGCTGAATGTGAATGAGGATGACAGGAACATGGCAACAGACAAACAGAAGATGACAGTTGGTGACAGTGATGCTTCTAAAGCTGGGAAGCTCATCGACAATGAGGTTAAAGAGCACATGAAAACAGAAGAAAGAAATTTTCTATCTGTTTCAAGCAAAACAGAATCCCAACAATTCTCCCAATTTGAAGGTGGATGTCAGAGCTCAGGTATTTTAATATTATTTTTAAATTTTACAATGTTTTAGCTCCACTAATATTGTTGACATAACTGATATGTTGAATCCAGCAAAATTAGCCAAGACAAAGGTTTCACTGAAGGGAGTACTGAAATTTGTACAAAACTGGTTTCCAGAAAAAATGTGAATGCAATGAACCTGATTTATTTTTTTATACATACCCTATGCTGCCATGAGACCTTAAATAAATATTGAGAAACTAATCAAATACTATTTTAAAATATGTTTATTTTTATTAGTGCTATTCATAGTATTTCTACAGACAGTCATAATAGCCAGAAAAATATTTTACTCAGGAAGCATTTACTGTTGGTCATTGAAACTTGGTACATCACTACATGTGATTCTTATGGAAGAGCTACCATTGGAAAGGCTGTGAATGACTAAAATATAAATGGTCAAAGCCTCAATGAATGTGATTTGTACAGTACTGTTTTGCCATCTTCACTTAAATGCTATTTCTTACAGATCTTATGAGTCTTAAGCTTATAGTTGTTAGATTATTTGAATACAGGTCGGACCCGTGAAGATCAGGGGTAGAATAGGCCTTTAGCAACCCTTGCTTGCCGTAAAAGGCGACTATGCTTGTAGTGAGAGGTGACCAACAGGATTGGGTGTTCAGGCCCGCTGACTTGATGCATGTCTTTGTATCCCAATTGCATGGATTGATGCTCATGATGTCAATCAATGGATTGTCAGGTTGAGACTCGATTATTTACAGACCGCTGCCATATAGCTGTAATATTGCTGAGTGTGGTATCAAACAACAAAATAAAATAATAAAATAATAGAAATTAAAAAAACAAAATAATTGAATACAGGTCATGTTGATGGTCAAGGTCATAGCCCCCCAAAATGACCTCATGAAGGATTTTTTTTTCTTTCTTTTTTTAATAATGTTTTTATTTCAATTCAGTAGACATTAATGTAACATTGGTACATGGGGTATATAAGTGTATCAATAATAATATCTTAAGACATGATCAGATAATGGTATAAACATATACTGGATTGATAAAGTATATTAAGTAGGCTGATAATTCCTTCCATTTTCTGTCAAATTTATTACTACTACTATTTTTCATTGCGATAAATTTTTCTATTTTACATACATCTTTCAATATTATTATGAAGAAAGGGGATCATAATGGAGGTTTCTTAACTTGACTGGTGAATGTGTTTTTTGCAAGAAGAATGTAATATGAATATCATATGCAAGTTTCAAGTTTAGGTACCCTTCTTTTTCTAACCAAAATTCCTTTACAAAATCGCTTTCTACATATACATGGTATAAGTTTTCAGATTCAGAGATACAAAAAGAGCATATATCATCATCCATTAACTTCATTTTCAATAAATCCTTTTTGGTATATAGAGCTCTATTTATAAATCTGTACTGGAATTCAATTTGTTTAACATGAAATTTGTTCATTTTCCTGTTTATCACACATCAGAGGAAAGTTAGTTGTAGCTATAAGTTTATCATAAAATATTCTGGAGCCCTTTGTTCTTATCAACAAGTCTCTTAAAATATTATTATTTGACGTAATAAGCACCCCGCTCTAATAAGCGCCCACGGCGATATTTGCTAATATATTGGCCAGTGAACAATCCAAATTAGCACCCCTTCCGATTGATCAATGTACACAAGACTTATATATTCGCGTATAATACGCACCTGTGTGTTATATGCACACTTAATTATGGGCAATTAAATTCTTGAAAAATATATGTCGTACATAAACATTTCAGGCTGTCAGCATAAATTTATCTTTTAACTCAAAAATTTTCACTAAAATAATATTTTAATAAGAGCGCTTATTACGTCAAATACGGTATGTATAAATTAGCTGTGATACCAAATCTGTCATATATTGCTTTTTTCCATAATTTAGGGATATTTAGCATTACAATGTTGTAGTCAAGTACCGGTACCTTTAATTTTAAATACACATGAAGGATTTAGCTATGTCATGTTGTTATGTCTTCTTAGGGCAGGAGCTGGAATATTGCTTAAAGCAGCGTAAAACCAAAACCCCATCACTCACACTTACTGCAGGACCAAGATTGCGAAAAGTCATAGCCTGAAAACAAAACTGACATTTTCACTAAAATTACTTATTCTGCAGATATCTTTTAAAGTCCACTCACATAAATTAACTGCCCTTGACAAGAAAAGGTCATGGTCAATGTGATTGCTTGTAAATATACTACTAGTGTTTCAACCTAAAGGAAAAAGGTATTTGTTTTGTACGTAAGCTTTTTTATGGAACGATTGTTAAGCCATCATCTGTCATCATCTCACTTTTAGGCATCAATCATAATAGGTAAAGACGATCTTTCAGCAGTGTTAACTATAATCTGTTGTCTGTTTTGCCAAAACAATATTGTAGACTCATACTGATTAATAGTTTTCTTCAACATGCCATTTGTTGGCTGCCATTGTACCTGTCATAAGCTCCTAAGACGTAGAGGTCCGACCTTGTCTTAATTTTGATAGTAAACTGAAGATAACTTAGCTCTAATACAGCGTCAAGACTAGACTTAGATGATGTTTGTCGCTCTGTCGGCTTTAAGCCAATATTGGCGCTAAGACAGTTTTGTGAATGGGCCCCCTGCATACCACTTAATATGTCTTGGCATCCAATTTAAGTGTAAATTAGCTCTTATGTACTTTAGAATGTAAATCTTTAAAACAGGTAATTAGATTTAACTTTAGCATGTCATGTCGGTCATATAGGTTTTAAGCTTATCAATGGTCAGCAATAAAAGGTTGTTGACTGGAAAACAGTTTCTTGATTCTATATTAACATCATGAAATGACATCACAACTGCATACTTTGCTGATCTCTCATGTTTAAGGAGCAGGAACTAGGCATGCTGCAATGGAGTATCTTGATAAATTTCTGCTCTCTGGACTCAAACCCAATATCTCAGAAGAGACTTTAATGAACTACATTGAAGTTGTGAGTGAATGTGATGTCCAAAGAATTGAATATACTCTTGACCAAACAACAGCTGTCATAACTGTGGATCAACATCCAGGTAATAATTAATTTGTTTATTTGATTAAGTGATGATTGCTTTGAGTAGCCTCTATTACATCATAGTCAATATTCATGTAATTTGGCTAACATCGCACTGAATAATTCCTTAGATTTTCAACGTACGTCAACTTTGAGCCATCCTCACCAGTTGTTAGGCAAATCGTACCTCGTGCAAAAACCTTTACACACATCTGAAAAACGTCCTTCTTTCATGTGTGTACAAGCATTTGAACACCTGAACAATTTCAGTTCATGCGTTCACTTTTTTAACTTAATAATTCTAGGATTTCTATTAAGCAGACAACTATTTTTACATTGTTTTTATCTGGGTTTTGATTGCATAGATAAAACTTACTTTGGGACATGGATTCAACCCCACTGCCAGCCAGTCCAGGTTGAGGCAATGCCATGACAGTCGGGTAGCCTAGTGGTTAAAGCGTTCACTCGTCACGCCGAAGACCCGGGTTCGATTCCCGACATGGGTACAATGTGTGAAGCCCATTTTGGTGTCTAGGAAGAAATTCGGAAGACAAAGTCAGCGAAATTGTCTACCAAGTCCTCTAGCAAGAAACATTCATCAAAGGACTTGGTGATGCATGGAACAGGGATGTCAAACAACCCTGTCCCATCTCGCTTCCTAGCAGCAAGGATTCAGCGGCGTTGCATTGTGTTGGCGAGCAACCCCACACCAGTTCTCATCCGGACGCTCCTATCACTGTCGACTTGATTAAGAACATCATGTCAAATGTTTGATTGCAGTGTTCACTCGAGGAATTTTCTGACATGAGCCCTGTACATGAAAATTTCAAATATTCCCCATAATTCCCCATTGTATTTGAAAATGTGGGCCTTTTTTCAAATGTAGGGTCTAAAAGCACAAGGCCCCACCCTAGAATTATCCCTGTGATTGGCATTCTAGAAGTTGGTAAATAATTAAGAAAAACATAACTTTATGGATTACAACTTCTGGTTTATTGCCTATAGCAACATTTCGATGTAGATTCTTACACCGTTATCAAGCTGAAGTGACAACAACCAAGTGATGAGAGGTATATATGCATGACACGTTGTGATAAGCATGTCTTTCGATGTTGAATCCATGCAAGCCTCCATTTTGGATTCAATGTCATCTCTACAACAGGCCATGTCTACAGACACCAGACATGCTTATCCTTTGGACCATACCTCTCCCCCATGTTCATGTCGTCGTGGGGGTTGGGCCAACACACCAGCTTCTAGGCTGACATCAGAGACACGTCAGTTACTTGATGTTCGTTTGTGAATATACAGAATGGCCATGTTATCCTCATGTAATGGTACCCCTTGCCCACATGATCACCAAGCATCGCTTGTCTATCAGCAGGATGATGTCCTCAAAGCAGCAAGTACATGTGCAGCTGCACCAAAACAGAAACCATTAATGTCTACCATTACGCATGAGGATGGCTCTGGCACTGAGGTCATGACACCAGACAGAGTCAACTGTTACATCAGGCACAGCACGGGATCATCGGAACTGCTGCAAGCTTACAGAGATAAGTCCTCACCTACTTGCAATACTTTGTACTTTCCTGCACAAACAAGGTCATGTGTCATGCTAATGACCATCTACTCCGCACCAAGACTGATGACATGTTGCTGCTGACGTCACTTATGCATACAAATTCAACTACCAACGATTCTCCATTTTCTCAAATTCCATCCATTGATAATGATTAAAAGAGCCTTGTCAAGACAAGACAAGACAATGAGTGTTCCAATGGCGAAATTTAAAGAATTGCAGATAGTCAACCGTCTTAAGATGAATACAGGCGCCAATATCAATTGGTTTTCTGCAAGGATCGATCACAGTCTGCCTGCTTGACTTCTCCTCAAGTTGTACATGGGTCTCTGTGAGGCCAGTCAATGACACTGGACCGAGTTGACTTTGTTCATTCTGTGTTGGATGGCATTTCAAAAGTGCAGGAAGATGTCCAGCCAACTATCAACCAGAGATGTCACCTGCTTTCTTAAATCTGCTTTAGGATCTCTGAGCCTGTCAAGACATCTGTGCTTTCTTAGCCTGTCAAGACACTGGTACTAATTCAGCAAAAAAAAGGCACCACATATAGACAATGTCCGTTGAGACAAGACAAGATCTTCAGACGTAGACAATAAGTCTGGCTGCGTCAGCTTACACAAGGCCTCCGACGTGCCAGTCCGTATTTTGTCATGCCCTCACCCCTCAGACAACAATTGTGCATCTACCTATCAATGCCATCAAGGGCGAAGTCGGCCTTCTTAAGGGGAAGGAGAGGATTTTGATTAATTGGGGGCAACTCTACCATCAACCAATCCTATGGACCTCGACTGTTGCCTAAAGGACTTCTAACTTGATGCCAACCCTAGGCATAAGGGGGGACTGCTCTGAGCTTTGGTCGAAAATTGGATGCTCGTTACGTCTGACTACTGGTTGTTTGAACAGGATACAAACTGCATTTTCCTTAGTGTCTTGGACTTGAATCCAGACCTATAGGTCGTTGATTCCATTTGAAAGGGACCAAGATGCGTACTTGGCCATTCAGGCACCACTAGAGAAGGGATACCAGCGGAGGTTTCTATTCCGGGTGCCCCAAAAGAATAAATCAGACATGCAAATGATCATTGACTTGAAGCTTCTAAACAGATTACCTTGTACGTCCACCCAAGTTCCAGATTGAATCAATAAGAAAATTCACAACTGCTCTCAGGACAGGGCATTGGTTAGTCAGCTTAAACTAACAGGACACATGTTTTCATGCCCCCATCCACCCCGATTACCAGCGGTGCCTCTGTTTCAGCACCCCTGTTTTCCCATTTGGCATATCGATACCCCCATGGTTATTCACTCAGATAAAATTTCTGATCATCAGCTTTGCTCATCTCCATTTCATCAGACTGCACACCTGTATATTGACGATTTCCTTTTAGCTGATCCTGACAAGCAGCAGCTACAATGGACCACAATGTTCTTGATACAGCTGCGGTCCTACCTAGGGTTTCCTTATGTTTATCCGACGAAGCTGGAGTTTGGCCTGCAGTACACATGGGGGCCAGGTTCCAGTTAATGTAGGGAGTGTTGTGTGAAGTCACTAGCGATAAGACAGCCTTCAGTCAGACCTTCCGATCTCATTGTTGGTAATGGTGTTGTCTTGGGATATTGACTTCACTCCAAGGTAGAGGTGAGCAATATGACTGGTATACAGGTTACCTTGTGCATCCACCTCACAATACAATCCTTACATATCGATATTTTCCAATACAGTCACAGAAAAATTAATATATAATTTAATAAATGATACCTACTATCTTGAGGCATTTGGATTGACTGGGTTCTTTTCTAAACCATGTAAACACTTCACAATGTTTACATTAACAGTCCATATTGATGACATAATTGGACGTCTTGTTTATCCATACTACCCATCTTGTAATCTGAAGACTGGATTATTGAATGAAGAAGTAGCATTTCAACAGTATGAATATGTGTAATTTGGTGCCCAACATGTATTGCAATACAGCTCACCGTATCGCGATCTATTGCAATACGATTTATGTGCCAATACACCAACCATACTCCAAGGCCTCATTTCCACTGACTTTAAACTTCGTCGAACTCAATGAGATCCCTTAATGTTGAGACCCGTGAAGATTCCGGGGTAGAATAGGTTTTCAGCAACCCATGCTTGCCGTAAAAGTTGACCATGCTTGTCTAAAAGGCGACTAATGGGATCGGGTGGCCAGGCTCGCTGACTTGGTTGATGCATTTTATCAGTCCCAATGGCGTGGATCGATGCTAATGACATTAATCACTGGATTGTCTGGTCCAGACTCGATTATTTATAGACCGCTGTCATATAGCTGGAATATTGCGGAGTGTGGCGTAAAACAACAAACCAACCAACCAACCCTTGATGTTGATGCCCTGGTATGACCATCACCAGCTCAGTTGAATTGAGGGATTGTCCCAATGTCACTGGGGGCATTCCCCTGACATATCCTCCACCAGACAACCACCTTTACACGGATGTGTCGGGAGAAGAATGTGGCACTCATTTGGACAGGAACCGTCACATCAACAGTCTTGAGAGGCTTGTGATTTACCGCGCAATACAAACCTGGGCACTTAGGTTGCACCTGTCATCTGTACTAGTTGCTGCAGACAACATGACAGTAGTAGCATACCTACAATGACAAAGGACTCAAAGTCACAATGTTTGTTGAAGGACACTATACATCTGTTCGGCTTGGCAGACTTGATCGGCTGCAAATTGAAAGCATGTCACATTCTCAGTAAGATAGACATCTTGGCCGAGAACAAGGTTATGTTGACAGAGTGGTCTCCACAACCCCAATACTTCAAGTGGATAACATCTTGAGACATTCCCCATCTTGACTTTTTTGCGACAAGCTTCAATCTCACCCTTAATGTCAGTCCACTACCAAATCCACTAGGGATGTTTCCTTTGGCCCCTGCTGGACAGAGTCTTGAGAAAAGTGGAGGCGTCAGACTGTGTCATCATTCTCATAACTGTTGCATTGCCAAACAGAACTTGGTTTCCCAGACTGTTGCCCCATCTCATGACAGCACCACTCTAGATCCCACTACATAAGATCTGCTCTGTCAGCTCTTATTGCACATATTCTCCACATTCTTATATTCTCTACGCCTGGAAACTATCCGGCAAAAATGTGATCTTCCGGTTTCTCTGGCCTAAATGCTGTGGTATGGCCTCCTCTGCCATCTGCGATAGCTGATGGCACAAGTTCGGACAGTGGCGGAAAGGAAGTGGTTGGGATCACATGGACGTAAATATTCCCATGGTAGCAGATATTTTGCTACATCTACGCCAGTAGAAGAACTTCAGACATGGTGTGATTGAGGTTAATACCATTCAGGTTTAGCATTTGTCCATCAGCACCCATCCAGTCCTAAATCGATTCATGAAGTAATTTCAACTGGAGGATATGGAAACACCCTGCACAATCCCCAACTGGAATCGTCCTATCATCCTGTCTGCTCTTATGGAGGCACCATATGAACCTATGCAAAAAGGCAACTCTTCTGCAGGCTTCAAAGAAACCTGGCTTTTTGGTTGCCATGGCAACATCGGCTAGAGTCTTAGGGCTTCATGCCATCGACTTTTCCTCACTAACTCATGCACCCGATTGAAGTAAAATCACTCTGCGGCTCTCCGAGAGGTCATTACCAAGTATCAGACCATGGCAGATCATTGTCTGCATGATAATGGTTATCAGAAGATTCAAGGCATCAAACATCCTCTGTATCTCCAGGGCTAGCATTTCGGTAAACCTACACTAACCCTGGACATATTCCCATGGTTCTCGGGACATCCTTTTCATCATAATGATTGTTTTGTGTCAGTCATATTTTTCAATGTTCAATTTAAAACTCGATGATTCTCAATGGGACTGGCCGCCATGTTGCTGTTATTGCCAACCCAACATTGAGGCTGGTTGCCAACTCGCATTCTGAGTGGTACATAATTTGCGATTGCGAGAACCATGGGAATGGATTCATGGGTAAGTGTAGGTTTCCCTAAATGCTCGCTCTGAAGGATGGGCATCAGAAAAGGATGATTTTGCGAAAAACAGGATTTGTCTTTTTCTTAGAATATGTTCACTAAAATTTGCTGGAACCCAACATAATGTTTGTCTCCATAATGAGGTTCAACTGGTTGCATCAATATGTAGCCAGTAACAAGAAAACTTAGATATTTTTTTTATATTTCAGATTAAGAGTGTCATTGAAATGTAGTTTCTTCTTCATATTTACCAGTTAGTTCTCATTTTTTGTGAAGAAAAAAATGTATATGAATGCTGACAGAAACATTTGTTAAAAGACTTTCGTGTTGACAATTTTGAACTGTTAACTACACATCTTGGTGAGCTACAGAGGTGTGATACTATGTTTCTAGATTGGGATTCAATGGAGAAGATGGTTAGAAAAAAAAAATTGGAAAGTGAAACAGTGGGAATTCAACGAATTGCTCATACACAAAGTATTTGTGTGCATGGAAGCTTCAACGGGAACCAAGAAGACTTATTTAGAAATTATTTTGAGAATGAGAAGAGTGGAAATGAGAAGTGGCAGGTGACCAGAGTTCAAATCATGGAGGACTTGGTGGTTGTGACATTTGAGAGTCCAGAAGGTAGGCTGTGTAGATTTCAGTAGATTGCAGGATTCGCCAACTCGGGGTCAACCGATATTTTCCAAATCTTTTCATGTTTTTAATCAAGGTGCTCACCTGATTTGTACCCCTCAAAGTAAGACACAATATAGATTTTGAATATCGATCAGATTGTCTTGACTGTTCCCTGCCATTTTGTTTGAAGCAAATGCAAGTGATATGAAAGGTGTAGTCTGATTGGTCAATAGGAGGGACATAATTCATAATAGCCACTGGTGGCTATTCTATATGAAACTTTGTACAATTTCAGTCTAAGCCTGTAATGGAGTCTTAGTTCTTTAGAGATTTTAAAATTGTGTTTTATTTTATTATTTCAATTAAATGGCACACCAATAGACACTGCAAGAAACAAAGCTGTAAAAGCTTTCATAGAAGATGTACAGTAAACTATGTTCATAACTAACACGCTTAAAATAAACTGACTGATATGACAAACTTATTTTTTAGTCCAGGCCATTTGTTGTATATATGCTGTAAATATGCTTATAACGAACTGCGCTTATTTCGAACTAAAATTAGTGGTCCCGTTGAGTTTGTTATAACTGTAGTTTACTGTATTAGAAATTCACCAGGTTTTGAGGGGTCAGCATACTCACAACCATACTCTGGTAACTACCCATAAAGGGTAGGGCTGCAACAGCACCTGCCTGTATAACAATGCTCTACAATACAATTCATGATATCTAAATGAGGTTTTTTTCTGATCAGTACTGTGCAAACTGTGAGTTTTTTGTTATAAAAATTAATTAACATAGGTTACAATAAAAAAAATTATTGTCTCCCCCAACCCCAATTTTATCTCCATTTGTGATGAAAGCATGTGACAATATTGCCTTTTTGGGTAGAATCTCCCAATCTTATTCTTGCTGTAGAGGTGATGTTGAAAGTGTAACTTAGGTTTACCTATCTGCATGTAACAGTCAACTTTTGGCAACTTGCAGTGTTTGTGACAAAATATCTCTGACAATATATGTACAATTTAGTGACCGCTGACACATGTCACCAGCCAAATGTTTTCTATTTTCAGCTGTGGAAGCTGTGCTCTCACAACCAACTCACCATGTCTCGGGAAAAACATGGAACGTACAAATTTTCTACACCGACATTGGATATGTCCAAGAAAGATCCATGATGATAGATACAGCCTGGATTTCAAGTATGATGTTAGGGGAAGTAAGATTGCTGAGAGTAACTGGATTCCTCGACACTTTGATGACTGAACTCCGACATCTTGAAGAGGCATCAGTTGAGGGGGACACCAAGGTGAAATTGAAGGGGACAGAGGCAGCCATTGACACAGCAAAAGATAAGATAACTCAATTACAACAAAAGATAAAGAGGGCGAAATTGGATTGCTCCGCTGCTAAGAAAAAATACCTTGAGAGTGAGTTTGGGGCGAGATACATGGTGGATGCACTCTCTCACAAAGGTATCAGAAGTGCTTGGGGTCCTGATGCAAACACAATTTATATTTTTGCGATGTCTGACAGGGATTTGCAAGACACAGTATCATGGATCAAGAAACACATTAAAGAGCAGCATTTCACTGTCCCAGCCATGAAGGAAGACACGTTTGCTGAAAAGTTCAAATCTTTGCAGCAAAAGTTGAAGGAACATCCAACGGGATCATTCAGTTTTGAGTTATCTCGTGATAGCAGATGTATCATTGTAGTGGCACAACATGAGGTTTCATATGATGTTTTTGAGTCAATTATATCCTGCTTTCCTAAACCAGTTGCCATTGAAACCATGCAACTGCCGTTTTCAAAGTGTCAACTCAGATTTATGCAGACACACATGCTGGACAAGGTGCAGCAGATGAAATCTAAATGCAGGGTCCAGTTGAATTTCAAAGAAGAACAATGTCAGCTTGAGATCAAGGGTGAAGGGGAAATGATTAAAAAATCGAAGAAAATGTTGGATGAAATTGTTTTAACAAATGATATTCTTCCACTTGGATCAGAGGAATCAGAAATCCTTCTTCAATCAGGTCATGTTCAGAGTTTGCAAGATCATGTTGAAAGAACTGAAAGATGTACCATCTCTCACAAGGTAATAGGTGATATGCACAGCAAGGATACACACCCCATCATGGCAGCATCAGGTGCAACTGGAGATTACAAAGAAAAAGGATGCGGGAAGGATCATAGGTACAACGGAGGTCAAAGCCATGCACATGATCAAGAACCTTCTACCAGGTGGTATGTTCCAATCCCTGATTTGCAGGAAGACAAAGGGACAAATGGAGATGGTTGGCAGACTGTCCACCCAAAAAGTAGAAGGGCTGGCCGCAGTGAGTATTTAGTCCACAAATTTCATGATCTTTTGCATCAGTGAGTGTTTGCAGTATCCTTGGGGTGTTGAAATCGAAACAGTTTTTCCTCTGGACAACCTAAATGGTTTTAGTTAATGGTAACAATGGTCCTTATTTTATCATTTAATGATATATATGTATACATCTGTCCTTTGATAGCTAATTAAAAAAAGATCAAAGGTTTCAACACCTCAGTCAGTTTCTGCATAAAATCAGAAAAATACTCATTCTTTGGGAACACAAACATGACACAACAATAAGTGTTCCTTGGATAAAAGTATACCATTAATACAATTTGACATAGTTATGTTTTCTTTTTCAGTTAAAAAACACAATATTTATAGTGAAATGAAACATAGTTGCAGTTTTGAAATGACATGCAAATGATGGAGAAGAGGTTTTTTATGACATTTGTCAAGGTAGTAATGCGAATTGAAAACAATAGTGACAATGAGAAAACAAAATACTACTTTAATCAATGGTAGTAAACATGCAAAAGCAACTCTCAATCTTTCTGGAGTCAAATGTGTAGAATGTGATATACAGCCTGCTAGAAATGAACTATATCCATCAACTATACTTTGGACACATGTTTGTTTATGAATTAAATCACATGAACAAATAATTTTGAGATTTAAGTTGGTCATAAGTGAATTATGACCCATGACCTACCTAAAAATGCCCGTCATTACATGGCATTGTTTCAACTTTGGATATCGCATCAAAATTCCACAAACTACACTGAAAGGCAAAAGAAACGTCATGTGGATGTATCATGTAATTATCTTTATTTTCAAATGCTTATATATGTAAGTAAAGACATCGGAGAAGGTCAGTGTTTGACCCACATGAAATTGACAGTCTGTGGAATGTTTTTGCGAATTGTGAATTTGGGGAGGCACCAGAAGACATCACAGCTGGGGGGTTCAAAATCAGAACCTGGTTTGGCCACCACGGGCGTTGACTACAGCCACACATCTCCTGTACATGGAGTGGACTAGCCTGTTGATGAAGGCCATTTGGATATGGGCCCATATCCTCACGATGGCTACACGCAGTTCATCTGCAGTTGTCGGCCTTGGACGTATGTCGTTGAGTCGGCGTTGGATCTCATCCCACAAGTGTTCAGTGGGATTCAAATCCGGACTGAGGGCAGGCCAAGGCATGATTTGGATCTTGTGCTGCTGGAGGAAGTCCCTGGTGACTCTGGCAGTGTGGGGACGGGCGTTGTCTTGCTGAAAGGTGTGGTTTTAATGACGGGCAAAAAAAGGCACGATATGAGGTCTGAGGACTTGGTCAATGTAGCGGAGAGCTTTGGTGCCATTACCCCTGCCTGGAACAATATTCTGAAAGACCACAGGTCCCACTCTCTGGTTCAGTCCGATTCCACCCCAAACCATGATGCTTGGGCCGTCCCACGGGTCCATAACACAAGCATCAGCATAACGTTCGCCCCTCCAGACCCTGACTCTGCCATCCACCGTTGAAACACCATAGCGACTTCCATCAGTGAGGATGATTCTTCTCCATTGCTGTTGACGCCAATTTTGATGCTGCCTGGCCCATTGCATTCGGCCCTTTTGTTGATGATCTCTCAGGATGGGTACACGAGCAGGATGGTGGCACGAGATGTTGTTGGCAGTTAGGCAAAGTTGGACTGTATGATCTCGGATGGCATTCTGGTGGTTGCCAATGGTTTGCCGAGCTGTTTCACTGGCCATTCGGAATCGGATCTGCAGATGTTGGCGCATCATGAACCGATCTTGTCTGGGAGTAGTGACTCTAGGACAACCACTACGCGGTCAGTCGTCGGTGTTGTTGTGGCAATGTTGCAAACGATATATCGTTCTGACGTTGACATTGAATGCATTTGCAACGACCTGTGCACTCTGGCCTGCTTGCAGTCTTCCCATCGCTTGTTGTCTCTCAATTCCTGATAATCTTGGCATGGCTGATGAATTGAAAAAACGAAAGCAAGCTTAACGGTTTGGGGTGTCTTTTATACCCATACCATCCACGATATGCACTTGCATCATGTTTTTGACAAGACTTTTCCGCAACTGAGTCCCATTGCACTTTTGTTTGGGCAAAGCACTCCATTTTAAACTCAATGGACTTTAAGGCAACAAAAAGAAGCAGTAGAATGTTAAATGAGTTTATTGACCACAGAACAGGTAACTGCCAGCTTCTGTTAAGTTTTATCAGTATTTTCAGAAGTGACGTTTCTTTTGCCTTTCAGTGTATATCATAGGGCATTGTGATGTGATTGTAAACTTTGTGATACAGGGCGGTACGATAACTTTAGTGCAACGATAGCTTTGTGGAATGGACCCTCGAATTCTAAAGGCGAACCGTTGTATTAGATTAATAGGTATCAACATTTTACGTGTTTGAAGTACTACTCTGTTACACTCAATTGGAGTAAGCCGTGGATCGCATAGATGTCTGCCTATTCACACACAACAGTGAATTTATTTTTTAAAATATGCAAGAAATAATTAAAATACTAAACTCACTCCCATGTAATACCAATTTAACTCATGAATAGCTCTGGTATCTCACTCGCTTTTGTTCCTTAGATACCAGAATTATTCACTTGTTTCACAAAATTGGTATTACACGGGAGGTCATTTGGTATCCGATATTAATTATCATATAATTTTGTGGACAGATGTGTGACCAACAAGAGGGGTAACGGCAGTTTATTTAATGTCTGACAAAAAGTATGTGTGTCAATCTTGTAATATGTTATTTTCAAGTTCCTCATGCAGGATATTGGAGCCTTGCCTGATGGGCAAGTTATACAGCTATGTTTCTGAGCCAAATTCACACATTCACATTAAGTAAAGTTGAACTTAAAACACAGGTCAGGTTCAATATAGACAGACAAATGTCCATAATTAATGGATCAAAGTACACTTGATAGTTTCAACACATGCTACAAATTAAACATAAATAACAGTCACCTCAGCAACTTCATCTTTCACAGTCAAGAGGAATGTTGCAAGTTGCCTGTGAGATATGTGTCCCTTAGGCATGCCAGATTCTCCTGGATTATGTTTCCAGGTTTGTCAGCACCATACCTATGCTTCTGGGTTTCACTGAAGTGATGAATGTCTAACATTTGCATCACTTCGGGCTTTCCAACCTCATCAAGTCATGTGATCACATACATACATATCATGTGATCATGTAGACTGATGAATGTGAGTTAATTATGAAAGCTCTCTAGAAGGACTAGATGTTTTCCAAAAATAATCTTGTAAGTGCTGTGGACCACCCGAATATAAAGTAAAGTACGGTTATAAGCAACTCAAAGGGACCACTAATTTTAAGAAAGAGAATTTATGGGTGTCAGCTCCTTTATTATGAGGAACACATTTTTATTATTATGTGTAGTTCATAATAAAGAAGTTGACATCCATAAATTCTCTTCCCCATGCAAATCACTTCTAAATGCCTTTCAAAGACACTAATTTTATCTGTTGTTCATTATATGCATTTCGACCATCAGACATCTTGGATCAAGTCATGTAAATAACAAATGTGTGCACTGAACATGTACAATGTTTATTCAACATACATAACATAAATAAACACATGTTTCTGTGATTTTGGTTTGAAGGTTCGTTGAAAGATGGATTTCCTCACTCTGGTCATCGCATTTTATACACAGAATATATCCACTTCAAAGGCTATAGCCTAATCACTGTTTTACTATTGAGGATGTAATTTGAGGACAAGTTGTCAGTACTTAAGAGTAAATCAATTGCCTTCAATTGTTTATTAACACTTTGAACAGCCACGCTTGGGTGGGATGTTTTGACTGGTAGATTGGTGACACGTGAGGAGCTCAGCTCAGGGATTAACAGTTCATTATACACTACATTATCATTGACAGAGTACACATGGGACCACAAGGTCAGTTCGCTATATTCTTTCTCGTTATGAGCGTGTTAGTTATTACAATCAACTTTATATGATAAAACATACAGCAAATGTCGGAGACCAAACGAACAGTTCATTAATATCCGTCAGTTCGTTATAAGCGTGTTTGTTATAAGTGAGTGAGTGAGTGAGTTGGGTTTAACGCCGCTTTTATCAGTATTCCAGTTATATCACGGCGTGATAACTTAATGTGGGAGGAAAGCCCGAAGTGATGCAGGTCTCAGACGTTTACCACTTCGGTGAAACCCACGAGCACGGGTATGGTGCTGACAGACCTAGAAACATAATCGTGGCGAACAGGGATTCGAACCCACAATCATAGCTAGGTTTCTGGCGTGCCCAAGGGACGCAACTCTGCACAGCGAATCGCGGCACCTTAGACGACTGGGCCACCCGTGCCCCCGTGTTTGTTATAAACGTAGTTTACTGTATACTAGTGGAGACTCTTCTCATAAGGGACTGGGGTTTATTATAGCTCCCCCACCTCTTTTTAAGTGACATGTTTTCAAATACCAAATACATGTAACATTTCTTCATGACACCTTTAAACCTAAAATATGTAGCCTTGTAGCTAAAGTTGGACAAATGGTCACACAGTTGTCCTAGAAAGTCCTCAAAATAACATGAACATTGTTTTACAAACCTTCTGTTGATTTTGTTTTACAGGATTTGTAACAAGTTCAAGAATAACTATCAAACTAAAGAAAGGAGAGCTTGCCAAAGAAAAGGTAAATCGGTTCAGGAAATGACATCTGATCTGTCCATAGATTTATGGTTTGTAAGCAGTAATTACTGTTGTAAATTTAGACATATTATGTTAGTTATTGAATGGTTTTGTTTCAGATTTTGTTTAAACTCAGACCTATATGAGATTATCTAACAGTGCCTTGTATGGTGAAACAGTGTCATTTTTGACTGAGCATTACAAATAAGATATATATTTTTCTCAACTGGAGATGGATTTTATACACAAATGAAGAACAGTAAGGGTATCTTCAAAACCTTGAGGACTCATTTGTTGTTGCGTATGAATCTCCTGGCCTTGGGTTTCTGGAAACAGGCCCATTGTTTTCATCGGTAATAGGTGACTAGACCCCTAAATATTGTAATCAACAGGGATGGAAACAACCACTAGCCCCCAGGCCGGACCAGTTTAATGTTAAAGATGTCCTAAGGGATGGTAGAATTTCATAAATTTTGGAGGTAATGCTGCTATGTTATTACTGTTTGGGCAACCTGAATCTCTGAACTAACACACATGATAGAGAGATCATATATGATAAGAATTCCCAATTTTCAGGTACCGTATTTGACGTAATAAGCGCCCAGGGCGCTCTCAAAATTAGAAATAGGGGGCTCTTATTGGAATATTATTTTGGTGGAAAAAACAGTTCAAAGATTCATTTCGTGGTTTATGCTGACGGCCTGAACTGTTTAAATACGACAGATATATTTTTCCAGAATTTAATTGCCCATAATTAAGGGTGCATATTACACACGGGTGCGTATTATACACAAATAAATAAGTCTTGTGTACATTGATCAATCGGAAGGAGTGCTAATTGGGATTGTTCAGTTGCCAATATATTAGCAAATATCACCGTGGGTGCTTATTAGAGCGGGGCGCTTATTACATCGAATACGGTATTTTAAAGGCAGGGTGGTGTTATGTGACTGAAGTAACTGCATCTCACTTTTCCACCAGGCTGATGTTATCATCAACACTGTAGGAAAAGGTTTGTCCTGGAAGGCTGGACGCTTATCAAAATCCATTGTTGAAGCTGGAGGAACGAAGTTGCAGAATGAATGTGAAGGTCACAAGAAATTGATAGAGGGACGCTATGTTGCGACAGGTGGTGGTAACCTGTTATGTGGACATGTCTTTCACTGCTGTCTACCTCCTGCCCAGGATTTGACTGCTGGACAGGTAACATATTTTGATTATTTTAAGATGAAAGGGATGATTTCCTGCAGCAACCATATTGGAAATATTAGTTTGATCCACTGAATTTAAGAATTTTGAATGCATTCTTTTGTGGTATTCACAACTACATATTCTAATAAGGGGGCACTGCTGGCCCAGTCGTCTAAGGCGCCACAATTAGCTGTGCAGAAATGCGTCCCTGTGCATGCCAGAAACCTAAATTTGTGGGTTCGAATCCTCGTTCGCCCCGGTGATGTTTCTATGTTTGTCAGCACCATATACATGTTCGTGGGTTTCACCAAAGTGCTAAATGCCTAAGACCTGCATCACTTGATGCTGTCTTCCCACATCAAGCTGACACATCGTAATATAACTGAAATGCTCTTCACAGGGGTGTTGAAACTCACTCACTCACTCAATCAATCAATCAATCAATCAATCAATCAATCAATCAATCAGCCTGACAAAGCCATACAGAAAATATCCACTGAAAACATCCTTTTATCCAGTATCTTGGATGCAGGCATGTGCAGAGCACTCTTCTCCTTCCCACAAGGAGGAATATCTTTTACATTTTTCTGTTTGTCATATTCACATTCACAATGGCAGGGATAAGCTAAATGGATGTATAATTGTGCATGTGTCAAGAATTGACTAAAACGAATTAGTAGATGACAGCATGGCAAAAGGACAGTGCTCCAGGAATATAACCTATCCTTTCCTGAAGCAAGGGAGTTATGTGATTGTAAAAGTCAAGATCCCAGCATTGCTGAGCTTGGCTGGAATTTCTGGGCTTGATTGTAGCGCCACCAGTGGCTGTTACGAGGTATGTCAATTCTTTGTCCTTCCTATCACTTGCATTTGCTTCAAACAAAATGGCAGTGCCCAGTGAAGATGATCTCATCGATAATCAAGATCTATATTGTAATAAAACAAGTCTTACTTTGCAAAGTACATCAAATCATAAGATCACCTTGATTAAAAACATGAAAAGTATTTCTGTTGACAGCATGTTCATGGTACACATGCTTTTCAAGTCCTGCAGTCAACTGAAATCTGCATGGCAGTTTCATGAACCGGTTGTTGATTTCGTTACACGATTTTGATTGGACTATGCATAGACTTGTTAGTCCAGGCAAAATATAACTCCATTATTCCAGCCAAATTCGGCAAGGGTGGAAACTGAACTTATTAAGTCCTTTGCCTCGGTAAGATGGCTCAGTAACAGCACATTTAGGAAATAGTAATTAAGGTTCCACATGGTCTAGTTCACGATAACTATGCAAGTAAAAATATGTCTGCTGAAACACCAGTAAAATCTCTCAGTAATTGCGTACAAATGACTGAACATAAACACCCTGGATGCAGAGTAATTTTTCTGATTCACATTATAATAAGTTCTGAAAAGTGATAATGGGCAATTTTGTTTCCAATCTTACTTCCCTTCAATAATCCGTGAGGTGCACTTACCAGTGGTCCCATCTTAAAATGACAGTGCATTTGGCATATGCCTTACAAGTGGTATTTGTTCGGGACACCAGTGGACTGTAAGCCCGTAGAGCCTTCACACCCTCCGCCTCTATTTTTAATGGGGGCGGTCGGGTAGCCTAGTGGTTAAAGCTTTTGCTCGTCACGCCGAAGACCCGGGTTCGATTCCCGACATGGGTACAAAGTGTGAAGCCCATTTCTGGTGTCCCCCACCATGATATTGCTGGAATATTGCTAAAAGCGGCGTAAAACCATACTCACTCACTCACTATTGGTAACATTCGTGTATAGGCAGTTTGTCTTTCCGCCTAAAAAATGATATAGCTGTTGTCATGTCCTGAAATACATGTTCCATGATTCAGTGATACATCAAGTGAGTGAGTGAGTATGGTTTTTACACCGATTTTAGCAATAATCAAGCTATATCACGGCGCGGGACACCAGAAATGGGCTTCATACATTGTACCCATGTTGGGAATCGAACCCGGGTCTCCGGCGTGACGAGCGAGCACTTTAACCACTAGGCTACCCGACCACCCCTGATTATATTGTACAAGAGAACTGAAGCTAGGCAGTTGGATCAACTGGTCATTTATTCGAGTTCACTTTGTTTATGTTTTGCTGTCAATATTTAAAGTGTTAATCTTGATGTTGAACATCCCACATTTGAACATGAAATATATGTTAGTTGTATACATATCCATATAAATCAATAGGTATCTGTGTTGCACAATGTTATGACATTAAATAAGATAAGATTATATTAAAATCAGATTTGCTATGTCATGTCTATTAAATAGACTTAATACTACAGCTGTAAGGGAACCAACTAGTCAACAATGTTGCCAAAACAAGAAGCAACACATATCATATACAGCTACGCATTTAGAATATAAAGGGTAGGTTTGTCGGCAGGATAAAGCCAACAGATAAAAATGGTATCTGTTTGGGTGTATATACGGATAAAGATGCAAATATGAAAGGTCAGGTAGGTATTCTTCTTTCAGTGTTTACAATTAAACATGGCATTGCCCTTGTCAGATGGCGATCAAATCAAAATTAACCATCGGGAATCTGGAGAAACTACATGGATACTTGCTATCATTATCACAAACAATAATCAAAGATACTGAAAATCAGTGTCTTAATGGGACATACCTAGGGCATTATACAAGTTTTGGAAACTTTGGAGATATAAATTGCGACACAATTTAGCAAGGACACTCCCCAGGATCACTTTCCATATCTGTCTTGGGGTCTTTTCCCCATTTTAAAACAGTTGGATTTGGCTGAAATATGTCTGATATGTTACCTTATTTCATTTTCTCTGTGTGTGTACATCTGACTGCACTTCGTAACGTTATGACAGGGCTGGCAGATGCTAAACAAACATTACATCTCATCAGGGTATGAAACTCCCAAAAATTTCAGCCAGACCACAGGACTGGCTAGCTGAAATACTTGCCAGCCCTGACCAAAACCTGCCTGCCCACTATAATCATATGTTTCTCAGGATAAGCTAACGGGGTTTTCCTTTTGGTTACATTTTATCATTCATCTTTACATGTGAATTAATGCTTATCATCGGGAAATATTTTGAATATTTTCACATATGAAATATAACCCGACCGTCGGGCAGGGGGATTTGAAAATCTGGCAGCCCGAGTTAAAATCAACCCGTCTCGGACGGTCGGGCAGGCAGGTATTTCGAACACTGATCTCATAGACTATGGTTAGACTAGATTCCCTTTAATAAAGGGCAGTTCTCATGCATGCAGACCGATAGCATGTGGAAACATTGACTGTTCTCACTGTCTGACTGACAAGTCACTGACCTTCTGACGCAAAATATATTCATGTGTACATTCTAGGGAACTTGCAATATTTAGGTAATGTTTGTGAGAGATGAAAACCGACAGAATTGAGAAATGACATTATGTGATAAAGAGGTTATGGCGCTTGTGTGTTTTCACCAAGGCCTGCCAAATACAATGTTTATTCCTAATATGGGATATTTACCATCGCAAAACACACTATATGTTTATTTCTAATATGGGATATTTACCATCGCAAAACACACTATATGTTTATTTCTAATATGGGATATTTACCATCCCTAAACACATACTGAACTGGTGCCTTTTGCTATTTAGGAATTTTAGAAATTTATATTTTTTACGTTTCCATGGCAACTAGTTGGATTTAAGTTTTCATATAGGGTGGGCTCACTTATGGAGTAAAACAAATAAACTGTTAAATATTTCCTTGCCAAATATTGCATGTCTATATATAAAGCACATACTGAACTGGTGCCATTTGATATTAAGGAGGTTTAGAAATGCTTATTTTATAATTTCCATTGCAGCTATTTTGACATGGACTGATAAAATGTTGGGTCAGTTACCTGGTTTGGGACCATAACGTGTTAAAATGGGCGGGGGATATAGATGACTTCATCGACTATACGCTTGTTTAGTTATTGTTTCTTGTAATTTGTCATTTGTTTGCATAAGAAAAACCCACAGAAACACACTTGTTTTACTTTCCATTTCATATAGATGCGACCATGGTGGATCTTTTGTGGGTAAACAATGTATGCTTCTTCAAGAACATTCAACTCTTGACTCATTTCATACAGAATTGCAAAGTTACTTGTGGTTACTTTACAGACTGCTGCCGGGGGGATATGTCATCTCTCTGATGACTCTTGTTTCTTGTTAACACTCACACCCGAAGTGTGATGAAATTTAGTATGTGTTTAATTGGAAGTGGCACTCAATCCATATGTTATGTTTTTTGGTGATATATTAAATTTTGACCTTTGTGTTTAACCATGCTCTTAATTTTCTCAAAATGCATGCTTTACCTGTCAGCATCATCTCCTCAAAAACCACAGGACCTATGAAGCTGAAACTTCCACACCAATTATAATACTTCGAGTCCACTTTTAGTATGGCAACTGTAGTGTTTAGGTTCTATATATATTCATTATTTGGATGAGACATGATACTTGACGAAAGACTAGACTAGGACATCAATGCGACAAACAAAACACCAGACGACACATTCCCAGAGGACATTTAATTAACAAGTGAAAACAAGGTACAATTAACATTAAACAATCTTCTGCTGAACACTACAGCAACCACAGTGGCACCTTGTTCTGAAGGTGATGTAATTTGGTATTTGTTTAGTTAGCAGTGGGACTTAACACACGCCAGACACCTATGATTGTGGGTTCGAATCCCAGTTTGCCCCGATTATGTTTGTAGGTTTGTCAGCACTATACCCGTGCTTGTGGGTTTCACTGAAGTGGTAAACATCTGAGACCTGCATCACTTCGGGCTTTCCTCCCACATTAAGCTGACACGCCACGATATAACTGGAATACTGTTAAAAGCAGCGTTAAACCCAACTCACTCACTCACTCACTTTTGACCATGCTCTTATATTCTCCCGAAAAGCAGATTTGGCTGTGTTAACTTCTTCTCATCTGAAATCTGAGTCTGAGGAAGTTTTAAATATTACAAGGATGTTTCTTCTTATTTCATATTTTGTGAAATAATTAGGATTTCTGTGTTAGTTACTAAGCAGCCCCATGTAAATAAATATTATATATTCCTGCCTGTGATCAATAGAATACTATGGTGACAATTCGTTTTGAACCCGAGGATAACATCTACCATGTAAGTAGGGATGCTTTAAGATTTTGCTTCTTGGAAGCATTCACTGTATGTCAGTGAAACTTGGTACGTCATTCTGAGCTCGGAAAATGCCTTATAAGTTACCTATTTGTAAGGTCAAAGTCACAGTGAAGACCTTTCGTATAGTATGTTTGTCATTTTCACTCAAATGCCTTTTTCTGCACATATCTTTAGTCTTATGCATATAGTGGTTATATTATTTGAATAGTTATGTATGACAAGTGATGAAAATGTTATGGCTAATTATGAAATTGAGGGTGACGTTTATTAAGCATGTTAAACCACATATAACTTTCTTATTAAGTTAACAAGAGACATGGGATTTTCTGTTTAAAATATATCTTGCATTACACATCTGTTTTTCCAAAGTTATCAAACCAGAAGTGCATGTAAGCATGTGGCTTTCCTGTTGCTGTAGCTAGAGCCGTGGGATTTTCTGTGTCATTCATTATCTCAACAAGAAGTAATGTTATTGAGCCTGGTAATAATGATAATGGGACGACAACAGTGATGTCTTTAGCCTGAATATAATATTCAGGGTATAATTAATTTAAAAACATTTATTTTTACATGTACATATAACATACATATATTTGAACCATTTTTTTTCTTGAATATACTTTCAGAAAATTGAAGATCTTATACAACAAATGTTGAAGTATGCAGATGTGCTGAAAGCCAGCTCGGTGTCATTCCCAGCTCTTGGAACAGGAGGACTTGGCTACAACCCTAGTGTTGTTGCCAATGCGATGTACAAATCTGTTCGGGAATATGAAGAAAAAAACTCAAGCTCAAATATTCAAGAAGTCAGATTTGTCATATTCCCAAGCAATGACAACGTTTTTAAGGTAGCTTCATTTTCTGATGTCATTTTTCGAACATCATTTAAAGATTTAAATATTTGTTTATGTACCTGCTAATTTGTAACATAAGTTGTAGCAGTATCATGAGGGGTCAGTCTCTTAAAATCAGATCTAAGTTCTTGCTGCAGCTAAACAAAGAGGACATCCCATTACGGGTCATGTCAGAACGACCTTTCGCGAACTTTGACCAACCACTGAAATGACAAACATCAGCCAATTAGAAAGCAGCTTTCTCGAGTTTTATGGCACTCGTTTCAACCTGGCAACTTCCATTTCAGAATACGCTTGAAAAATATGTTGGCACAGTTCTCGATTAAAATTTTGAAAACTGAACAAACGAACATTCCGAAATGTCTAATATATGGTTAAGATTGTATGACAGTACTTCCCACGTACTGTGCAACACCTCTTCATAAATGTTAATTCCTCGGAAGCGAGAGATAGACGATAATGGCTCCCAAAACTTTCTTACATTTTAAATAAGCTTAGGTTTTACACTGACACAATGTTTTTCCCCATCTCAAAAAACATTATCAGCTGATCACCACAAGCAGAAAACACTGGAAATACTAGGTCAACAAATCTGAACTGAAGTACGCAATTCAATCCCATTATTATTCTATCTGGTATTATAGCTAAAATGGATTGAATTATCATTAAACCGCTTGCATGTTATCAGAAATGAGCAGGCCACTGTAACTTGATAATGCCCTCATATTGCTTGACGACGGGCCATTATCACACCCCTTGTTAGGTGACGTCATAGAGATAGGGATAGGTGACGTCATGTTCAATAGTGACTTCATCTGGTTTGTTCTATGACGTTTCCATACTTGTACAAGTGTGTCAGTGACATTTGTGTTGATTGCACTAAATGTTTCAAAACTGATATTGTTGTTTATTTTTATTTGATAACAAATTCAATCCATTTTAGCTATAATGACAGTAGCGCTATTTTTCAGGGCATTTACATTTGCAGAAACCCCCAGTCTTTTCAACTGCCCTCCTTCGTCGGAAGACCTCAGGTTTCTACAAGTGATAATGCCCTGAAAAATAGCGTTACCCTCATAATAAAAACATGTTAATTGTATATCTGGACCTACATTTGTAATATATTTTATTAATTTTTGTTCAAAACTTCATTCTATATAGTCTATATAGTTTGTCAAAATCATGTGTGACGTGTGAACTCACCGCTATGTACAGCAACCACGGTCAGATTACTGCTGTTGATGCCTTGAAAAGAACTTAAGTTGCCAGAGAATGGATACACATTTGATAAATGTCATACTTTGACTCATTAAAAGTCATATTTGTGGCAATTTGACTATTATATGTTAACATAATGTTTTCTCAATCAAAATACATGTGGCGTGGGAAGTCCCTACGGTGACTGGTCAAATTGTTCCATACATAAAAATATCCTGCAGTAGCGATCACCAAGTGCTATGCGCTTATGGTTCTTATTATTTCAAATATATATAGTAAAAGCTGCAACTAAAGTAACACAATATTGGAATATATTTTTCCTGATAAAACAATAATTTCAATTACAATTTCTTCTGACCATTGCATCAAGATTCTTTGAAGTTGTATCATTGGGTACTTTTAAACTGAATCACTGGTAGATTGGGAGAACACGTGTGTTCAGCTATTTTCGGCTTTGTTTACAAGGAAATACTTAATCTCTTCATATAAAACAATGACTATGAGAGCAGGAAATACAATGTGAATAGTAAATCATCGTGTCTAGTTATGTTTTATATCAATTTTCATATTTTTATTTACCAAGTTTGTTATACCTGCTTGTTCACCTGAATTCACTGCCGGGACACGATGTGTTTTTTTTAAAGCGCATAACACTTGATAAATATTTTTTTACATTATGAATCATAAACAACAAGTATTGTAATCTGTTCTCAAACTCTGAAACGTACGTCGTAGATCACGTTTGTCTTCTACCCCTAAAGACTCAACAGCAGGAGACATTATCAGTAACCAAGAAGGTTAATGTTTCTGAAAAAGAACCTGAAGTTGAACTTTTCAGACTGTGAAGTACATTGATTATTTTCTGGTGTTTTGAAATTAGAAGTGTTTTGAAATGAAGTCAGAGAATCTTTAGAATTTACATTTTTCCGTTTCCATGGCAACAAGTTTGACTGTGACTGTGGTAAGACCATAAGAAGGTCTGGATAGCTATTCTCCAGGTGACCAAAGTAACAGAAGGGAAATGTTTAGTGTAAAGATTTATATCTATTTTTCTTTTAAGCAGAAATATTTAAGTTTAATGTTGAAGGTGAGCTTCAGTAACTACACTTGGTGATGCAACAGATTACAGCATATGCCATGTACCAATTGTGTGACATCCACTTATATCTTTTCTAAGAAAGGACCTGACATACAAATATACTGGCCCAAAAAAGAAATGCATAGCTGAAATCTGTTTTTCAAACTTGACTGTTATTAAAGATGAAGGCTTGAACTCAATATAAATGTCATTTCTAACTGTGAATATTGACTTACACTAATTTATTGCACCCGAACACAAAATTTGGTGACTTGTCGCCAACATACAGCATCTTGAAACCAAACTGGGAGAAATTGCATGGAGAAAAAGCTGTAAGCATGCGGCACGTGCAAATACGACAACTTAACCTTTATACCGATTGGTATACAAATTTGGCATTCCTGCTGCGAATCACTCTCCGATGTTCTGTATACATGAATCTCATGATGCCAAGACTGAATGAAGACTGTAGAAACAGAGCCACTGGGCGTCTGGAAGCTGGAGAAAGTCAGACATCAGTAGCCAGGCACTTTAACATGAGGCAGAGTATCATTTCTCGTCTGTGGCAGCGCTACAGACTCCACAACTCTACAAGAGATCGACTGAGACGTGGAAGACCCAGGGTCACACCTGCGGCGCAGGACCGCTTCATCCGGGTGTTGCATCTTCGCAACCGGACAATCAGTGCAGCATACACAGCTAACAATGTTCCTGGTCTTCGTAGAGTCTCAGCGCAAACCATCAGAAATCATCTAAGACAGCATGGGATACGGCCAATGAGACCATATACAGTGCCCGTTCTGCGGCAACATTATCGTTGTGCACATCTGCAATGGAGCAGAAATGTTCGACCATGGACCCTAGTGCACTGGAGAAGGATATGGTTCAGTGATGAGTCGCGGTTCATGCTGTATCGCCATGATGGAAGGATGCGTGTCTACAGACGGAGAAATGAACGCTACATTCGACACTGTATTCATGAAGTCGACCGATACGGCGGTGGAAGTGTCATGATGTGGGCAGGTATATCCGTGAATGGTAAGACAGATCTGGTGCACGTGCAGAGAAATTTAACTGCTGTACGCTACGATGATGAAATCCTTCAATGTCACCTTATTCCCGCCATTGACGTCACAAGAGAGATTTTCCAGCAAGACCACGCAAGACCGCATACTGCACGTGTTACCATGGATTATCTTGCCCACACCAATGTTACTGTGCTGCCATGGCCCTCCAAATCGCCTGATCTAAACCCCATTGAACATTTGTGGGATCTGCTAGACAGACGTTTATGACACCGACAGCCTCAACCACAGACGCTTCAACAGCTGAGCCATGCATTGCAGGATGAGTGGAGAAGGATTCCACAACGCCAGATTCGACGACTCATACAGTCCATGCCCAGGCGGTGCAGAGCTGTGATCGATGCTCGAGGTGGTAACACCCGGTACTGACTTTCGCACAGTGCCATCACAGACACAGACATCCCTGAGAACATTAAAAGACTGTTTGTAGTGTCAGAAACATGTGCCTCATCCTGTGTAAAATTTGGTTGTTGCATCTTCATTATTTATTGTGTAATCCTATTTCATTAAACATGTAATGAAACACTGATTAATCTGTTATGCGTTTCTTTTTTTGGCCAGTGTACAATGTTACAAATCCAAATTCCATGACATTGTTTTGATATCTAAATAACTACCCTGTGTACAGGCAGACAGATTAGATAGGAATTCTCTCATCAAGTTAGATGATTTATTCTCTAGAATTTGTGAGGGCTTGGGGGATTAGTCATCCTCATAGTGGATTCTTACAAAAGTTTACACATCGTTTTTCGATTCATACCTTAATGAACCAAAAAAATACACAGTCAATGCTTATAATTAAATTTGACAACGAAAATGTACAATAGTTTAACCAAAAACAGTTGTTTATATCAAAGCAGACAAAAATGATGAGTTTGATCCTCAGGGGTGTAGGAATACATACTGTGGCGTGACATGAAGCAGGTGACTGTTTGACACGCCTACAAAGTCAGTAGCCAATCTGTAGAGAGTAGGATCAAAACAATGTTCATAGGACCTGTCAATCAAGGCAACAGGCGAGAAGAACTGCAACACTCAGACTGTAACGAGCCAGAACAAATATGTCCGGGAGAAGGCAGCTTTTTCGAATGACATGGTCAGTTACCGCCAGATTTAAACATTAGTTCCTTGAGAACGCGAAGACACAGTTGGAGAAATGCTAGTTAGAAATGAATCCTGAAGACATGAAAGTTGTGGAACCGAGATGAGCGGGAGAAAACAGGTGAGCGAGCCTGCACGTTTGCTGTTTCATTCCTTCTCAGCCTGCCATCTCAAAGGGTAGTTTGGACAGTGAATATGCATGAATTTCGCTAAATGCCCTGTGCATGACAATACAGGTGAGCAGAAAGGGAATTCTCTCGACTGTAATAGTGGGAATCCCATAGTAATAAAAGTAGTCTGCTTCGGTGGGCGTAGCTTATATTTTACATTCATTGGGAAATGAATGCAGGAATTTCAATGAACACAAGGAACATTTAATTATTTCCAAATGAATAACAAATCAGGTAGTAACACAGACAAAAAACACTAGATAACCGAGTAATCCTGTTTAAGTGATAATTGAATTTGCTCTCATGTTGAATAACATTATGTTTAATTACAGGTATTTGAAGATATTGACAAGCAAATCAAGTCATCAAATGTGGCACAGCCTGGTAAGGATTATTTCTTGTAACTACCTGGGAAAGCAAGATATTTGTTTATGGTTCAAGTCATTTGCCTGGAACCTTTAAGCATGTAGGCCATTTTTGGCAATATTAATATTCTGGGGACATCAGAAATGGGCTTCACACAATTTACCCAACGCTGTTGACTACCCTACTACCCCTTTGAAACAGAAAATGTCTCTATGTAATTATCTATGTAAAGTTATCAACTATGACACAGAAACTACAACAGACTATGTGGTATCATAATGACTTGAATCAATCGTGTTCAGACTGCCAATTTGCCTAAGCTTCATTTCATTATGATTGGTTGTGCTATCACACGTTATCTATTTCTGACTACCTAATGGAATCACTGCTTCTTGTGAAATCTGTTTTGCCTAAAATTAAAATAGAATTTATGATTGGTTCTACAATGCAAAAATATGAATCCCTCCCTATTTGTCCAAGAGCTTCTGATCCCTTATTAATTCACCTCATTGAAAGTCCAGTGGACTTGTGTCTTGATGCATTGTTTGTCGGTCAGTTGTCCATTTGCAGTTTTGCATATTTTTTAACCTGAAACTTTGCATAAATGATGCTTGCTGTAGGGTCTCTACATTGTGCACACAGAATTTCAATCTGATTTTTTTAAAAAGCCGCCATGAAGGTGGAGAATTTCTAGAAGTCAACAATCTCATTGAAATCAGATCTTAGTTCTCGCTATCGCTAAACAAAGATCTGAGGACAACCCATCTCGGGTCACATCAGAACGACCTTTCATCCAACCAATCAGAGCGTCGCTTACCAGATCATGAAAGTGACAGTCGGAATGTGTTTTCTGATCATGCAACCACGAAATATTTAACAAGGGGTATTCCGAACAACAGTTACAGGTTTTATGATTATATCCATACAATCTAGGCCATCTATAAGCCATTCCAGAATGTTCTTCTTATCAGTTTTAAATTTTTTAATCGAGAATACGTCAAAATATGTTATAAAACGTAGTCGCCAGTTTGAAACTAGTGTCGTAAAGCTCGAGAAAGCTGCCTTCTGATTGGCTAATGTCGATTTCTTATCAGTCATTTCATTGGTCGGTCAAAATTACCGAAAGGTCGTTCTGACGTGACCCGCAATGCGATGTCCTCAGATCTTTGTTTAGCGGTAGCGAAAACTAAGCTCAGATTTTAATGAGATTGGGAAGTCAACTTTTTTATTTTGAGGAACACAATGTTTGGGAATACAAACCTACTCCTTCATGAGGTGAATAAATGCTAAGAGGTATATAATAGTCCAGGCAATCTAGGCCATTTTTTCACTAAACTTGGAACAAATTGCAACAGAATTTATTTTACCATAATGCATTTCTACAAGGTCCCGAAAACAACATACTAAAAGTCCCAAGCAATCCCAGTTTGGGAAGTATGTCTAATTTGCATAATCTAATATGGCCACCAATTATCAATATATCTTGCATATGTCAGATGAGGGTCAATGTTTTGATGAAAAAAAGTATGTGTTGTCTTGCGAAATATCCATGTCATGTTTCTAAAAAGATATTCACAGCTCCTGAACCTTTTCGATTATTGACAAATCTGCAAATATTCAAGATTGCCGCCAATTTCAAGATGGCCACCAAGAGTTTGATGGCTAGACATAGAATGTCAATATAAATTCAATATAACCACCAAATACCAATATTTGAATATAAATCTGAAACTTCATATACACTGCACATTCCGTCACATGATTGTGTGATCCATGAACATTATTACGTGATGAACAGTGGAAAAAATGTCACAGTGAATGCTGCAGCTTGACGTTGCAGGGTCATTATGTACATGTACCCCGAAAGTCTCAACAGGTTTGTCACCCCCCAAGAAGTCTGGTAACTGTTTATTGGTACAGCTTGTGCCATGGTATTCCCTGCACACAACATTGCAAGTGAGACCATATTTCCGACAAGTGCATCTTCGCGTGTTACAGTCTTTCTTTGAAATTACAGCAGATAATATCAAGGAGCACTGAAGGTGCTGCAGTCTGATCTGACTGTGTTGATAAGCAACGTCCATCTGTCCTGTGCCATCCCCGCTCAAATGGATTTACATTGGACCCTTTCCACTCCTTTATCAGGTAGTTGACATGGGGGCTGTGATATCTTGCGACTGCAGAGGTTGCTGGCAGAGTTTATGGCTCTGCATGTGATCAATTATTCGCCACCTTCTCCCAAAAATCGCTTGTATCATAAGCTATGCAGTCCTTCCACCTTATATCCGCCATATAAAGACATATGTTCACCTGCTTCGGTGATGACTTTTTCATCCCCAGTTTCCCTGTTTGGCTGAAATGTTTAGCCTGATGGCAGAACAAGGCATCATTCATGATTTTCTTCACTGCTAGAAGTGGTGCCAAGAATTGCATGTAAAAAGAGCACATGCTCACATACGTCACTGCCCAGCAGCCGCTTTCATTGATCATGCACCAAATCCTGTTCCTTCTTGAAGCTTGCTTGGGTTCTGGTGCCAGAAACGTTATGTGCTTCCTTTTCAACATGATGAGGAAGGAGGATAAGCAAATCTGTGTCATCTCCCACCAGGACAGTGTCTGTTTTTCTTGCAGATGTGACAGCATCTTGTTTTGCCAGCTTCTCCAGTTTGTCACCAAGATAGGCAATAAAACGCTGTTTGATTTTTGATTTGTTCAAGAATTCCTCCTTCTACGATTGAATGACCATTTCCCCCGTGAAATAGTCTGTCTTACCAGAACAGGCCCCTGTTCTTCTCATGTGTGTGGCATCTTTCGTTGAAAGCCATGAAGCCATTGGCCATACAAGACAATGTTAGCAGCATATTTCTGCACAACATATAGATGGTATATACACTGTAGTTCAAATATGTGATATAACGTAGAACCCCTTGGTCGGGGTAGCCCATGAAGTATAGCACTACGATAAAAAATGTACTGGACATTTCCAGGTTCTTGTTAACTTGGAGGGTTTTCAAGATAGCATCATCAAGGGTTGCCTTCCTGGCCTGCAGATAATTCAAACAATGCTGGTGGGTGACTACAGAGTTCTTACTTGAACAGTGCTGGTAGTTCAAGTAAGAACAGTACTGTAGTGGAGAGACAGTTTATTGAACAGGGAATGGTCATTTGATCGAAGAAGGAAGCATTCATGAACAACGCAAAAAACAAACAGCACTTTATTGCACGCCTGCAACACTTTCAGAGGTCCTGGACATCATCTGCTGTAATTGCAAATGGGACTGTAAAACAAGAGTGAGTGAGTGAGTTGGGTTTAACACCGCTTTTATCACTATTCGAGTTATATCGCGGTGTGTCAGCTTAATGTGTGAGGAAAGCCCGAAGTGATGCTGGTCTTAGACGTTTACCACTCCGGTGTAACCCACGAGCACGGGTATGGTGCTGACAAACCTAGAAACATAATCTGGGCGAACCGGGATTCGAACCCACAATCATAGGTTTCTGACACGCCCAAAGGACGCAACTCTGCACAGCGAATCGCAGCACCTCAGACGACTGGGCCACCCGTGCCCCCCTGTAAAACAAGAACAAGCACTTACCAGAAATATGGTCTCATTTAAGTGTTGTGTGCGGGGAACAAGCTGATGATGTTCATGAATCACACAATCATGTAACGGAAAGAGCAGTGGATCAAACGTTTTGAGATTTATATTCAAATATTGGTATTTGGTGGCTGCACTGGATTTCCACAAATGAACTTCAAGGGAAATAACTCGTCGATTCTAGTGAAACAACTGTTTGGGGGTAAATTCTGAGTGGACCTCATATAGGTCATACTTGTTTCCAACAAGTATTTTCATGAATGAAAACGAAACTTGTTATCACGTTTATTGTCATGTTAATACGTAGATTCAGACAATAACAATCAACATTGATATCTAAACTCGCCAAAACATGTCATTTAAGAGATAAATATTGATATTTGGTGGTTATATTGGATTTATTCAAATGATTGAGTATTCTACATACATCCTTGGGTCTGTTTACCCTCATGTAGAAGTTCAAATCACTCAAATATGTCATCAGAAACCAACAGTGTCTTGACATTCTATGTCTAGCCATCAAACTCTAGGCGGCCATCTTGGAATGTTGGGCCACCAGGGGGCTCTGATGACGGAATTTCTTATCTAAAAGTGTTAACTATACTTCAGTGACTTAGTGTGCCAAGTTTTTTGCATATATATAAGTCCTAGCACACTGTTTTTTTTAGAGATAAACAATTCAACAGTGTAAACACACATATTGGAAACTTGGCGGCCCTCTTGAAATTGGCGGCCATCTTGATTTTTTGCAGATTTGTCAATAATCGAAAACGTTCAGTTGTTGTGAATATCTTTTTAGAAACATAATATGGTTATTTCGCAATACAACACGTTTTTTTTCATAAAAGCACTGACCCTCATCTGACATATGGAAGATATATATTGATAATTGGTGGCCATATTAGATTATGCAAATTAGACATACTTCCCAAACTAGGATTGCATGGGACTTTTAGTATGTTGTTTTCGGGACCTTGTAGAAATGCATTATGGTAAAATAAATTCTGTTGCAATTTGTTCCAAGTGAAACCTTATTTTGCCTGGACTATAACTATATATAAGTACCAGTAAGTAGAACAAAAGTAATAAGATAACAAGGTGGAAAATTAACAAGGGGAGCCAAAAGATAATTGGCACTGATAGGTGATTAGCAATGGACAAATGGAGGCCAAAACTTAACAGTGAATTAGCGCTGATACTTGATAGCGATGGACAACTGGAAGCCAGGGTTTAAATTAACACTGATTGGTAATAGGAAATGGACAATGGGCAAGCAGGAGGCCGGGAATAATTAGCACTGATAGTTAATAGAATGTACATTACAATGGATGAAGGGCAGCCAGGAGATGCCAGCCATGAACCGTGACCAGGGAACCTATCTGCCCAGTGCTTGGGACTTATTGCTTTGATCATTGTCGGTGCTAATTATCTAGCAGGCTTCCATTTGACTGAGTCATAAGTATGTAGGGAAGTGTCCCTCTTGTGATGTGTGGATGTTCCCAACAATAATCGTCCAGATGATTCCCTGACTAACAGGGTCTCAACTAACGAAGGCTCACCATGTTTTATAGAAGAGTTACCCTTATGTTTCAGGGAGATCGTCAAACCAGTCTGGACGTTTCCCTACTTTATGTGTGGCAGAAATTGCTAAACTGAAGGTTAGAATTATATCACTTTCAAAACTGAATTCTAAATGAATAGATATGAATCATATGAGTCCTTGATTTACAACAGAAATGTTCACAAAAACTGCATAATGAAATGAAGTTTTTGTGTCTGTCAACACAGCTGTATTTCAGCTATATGATGGCACTATGCAATTGAGCCTGAACAGGGCAATCCATGCCCTCCATGTACAATGACATGCTACCAACCAAGTCACCAAGACGGACCACCTGAACAATTTGGTTGTCTCTTATGACCCGGTTGATTTTCTGAACCAGAAATCTTGAAACATAAAACATGAAATCATCAGTATGCAGCCTCTGTTTACAGGAGGCTGCTTGGTGGCTTTGTTGGAATTGGACTGCTCATCAAAACCTTTAGTAAATGTTACAGATTTCACACTTGATATACTTCCTACATAATCATTCCATTTGTCTGATTGAATTCATGAGAAAAACAGTGAAAATACAGTTAAAAGGCACTTGAAGGATATGCTTGTTTAATGCCACACTCAGCATTATTCCAGCTATATGATGGCGGTCTGTATATGATCGAGTCTGGACCAGACAATCCAGTTGTTGACATCATGAGCATCGAACATCATGAGATATGACGACATGCATCAACCAAGTCAGCGAGCCTGACCTTCTGATCGCTTTAGTCACCTCATACGACAAGCATAGTTGCCTTTTACGGCAAGCACAGGTTGCTGAAGACCTAATCCGGATCCTCTTGGGTACTCATTGAGTGAATGAGTGAGTTGGGTTTGACACTGCTTTTAACAGTATTCCAGTTATATCACAGTGTGTCAGCTTAATGCGGGAGGAAAGCCTGAAGTGATGCAGGTCTCGGACGTTTACCACTTCGGTGAAACCCAGCACGGGTATGGTGCTGACAAACCTAGAAACATAATCGGGGCGAATCAGGATTCGAACCCACAATCATAGGTTTCTGGTGTGCCCAAGGGACATAACTCTGCACATCGAATTGCTGCGTCTTAGACAACTGGGCCACCCATGCCCCCAGGGTACTCAATGAAGGTCTGATGATAGTAATGATAACAGTTGTAAAAGGCTTCATAGTTGACATCCCTCCTTAGACACTTGACGTAGGTGAATAATGAAGGGGCAAGAAAGAGCCCTGAAATGTTGTTACAAATAAAAACAAACTTGTTATCCATGAATGTTTCTTGTCTTCATGTTCTTCCAAATGTTAGTCAAATACCCAAACTTGGATATGAATAGATATAAGTGATATCTGCTGAACCTGATTGCTGACTTCCAAATGGTTCACAATACAATTGTTTCTTGAGGGATGCATGTTTTATATCTAGAAGTCTTTATCTCAAAATATTTTGGATGTGACAATTTTCTGGGCTAGCTGTTTCAATTTGGCAAATAAGAACTTTTACTCCATGATCCAGAAAACCAACACCTTCTAATAAAAAGGGCCAAGCTGACCTATTCCATCAGTGTTTGCCAAACCTTTTATTAGCCCAAACCTGTCATTTGGCATAATTTTTATCCCCATCCGTAATCATTTCATTTGCAGAGCGTAACCTGAAGACTTTTCATCCAAACATGTATTAACCAAAGTGGTGCCTTTTGCTATTTAGTTGTTTTTTTCAAAATTTGATTTTTCCCCGTTTCCATGGAAACAAGTTAGACTTATCTGAAAGGAAGGTAGGTGTCGTTAATTAACTATTCAACATATTTCATCCACACTTTGTACATGTATTAATCATGCTGAAATGGTGCAATTTTCTATTTAGGAATTTTAACAAGTAAGACTCTGTTCTTAGTGGTGTGTTTGTCCGGAACATATCTATAAAAGGTATTCGTTCATGACGCTTTGCACACAGAGACCAGGTTGTCAAATGGTGCCTTTTGCTACATTGGGGTGTTTAGAATTTATAAATTTTTCTGTTTCCATGGCAACAAGTTTGACTTTGACTCTGTTTATAGTCGTGTGTTTGTCCGAACTATATCTCTAAAACTATTAAGTACACTTTCTTGAAACTGCACACACATAGACTAGTTTGTCAACTGGTGCCTTTTACTATTTAGGAATTTTTAGAATTTAAGTTTTTTGTGTTTCCATGGCAACTAGTTTGATTTTGGCTCTGTTCATATGGATGTGTACCTGACATAGAAATACTAAGTTCTGAATCCCAATTCCATGGTATTGTTTTGATAGCTCAATAACTACTTTTGTATACAGACAGATTAAACAGAAACTCTCTCATAAAGTTGGACTTCAAGCAGAAGCAAGATGATTTGTTCTTTTGAATTTGTGGGTGGATGACTCTTGTAACTAGATTTTAGTTTAATGTGTGGACATTTACAAGCAGAGCCTACTAGACCAGAAGAAACTTTACTACAGTCGGCCTAGAGAATTGTGGCTAAAGTCAAAAGCTGACTGTTCATAAGGAAGAGAATATATGGATGTCAACTTCTTTATTATGAGTGAGTGAGTGAGTTGGGTTTAACGCCGCTTTTAACATTATTCCAGTTATATCACGGCGTGTCAGCTTAATGTGGGAGGAAAGCCCGGAGTGATGCAGGTCTTGGACATTTACCACTTCGGTGAAACCCACGAGCAGGGGTATGATGCTGACCAACCTAGAAACATAATCTGGGCGAACCGGGATTCGAACCCACAATCATAGGTTTGTGGCATGCCCAAGGAACGCAACTCTGCACAGCCAATCGCAGCGTCTTAGACGACTGGGCCACCCGTGCCCCCTCTATATTACGAGGAACACAACGTTTCGGAGTATATGTTTACTCCTTCATCAGGTGAAATGATGAAGGAGTAAGCATATAGTCCGAAACGTTGTGTTCCTCATAATAAAGAAGTTGACATCCATATATTCTCTTCTTTATGTGAATCACTTCTAAATGCCTTTCAAAGACCTGACTGTTCATGTTCTACATTCTGAAACTATGTCATGTTTATCTTGGTACACACAATACATTTGAAATTTTCCAGTATCCAATTCACCATTATTGCATTTACATTTCAGGTGGACATCATTGTTAATACTTCTAACTGTTACCTGAATCTCAGGTATGGAGCAGTATCTAAATCACTTGTTCAGTTTGGAGGGGATTCAATTCAGAAGGAGTGTGACCGTTACATTTCAAGAAAATGGATACTTGTTGATGGATGCTTTGCTGTTACAAAAAGTGGAAATCTACATTGCAAAAGAATCTTCCACTGTAGTTTGCCAAACTGTTCTTCATATGGAAAAACACTCGTAAGTATGAAGCTAAGCATGTAACCTAGTTCTCAATCCTAGTTACAGGTACCGGTAATATTTGTGCTGATAAGTGAAGCTGACATACACCATTTTCCTCTTTGGTTTGATGTCTGAGCTGATGTCAAGGATTTTCTACTGTCGAGGATTTTCTACTGTTGAGGATTTTCTACTGTCAGTTATTTCATATGCTGAAAGTAAAACTTATTGCAATATGCATTTGCATCATTGAGGCCACTAAACATTGAAGAAAGGCCTAGGTATGGCATTGGATTGGTCTTCAGGCTGAGCAACTCGCACAGGTGCCATTAGGGGGGTGTCATGATAAATCGAAATATCAGTATATTGCTATAGGTAAGCACTTAAAGTCAATAAATCGATTGTTAAATCAGTTTCCGATCAATAGTATCGATTTCAGTTAGGAATATCAATAGTTTCGATTGTATTTACCATATCATTAAAATACATGCAATGCTGTTCAAATTGTTTTTCTTTTGATCATGAGTGGTAGTAATTTACACATGGTTATGTGGAAGTTTCTTTTTCGTAAATTATTAGGGTAAAGAAAAAAACAAATCAGTCATATCTCAAACTTTACTTTACTCATAGGTTTAATTCAACTCTAAAATTCATCTAAAATGATACACTGAAACCTATTAATATTTATCGCAATAGTTGCTTGCAATATCAATGGTAATTGCAATAGTTTCTTTCAATATCAATAGTTATCGCAATAGTGATTTCCAGACCAATAGCCACCCCTAGGAGCCATAGATGCATACACACTGTGAGACTCTCCTCACAGAAACAACTCTGTTGCTCACAGTGGCGGTGAGCATTGCTGTCAGGAACCTGTGTCAAAGATGCACCTGATTAAAAAGATTGAAAGTGGCGTTTATCTTAACTATGCACTTCTGAAAGACTGCATAGAGAACATTTGATCCAATTTCTCACAAATATTTGTTATTTTTGCAAGAAACGTAAATACCAGCAACATTTGGTTGTTTGCTTTTCTTAAAGCCTATCATAAGAATTTTGCTAGGTCTAATCCAAGTAAAAAATTCAATTTCACAGTAACTTTTGTCTTTGAGTCTACAAGAGAAATGTAGGTCAGTTTGAGGTCAACTCTTCAGAGCACCAAAGATACTGTTCAGCATCCTGCAAAATCTCCAATCACTTATTTACCTCTTCAGCCATCTGTAATAAGGTCAGACCTACAGTAGAAATATTGTGCGTCAATTGAAAAATGTAAGAAACATTTAGATACTTTGCACTGAAACAGCCAACAATACCAGTCTGTTGAATTCCCCTGTTTCTTCTATCTGCTTCAAATTGAGCACTGTCCAGATTTATTACTATATGTGATGAATTGACATGAGTGTCAATACTTCACTAGGCTAAAAAGGTACAGTGATTCTTGAGGTACATGGAACTTGAGCAGGAGAAGTACATATCAGGATATTTAAGATAGCCATGCGATAGCTGCAGAGAAAAATGAAGAATGAAGTGTGTTTTGTTTCATGAGAAGACATTGTTCTATCATGGCGTCATTTCTGGGCGTTCGAGCTTATGCTCGCAATTTGATCATGTTGTAAATTGGATGACATTATTTTTTAGAGGGTAGTGATTTCAGCTTAGATGTAGCTAACATAGATAAACACAGTGTCCATACAATCGCATCCAAAAGTGGGAGAGATCTGACAACTGGTATTGGGAGAAAAGATACAGATAATCAATGTGAGGATTGTGAGTTTATGCCTGAAATACCAAACTTAACCCACCTAATCATGAAATAGAATTGTCTGACAATACTGGGGTCTGATTCTATTTAGGGAGTCATCATTATTAAAATATGGATAAATATTTTTAAAGCTTGTACATTTTTATCTCCACGGCATATACTACAGAGGGACATAGTCGACGCCTCGCTGTCTGTCCATAGAACTTAAAAACAATTTCATATATATATATATATATTTCATCCAAATTTGATACGTGTATTTATCAAGGGCTGAAGTTGTGCCTGTTTCCATGGCAACAAGTTTGAATTTGACTCTATTCTTAGTGGTGTGTTTGACTGGACCATATCTCTAAAAGTAAAAGGTAAACTTTCTTGAAACTGTGGACACACAAGGACCAGGTTGACTTGTGGTGCCTTTTGCTATATAGGGATTTTTCAAAATTTGATTTTTCCATTTCCATGGAAACCGGTTAGACTTGGCTGAAACAGATGTACTTTTAGTATGGGCAGCCATTTGGTCAAAAGATACAAAGATGAGATAAAGGACAAAAGTAAGCAATTATATTCAAATGTTACGAATAAAGTATTAAATGTGACTAATAAAGGTCAAAATACAAAACAAACAGACTCCGGTTACAAATACAAAGTTGAAATAAAGGTCAAAAGTACGGAACATAATGGTCAAATGTTACGAAAAGACTTCATATGAAAAGAAAGAACAATGTGTACTAAAGAATGTCAGAGGCTCACTTCATGATTACCAGAAAATGTGAAAATAGATTTTCTTGTCATTCCAGATGAAGGAAATGATTGTGAAGATGTTAGACTCAGCACATCGTTACAACAACACAAGCATAGCATTCCCTGCATTAGGTACTGGCAAACTTGGCTACCCAAGTGAAGAAGTAGCAAAGATCATGTATGATGTTGTGGCTGCATTTTGGAAGAAGAATCCCCAAACAAGACTAGAGGATGTTCGTTTTGTCCTCTACAAAGGTGATGCAAAAACTATAAAGGTGAGCTCTTTGAAAGGCAGTAAAAACTTGATTGTTCTGAAGGCACAAGATAAATTGATTGGAACATCTATACTCTTCATAAAAAACATTTTGAAGCTACTTCCAGCTGCTTAGGTGAATGACAAATCAAGCTGCCCTTATAGTTAGATGAAGTAGCTTGATAAGCTGCTACTCAGCAGATAAATATTGAATGAATTACTATATAATTATCACCAAAAACTCCTGACATCATCATGTTTGATTTAATATTCATCCCCTTTATAAATTTTCTAAGTACCCAAGGCAGTTATGTCACATTGACTGCCTTTCAAATCAACTTGTTTTTGGATCTACTATGGAGATGCTGCTCATTTTCAGACAAAAAATATTACAATTAGACCTGTAAGTTATTACCCTAAAGATCTTAATGAATTATGTTTTTTTCTGCGATTAAATTTTTGAACTTCCCCTTTTTTTAAGGTAGAAAATATTTTATTTTTGATTTCATTGTTGCAATCTGTTTGTGAGAAGAGGCTGTCTTTTTTCTACGTTTTAAGTTGTTGACAACATGTTTGTATTATAGCAAAGGGTTTAAATATTAAGTAGTAAAATTGTCTTTTCCATGCTTGTTTCTGGATATGACCTCCCTTTTAACCTTTAGCCTGCTGAATTATTTTCACACTTCTTACCCCTGCCTGCTGGATTAATTTTGGCTCTCACCTTATGATGTGATCATATTTTGTTCAGATCATTTGATACAAAATGTCAATACCAGGAAATAATCAGTCTCAATTATCTCCTGAAACTGATGCCAAAGGGAATAAAAAGGGATATAGTGATGAACATTAATTAAGTCAGATATGACACCAGGTGTTTGTGAAAAGATTAACGCATGTTCTGCTCTACCTGTAGCAACCACCACTCAAAGTTTAGCATTCATACAGAATCCGAATTCATACAGAATATCAGCACTGGCAGCAACTTTATTTAAGTGGCTGTCTTTTTTAACATTTTAGACTGTTGACTACTTACCAGGTGAGCTACAGTGCCATGGCATAATGTTTTTCTTAAGACCATTAACAATATTTATAGCTAAAATGGATAGAAGTTTCATTAAACCGTCCGCATGTTATCATGAATGAAAAGGGCTCTTGATAATGTCCTCATATTGCTTGAGAAGATCCAGGGTAGAATAGGTCTTCAGCAACCCATGCTTGACGTAAAAGGCAACTATGCTTGTCTTAAGAGGCGACTAATGGGATCGGATGGGTGGTCAGGCTTGCTGACTTTGTGGATGCATGTCATTGTATCCCAATTGCGTGGATCGATGCTCATGATGTCAATCACCAGATTGTCTGGTCTAGACTCAATTATTAACAGACGACCATCATATTACTGGAATATTGCTGAGTGTGGTGTTAAACAACAAACAGACAAACACACATATTGCTTGATGACAAGCCATTATCATGCCCATAGGGGTAGGGATACATCAGGGTAGGGATAGGGAAAGTTGACGTCACATTCAATAGTGACGTCATCTGGTTTGTTCTATGATGTTTCCATATTTGTAAAAGTGGGTCAGTGACATTCGTTGTGTGTTGATTGCAGTAAATGTTTCAAAACAGATGTTGTTGTTTCTCCCGGCATTTAATGCCGAAAACCGAAAATATAATTCGAAAACCATTCAGTGTATTTGATGGAAACTTGGCAAAGCTATCAGGCACATACTGAAGTGGTGCCTTTTGATTTTGGGATTTTTTTAATTTTTATTTTTTCTAATTTTTATGGAATGAAGTTGGACATAGACTCAATTGGGGATGGGGTTTGTTTCCGGGGCAGAATTCGAAAACCATTCAGTGTATGTGATCGAAACTTGGCAAAGCTATCAGGCACATACTGAAGTGGTGCCTTTTGATATTTTGGGATTTTTTTAATTTTATTTTTTTTAAATTTTTATGGAATGAAGTTGGACATAGACTCAATTGGGGATGGGGTTCGTTTCCGGGGCAGAATTCGAAAACCATTCAGTGTATTTGATCGAAACTTGGCAGAGCTATCAGGCACATACTGAAGTGGTGCCTTTTGATATTTTCTTTTTACGAATTTTTATTTTTTACAATTTTTATGGAAAGAAGTTGGACCTAGACTCCATTGGGGAACAGGTTCGTTTCCGGGCCAGAATTCGAAAACCATTCAGTGGGTAAACAATGTAAGCTTCTTAAAGAACATTCAACTGTTGACTCATTACATACAGAATTGCACATTTACTAGTGGTTACTTTACACACAGGTGCTGGGGGGGATATGTCATCTTTCTGATGACTCTTGTTATTTGATAACAAATTCTATCCAATGGTAATGCTATTTTTAGGGCATTATCATTTGCAAAATCCCTTGGTCTTTTCAACTGACCACCTTCGTCAGGCCGTTAATGGAAGACCTCAGGCATCTGCAAATGATAATGCCCTGAAAAAAAGCGTTACCCATATAACATATTTTATAAAAAGATATTTGAAACACTGTATAAGAAACATATTAAAGAGGTAACAAGTCGTGTGGGGCTTAAATGGCTGTGATTCCGGCATGTATGGAGACAGAATTCAAACAGGTGATAATGTGAGAAAACAAATGATATGATGTGTCTGTAACAAATTGTCAGAGTTGAGAAAGTATCTGAAAGTATTGATATTCTAATGAATAATTAAATCAATATTTTTCTAGGCATTTCAGGATGAGGAAAAGACGAGAGGATCATCACGTTTACCACCAGTACCACCCAGATCCAGTAAACCAGCCCATTTAATCAGCAACAGTGGTGGTAAAAGTGCCCCAGCTCGTCCCCAAGCTGAGTTTGATGTGACCCCCATCAAAGTTGTTGTCAAACTGGGCAACATTGCTGAGGAAAAGGCAGATGCTGTGATCAACCCAATCAACTCGGATATGAACCTGCATAATGGTAAGTTTGTTGTAATGAAATGCACCATGCTTTATTATCCCCTGCCACAAAGTGGAAGGGGGATATAGGAATGAGTGCCGTCCTTCCGTCCGTCCGTCACATTTCACCAAACTTGGCACATAGATAGGTCTAGTGGTGAACTGGTGCCTTTTGATAGTTTGGGGTTTTTAAAAAGATTATTTTTTGAGTTTCCATGGCAACGACTTTGATTTAGACTGAAAATGGCAGTAGTCATCGTTTCCAGAGCAGATCTTGAAAAAACGTACCATTTTTCTTCACCATATTTGGCACATAGATAGGTTTAGTGGTGAACTGGTGCCCTTTGATAGTTTGGGATTTAAAAACAACAACATTTTTCGAGTTTCAATGGCAACGACTTTAACTTAGACTGAAAATGGCGGTAGTCCTCGTTTCCGGAGCAGATCTTGAAAACCGTACCATATTTCTTCCCAAAACTTGGCACATAATGTAATCTCACAGTATTGAATACATTTCCTTTCTTGTTGGTAAGTTCTGCATTGCTTGAGTGTATGTTCATCCAAAAGTGTCATGGACACAGTTGTTGCATTCACTGACTAACTTCATGCAGAAACACAACTCATTACAAATACAACAGTGTAACTGATCTTAAACCTACTCAACTGCATAAACACTATATATTCTTGTCAACCATACTCTGTACTTCACTTGCTAGATAAGGGTGTTAGAACCTACACCGAAACCATCGCTCCTAGTTGTAATAAAGAAGTTGTTCGTCCATATGTCTCAACCTTACTCTTTACAAATACCATTATGTATTCTATCATAGACTGCAGATGGCAAAACAACACCAGTAATAACTTTTTTTAGTGCTGCAATTAGGCCATTTACAAAAAGGCCCAGTGAACATGTAGTTCGATCACAGGAGCTAATGCATTGCACACAACCGGACATGTTATATTGGCGGGTTGGTGAGTATTTCATGCTTGTTGTTTTTAGCTCAATGACTGAAAGTCAAGTGAGCAGATTTCCTGCCCTGTTTGTCCATTGTCTGTTGAGCATCTTCAACATCTTCTCCACAGAAACCACTTGACCATTGCAAAACCTATTTATGACCATCATTCAGCTTGTTTTGTTCAAAATGTTTTCAAATTTGGTATTTCATTAGTTAGAACACATATGCTGAGATTCTGGATATAAGTTATATTTTGATATATTTGGCACAGAGGGCTACTTTTGGTTGTATGTTTGTCTTTATGATGATTGTTGTGTTCGTTTTTTGTCCTCAGTGTTTGAATATCAATGCTGACAACCTTTTTTAAGTGTCAGTCTTTGTTGACATTTTAAATTGTTGACTACATATCTAGGTCAGATACACTTCAGTGGCACTATTTTTTTCTTCCAGTCAGCAATTTATATCTCAGTACTGGTGTCTTGATTTTGTCTGATATTTTGCAAGGTTCAATAAGAGATTCATCAGTGGATTTTGAAATTTGAAATAACTATTCAATTTGAATCAAACATTACTTATTCATTGTATAATCATTCTCATTTACTTGCAGAGGTGTCAACATGTTCATGGTTATCAAAATTAATTTATGATACATATATAATTTGGTGATAAATTTGGTAATAACAGTAACTAAGTGTGTTACATGGATGACGATTACATGCCATAGTGTGTGGATACCATGGTCAATATATAATAAAAATAATATTTAACCAGTTATATTTACAAAGTGTGTGAGTGTGTGAGGGGAACCCCCCAATGGGGACAAATTTTATCAAATACTATTTAAGTTGAGAAATGAAATTTTACACTCTGAAGTAACTGGTCAAGATCTTAAATGAGTTCTAAAATTTGTGTAAACCTACACAAACCTCTGGATCCATAACATGCTCTTGATTTTCATTGCTATTTTACCTACCAATCAAGTGTCGACGTAAGGGAAAGGGTAAGGGAGGTAACTTGTATTACTGGCAGTTTTCATGGGCATGAAGACATCCTTTCCATCCAACAGATGTTGAAAATGGGAATGTATCCATGGACTAGTGTAGGTTTACCGAAGTGCTAGCCCTGTAGATATAAAGGATGAGTTATGGCCCTTGATCCATGTTACTTTTAACTCAGTGCATAGTGACTGCAATGGAGACAAGTTTTCTCAGAAACTATTGAAGTTAACAGTACATGAATGAAACTTAGCAAGCTTATCTAAGAGATAACTATCAAAAGTGGGCTCAAGAATTGGTGCCATACATTATTTTTTCCGGCGAAACATTTCACATTTACGGTAATCAGTTTTTCTGATGACATCAAGCAACCCAAATGCCTATCTCTTCTTAAGGATTTATGAAACTCTTTTTTTTTTCATAGTTAACCTGAGGGGCACTGATCTAACGCAATTCCCCGGGACTGGTTGTTGCCTTTGTTATTGTTTTTTCCCAGTGAGTACCCGGATGAATAGCAGAAATCTAGACTAGTTCGCGACCTCTGCTGCGCCATTCGTAAGCGCATTAGTCGCTTTTATGGGTAGTAATAAGGGCGTATGGTCACATTGATGAACAAAATGAAATACAGTTTTCGAGATAATAAGGAAATGTAGGTATCTTTGTGGGTAGCATCGGTAATGGTGACGAAGTTTTGATAAGTCACTTGCTTGGTAATTTTGCGATTTTCGTTTACACTATTTTGACTTGCAACACAAAGTACATATTTCACCTGAGCATTGCTTTTTTTATAGTGTGTATTTTTTTTACTGTCAAATGTGTAACAAATTTATTAAACGTCTAAATATTCAGTTATTTTACAAAGTGACTGAAAAACATTTCCATCTGTATTATTATGATAACGAATTCCAAACATTTTGATGTTTAATGTCATCACCAAGAGACTGAAAATGTTACGTTGAGAAAAGTACATTTCTATGTTGTTTGGCTTCTAATCCTACATAATAATCTGTTGTGATGTTTGTAGGCCCTTTTGATCGTCTTAATCAATCTGGACAGATTTTTTAGTCAAAATGACTGAAATATTTACACATTTTATAAATTGCCTGAGAGAATCACATTTTACAAATTGATGGTAATATATACACGCTTACAAAGGAAAAGACCTGTGAAAACAACGTCTATCGCGCATTGAAGAATTTCCCAACCAAGACGTAGAGAAACAAGAACGAATCGGTTCAAATGAAGGAAAACAAAATGCAAATACAATGTATCATAATTACAACCTACCAAATTTATGTGTATAAATTTTAGGCAGCGTCCTTGTTCGAGGAATGTATCCGTGAATATCCACACAAAGGAACAATATCCCACTCGTCTGCAGATGTACAAAGAAACTTATTCGATGTCACGTGTCTCAGTAACAATCAAATATTTTAAAAGATATATGTCGTTTCGGGATATTATAACCCATGTTCGTTTCTCAACTGATCACTTGGATTGTTTCAGGTGTTTTACATAGGTGTCAAGTCTCAATGGTCGGCTGAGAAAGCCCACGTGACAACTATTTTCATAACGTTCACGGTTCCTAAAAAACCATTACGTGATAGATAACAATGATCAATCAATCAACGTATTATAAGTTAACCCTTTGAACAAAGTATGTTGTTTTTACATCGGCACTTCACGCCATGGTATGAGTGTATTCCCTTTGTTTTAGTAAACCGAGACATGTAAACACTCACTTTTGACATATCCACTGTGCGAGATAACAGTGATTAATCAATCAACGTATTTTCTGTTAATCCTTTGATGACTAGGAACGTTCCGTTGATTTACAAAAAAATAAATCAACTGATCATTCATCTCTTGCTGGGCTGCCACGTGCATATTACATAAAACACATTTCACCTCACTTCAAACCTGGATTTAGATTGAATAATTACCCCAGACACAATAAATGCCAAATGGGAACCTTTGTCAGGTAATCTAAGTGGTGCTACCACTAATTGTACCTGTAATAAATTCATTAACTGAGCATCAAGTGAATGACGACAAATGCACAAGTGAAGGGTTATATGAGAAAACGTTGATGTCAACAAGGGAGTAATAATCGTATTATCGACGCAAGCCGAAATCCGAAAATGCTTTCACTGCATGGATACTTTTTTTAGTATAAAACTATAACCATCTGGGGTATTTCCAAATGACGACATCCGATGAGCTCCACTGTTCTTTTTGTCTGCTTGTTTAGGCTGAAGAAATGAATTAACATGCGCCCTTTGTCGAAATCTGTATAGATCACAGTTAACCAATCAGTGTTTATGCAAAAATGCGTAAAACAAATATTGCCTCCAGCCTCCAAGTTTATTTAGCTGTCCTTGCAGACGGTAGCCCAGTCTCTGGTCACGCTCAGTTGCGTTGCGTATCATCCGGGTACTCACGGGGGAAAAAACAATAACAAAGGCAACAACCAGTCCGGGGAATTGCTTTAGATCAGTGCCCCTTTAACTTCTTATTATTCAATACAAACATGAACAAACAAAATTCTAATGTGCCCCATGGCAGGGGATTGTGATAATGCTGTTTTCTTGCAAAATTATGCAGGGACAAACATGCTAATTTAAGATATAAAGAGAACAGTTCATTTCAGGAAGTGATAAGTACTTGGCTGATTATTCTTTTCAAAGTTTAACCCTTCAGGCACCTGTTAGGACTACATACAGTTTACATTATTATATTGTTCATCATATGGATTTAATAACCATTTGATTACCAGACAAAGGTCCTTTGAGGCCAAAAGTCCACAAGCTAGAGACCTCAGATAGGGAAGTATCACTTACATGAATGCAAACGGATATAATCAGAAACATTTCTGCTCTTCGACATGGGAGATTTTAACTCCCACAAAACGTAATTTTTTAATAATTCATAAAGTTGCCTCCATTGTCCTGCGAGTAAAAACAAAGAACAGGAAGTATCCGTCCCTCCTATTGACCAATTAGATTCCACCACTCATAATTTAAACAATACCTCATTATTTCCACACAAATCAATCCCAATCCTTGCAGAAATGACCAATTCATTTTTTTTGGATTAATGTTGGTTTGATGTCAGCAACACTGTCAGATATTTATGATTTTACTACTTTTGTGTTTTTGCAGAGTGAAGTACATAATTTGTGGATATCTCTATTATAAATAGAAAGTGATTTCGACATAAAGCTGATATATTTGTTCAACTGAATATAGTTGTGCATAAAGCTGGTTTCCAATACAGTAGAACTCAGTATGCTAAGGCACTAATTAATTTGTTGGGACATTTACAAAATCTGTGGCTGACAACTCCTATCAGCATACCGTGGGTTCAATTTGTCATTTGTCGATGCTTCGTCTGTCCGTCCGCCTGTAATCATTTCGTTTTTCGGTGCGTAACTCAAAAACCATTCAATTGTTGGCAGATATTGGCAGATACATGTATATCAAACAGGCCCTGAAGTGGTGTCTTTTGGTATTAATGGATTTTTGGCTATCCCACGAAAGCGAGAGATAGACGATAATTTTGATGGAATCAGTTGTATGGGCCGTAACTGTTGTTCAGAATAGCCCGTGTTAACGTTTCCGAGGTTGCATGATTAGAAAAGACATTCAAACTGTCACTTTCATGATCTGGTAAGCGACGCTCTGATTGGTCGGATGAAAGATCGTCCTGACATGACCCTTAAAGGGATGTCCTCAGATCTTTGTTTAGCGATAGCATGAACAAGAAACTGATTTTAATGAGATTGAACATATTCTGAAGTGGTGCCTTTTGCTATTTGTGGATTTGGGGCATTTTTATTTTTCTCGATTTGCATGGAAAAAATTTGGACTTAGTCTCAAAAGGATAGGGATAGATGTGGTTTCCAGAGCACAACTTGAAAACTGTAAAAGACTTTTCATCCAAAACTGGTACATGTATTAAACAGGACTGAAGTGGTGCCTTTTGCTATTTAGGAAGTTTTCTAAATTTGATTTTTACCAGTTTCCATGGAAACAAGTTCGACTTAAATGGAATTAGGTGTCATTTCCAGGGCAGAATTAAAAAACTATTCAACATTTTCATCCAAACACATGTATTAAACAAGGCTTGAAGTGGTGCCTTTTGCTATTTAGGATTTTTTGTCCTGTTTCCACGGTAACAAAATTGAATTTGACTCTGTTCATAGTGGTGTATTTGTCCGGACAATATATCTAATAAGTATTCTTTCTTGAAACTGTGAACACACAAAGACCAGGTTGCCAAATGGTGCCCTTTGCTACTTAGGGGTGTTTAGAATGTATATATATATATTTTGTTTTTATGGCAACAAGTTTGACTTTGACTCTGTAAAGTTCCAAATCCCAATTCCATGGTATAGTTTTGATAGCTCAATAACTGCTCTTGTATATGGACGGACAGATTAGATAGAAATTCTCTCATCACGTTGGACTTAAAGTAACAGTCAGATGATTTGTTCTTTCAAATTTGGGGATCTGGGGGGTTTGTCATCTTCTGATGACTCTTGTATTTTGTTTCAATTCTATTATTGTAAGACAAACATTTCTGGTTACATATATTTCATAAAATAATATCTTGATATAGCAGTAACTGAATTTTATCAGTATTGCTTGACAAAGGTTATAGCTTCTGATGTTCTGAATGTATATCAATCTCTGTCTTTCCTTTTCAAACCGATCAATTCTCAATTGCAAGCTTACAACTTTGCTGAATAATGTGATGTAATGTTCGGTTATCATACCATGAATACATTTCTGCTCGAAAACACTGACATAAGAACGTCCTTGTGCCATATTTCAACGTAATTTCCACGAAAGTATTTGCAAGCCAATTATTAAGTGTTATTAATTTTGGAGACTTTCTCCAAATAGATTTTCCTAGACTTTTGATATAATAGTTTAATTACCTATTTGATTGTGTAACTCCACAGAAATATGCTTAGTTTACAAGACAATACAAACGATAATCATAATCTCTGCATAAAACACAATGCCTAGCAGAACAGGAAATACAATTTGATAGGTAAATCATATCATAACATTGTACATTATGTAAAAGAAAATGTCTTCTATAGGGAAATGCTTGTGTCATGAAACATAAAAAGAGGGAAGAAATTCTGACTTAATTTGAAGACTCTACCTTATTTGGATTGTTCTAGACTTTATGATATGTTACGTGCTATATATATTCACATACAAGAAAAACGAAAAATAAATTCTGTTGCAATTAGTTGGAGTTTCGCTACTATTTTGTCATAGATTGGATGGACCATAAACAGGACTCAAGGCAACTGATAACTTCAGAAACAATATTTTTGACTGTTAAATTATGCTATTTGGGAAAAGTGCCATCCGTGCACATGGATTAAGGAAAATATTTCATTCACCAAGCCTGTTTTATTCCACTGATTCCACAGATTAGGATTTATTAAACCTTGGATATTTCTTGCTTTGAATAACATCATTAGCAGTTAAGCGCCATCATAGCCATTTAGCTTCCATGGACAGTGTTTCTGGGGATAATCACTCGGGTTAGCATGAAGTCTATTGTCTCGTTTCTTTCAATTTCAGGAAGCGTTTCAAAGGCTCTGCTCAAAGTAGGTGGACATGAGTTGGAGCAGAAAACCAAGGATTTAGGTAAGAATGGTATATTTTTCATGATGTGTATGTCATCCTTACATGTTTTGTTTAGAATTTGTTTTCTCTTAATTTACTGAACTGCACAAAAACATGTTAAAAAAATTGTGTACTACATATCCTTGCATGGCAGCAAAACTTGAAATCTTAGATAAGTAGATTGATATTTTAGCTCACTTTGACTTTATCAAGACACTTAACTAAAAACTCATTGTTTGAAGGATGTTCATGAGATCCTTCTGTACAATGAACTCTGCTACATGCTAATTGTACTGACCGTGTCAGTTGAGCGACGTTACGAACGTTACAGCAAATTATGTAACTCACCTGCTGTTGGGGTCAAGTTTCACTATTCTAGTGAGATGTAAAACATTCATCTCCGCTCATGATAACATATTTTAGGTTTGAAATTATCCTGCATGTTTTGATGAAAACAATTAGAGATGAATTATTATTATTGAAATATGTACTCGCCTGGTACGAAGAGCATTTGTTTATCTCTTTCTCCCCATACATATGCTGCCATACGAGCAGACTAGTGGATTTTTCTAGGCTTGGCTATCATTCACGTTTAGTATTGATGGTTTCCTTTGGGTATTCAATATATTTTTACTCCCTCATGTCCAATCTGTTTGGAATTATTACACTATTGAGTACCAGAAGACTAATTCTGCTTAAAATGTTGTTTCTTGTGACTTCTAATTTGTATGTGTTCATGTCCTGCCCCAAAGATGCATAAACTCAGAACAGCGCTTCACATGTGTAATTTTCAATAAGCTTAACGTGGAGCCTTTTTGTGCCTTATTCACTGCAGTAGAGTTCATGTAGGTGTGATGCCTGCATTCAATATGTAACTAAAGATCTGTGTTATTATACTATTAGGTTCACTTGTTACATCGATGACCTGGGTTCGATTCCCGACATTGGTACAATGTGTGAAGCCCATTTCTGGTGTCCCCCGCCGTGATATTGCTGGAATATTGCTAAAAGCGGCATAAAACCCATCTTCCCGAGGCAAGAGAGTTAACTGACTATAAAAGTCCAGGTTCCACCCTTGCCAAACTAGGCTGGAAATCCTGGGCTCGATCGTAGCGCCACCAGTGGCTATTACGTGTTATATCCCTTCTATGCATATCCTATGGACCCATCGGATTCCACCTCTTGTATCACTTGCATTTGCTTCAAACAAAACGGCAGCGCCCAGTCAAGACGATCTGATCGATAATCAAGATCTATATATTGTGATAAAACGAGTCTTACATCGCGAAGTGCATCAAATCACCTGAGCACCTTGATTAAAAACATGAAAAGATTTAGAAAATATCTGGTGACAACGAGTTAGCGGTGCACATGCTTTGCGAATCCTGCAATCGACCAAAATCTGCATGACAATTTACAAACCGGATTTTGATTGTGATTGGACTATGCATAGACTCGTTAGTCCAGCCAAAATGTAACTCCATAATGCCAGCCTAGTTCGGCAAGGGTGGGAACTGGACTTTTATAGTCAGTTAACTCACTTGCCTAGGGAAGATGCATCAAACCATGCTCACTCTCTCACTCACTCACTCACTCACTCACTCACTCACTCCACCACTACGACTACTTCGGCTACTACTATAATCAAACTTTTTTGTTGATCCTTTTACAGGGAAAAGGTTGCAAGATGAGAGAATAGTTAATGTTGTGATAGTTAACGGTGTCAGAGTATGTCATGTGGATCGCCGGCTTGTCAAAGAAAATCAGAAACAAGCCATTCTCACTTGCCTGAAGTATTCAGACAAACTGTTAGATAAAACAGTTGCTTTCCCCATTCTTCAAACAGGTAGGTATTTCTTTGACTGGTGTTCATCTTTATGATGTTTTTTTTATATGTGCTTTGTTTTAAGCTCAGTCAACTATGAGTCAAGTGAACTTATGTCATGGTCTGCTTGTCCGGCATCAGGCACAGTTAACACCTTCGGCTCAGAAATCACTGAACCAGTGAAGATGAAACTTCACATGCTTGTTCCTCCCAATGATGTCACCGAAATTTGTTTTTACCTTTAGTTGACCTATGCACTTTCGACAATGTTCATAAAATCTTGCAAAATGCATTTCCTCTCATTATAACCATCATCTCCTTAGAAACCACTGGACCAATGAAGCTGAAACCTCACATGCTTGTTCCAACCAACAATTACACCTGAATGTGTGCAAGAGGTTCAAATCAGATTTTTAATAAGGCCTCTTCAGCAGCAATTTGGAAACATCTATTTACAGCCATCGTTCATCCATTGTTCATAATGTATAATAGCTAATGGGGATACAATTATAAAAAAGCCTGCATGTTATCAAAAAACCTGCAGGCCACTGTAATGACATGGCAGCCTGCATTTCCCTAACACATTGGCTGCTGTCTATTCTTTTGTTATGTGACGTCATTGGCATCACGTTCTCTTTTGTGACGTCATCCTATATTACCGGTATGTTCTATGACATTGATATTTGTAAATCAGTCACCTCCATTGTGAGGTTTCAAATACCATTACAAAACATATGCTGCTTTTTTTCTCTTGGTTTGTTCATTTTGGGATATGCTATAAATGTTATAATGGTAACAATATTTTCGGGGCATTATGTCTCCCCCAGAATGGAGGGAGACATATTGTTTTTGGCACGGTTCCCGTCGGCGTCGGCGTCGGCGTTCCCACCGTTTCCAGACCATAACTCAGAAACCGTTTAATATTTTTTCGCAAAACTTGGTATACACATTAACCCAGCACTGAAGTGGTGCCTTTTGCTATTTAGAGATTTTTGACATTTTTATTTTTTCTCGTTTCCATGGAGATAACTTGAACATAGACTCTGAATGGGGGTAAGCTTTGTTTCCGGACCATAACTCAGAAACCGTTTAATATTTTTTCGCGAAACTTTGTATACACATTAACCCAGCACTGAAGTGGTGCCTTTTGCTATTTAGAGATTTTTGACATTTTTATTTTTTCTCGTTTCCATGGAGATAACTTGAACATAGACTCTGAATGGGGGTAAGCTTGGTTTCCGGACCATAACTCAGAAACCGTTTAATATTTTTTCACGAAACTTTGTATACACATTAACCCAGCACTGAAGTGGTGCCTTTTGCTATTTAGAGATTTTTGACATTTTTATTTTTTCTCGTTTCCATGGAGATAAGTTGAACATAGGCTCTGAATGGGGGTAAGCTTTGTTTCCTGACCATAACTCAGAAACCGTTTAATATTTTTTCGCGAAACTTTGTATACACATTAACCCAGCACTGAAGTGGTGCCTTTTGCTATTACAGTTTCCATGACATCACATATGTCATTGTGTAGAAGACCTGCAGAGTCAGATACACGGGCAATTACATCACAGAGACTTTCCTTTGTGCCATATAACATTGCTACATCATTTCTGATATGTTGGGGATATTAATATATTTGTGTCCAAACTCTATTAGTACTTTAAGTGGATTTTCTACAAATACTTCAGTAACAAGAAAACTGTGCTACTTAGATGACTACACTGTCAGGTGGGTAAATGATTGAGGGATTAGTGGTGTTGATTAGACGCTGAAGTGGTGCCCATTAGTTGTTTGAAATTTCTAGGAGTTCTATTTTTGTCTCTGTTATTTAGTAATGGAGGGTGGGAATGAAGAGATGGGGTTTAACGTGAAGTAAACGAATGAACGGGGGTTAGGGGAGTGGGGGGAGACATATGTTTTTACGAGTAAAAACACTTTCTAGTTATTGTTTGCTGAACCCCTGGTGTGTTTAACTGCCGTCCTTCATTGGTCGGTGAATGGCCTCTGCAAATGATAATGCCCTGAAAAATATTGTTGCTCTAACCTTAAAATTTGGTATGTGTACAATACATTAAGTCTTGATTTTGCATGGACCATATTCATAAATTCACAGGATGCATATTTGGCTCTGTAAACATCTCTGAAATTTTGGGACTAAGGCAGCTGAACTTGTAGCTTGTATGTTCCTCCTTATGATGGCATCATGTTATCTTCATATCATTATATTTTAGTGTTGGTATTTCTTCAGTTTTTATGCCGAAGATATTTCAATATCAATGCTGATAGCGATTTTTGTTGAGTGGTGTCTTTGTTGACACTTGTTGACAAGCTCTTGACCACATAACATGGTCAGCTACAGTGCCCTGGCAAATGTGGCAAATGGAAATCAGAGATGATGATTACGTCTTCTACAGAGACAGCTACATGTACCAGGGAGCTAGCACAATATTAATCAGTTTTGATTCAGTGTCCTTGACTCTTTAGAATAAGTCCCAGGTGGCTTTTGTGGTCAGGGACTTACCGGTAAGTCTTACTCTCAATGGAACATATCACTAGTGGAGGATATGAGTATTTCACCCTTGTTTCTAAATGGGAAGTGATGGCATCAGACTTGAAGTGCATAGGGCTTTACTTAAAAGTAAACTAAAGGCAAAGGTCTCTTGTTTGTGGCCCTTATGCACTCATCACTGGAACTGGGAGCTGTGTTTATGTATTTGAGGTCTCCAGGACCTGAATATGATCCAGGTCTGTGGCATTGTACCCTCATTTATGCTACTGCTGGATCTATTGATATTGGAATTTACGGTTATTATTTTATGTCACTTTTTGTGTCGTTATAGGTGATGTGTCAGAGGAAATGGCTGACGACTTACACAAAGCTCTAAGTCAATTTCTCGAATCATCTCAAAATCCAAAAATACAAGAAGTTCGTGTTGTGATTCATGATCATGAGTTCTTCGACAAGTTCTCAAAAATGTTTGGACAGCTCACTAAAGGTAAATATTTCATTTCATTAGAGGAACTGTCCTCAACTTTCAGCTCAAGTTGACAGGGTGGTATTACTTTCATGGCTTATAAAAGCCAAACTGAAGGGTCTAATAAGCTAGCTTCTGTTGGGAAATGTCTTTGTTCGCAGAATTCTAATCACATGTTAAGCATCGTTTGGTTGTCTGTTAACTTTTGTCTTCTCCTCTGCCCAGCAGGATGAGCATGAAATATTGAGAGAGTTGAGTAACTCCAAAATGGGCCTCTTGTAGATTTTGTGTAGAATAGGTCCCCAACAACCTATGCTGGTCGTAGGAGGCAACTTCACGGATCAGGTGGTCGGGCTCAGTGACTTTGTTTGATAGTGTGTCATCGTACCCAAACATCAAGGATATGACATTGAAAATGAATGTTCGTAACGACTGTGATCCCCCATGATCCAGGACAACTGCCTGACATCATCTGGCATCTGGGCATGCTCGTGATGGTAGCCCTTGGGATCTGGTGCCATGTTTTTTGCAGTTGACCCAGATTGTTAGGTGCTACAGTACATTGGTGGCATGTGGTCCTGTGGACAGCGCACTGGTCACAAATGAGGTGAAGTTGAGCAACATTGGTCGTGGAGAGTCTTTGGATGGATGACCACATTCGGCAGCTTGGCTTCTGAGAGTTTCTAGGGCTTCGGTCTTGAAGCACATGTTCCACATGTGGCATTTTCTTGGGCAAGTGCCTCTGTGAATGGTACCCGGTAGGATGAGATGGCAATGTTTTTGTTAACCTCCTAGCGCCTAGCAGGCAGCTTGGGTTGTAATCTCCCCCATAATTATTATCCCCCGCCCAACGTAGTTTTTACGTTTCCATGGCAACAAGATGGACTTAGGTTCTGTGAGGGTAGGGTTCGTTTCCGGAGCATAACTCATAAACTGTTCAATATTTTTTCATCAAACTTTGCAGGTGTGTCAGGTACATGCTGAACTAGTGCCTTTTGCTATTGAGAAATTTTAGAAATATTTATTTTTTACGGTTCCATGGCAACAAGATGGACTGAGGTTCCAAACTCATCTTTTTTTTACAATTTCCATGACAAGTTCCACCTCGGTTAAAAAAGGTTAGGGTTTGTTTAGATTTAATTATGTCATAAATTCTGCAACAGGGGCGGGGGATATAGCCATGTTAGTGGCAAACTCTTGTTATAACTACTACTGCTACTACTACTACTGTATAAATTTATGTTTAGCCCAGAGATGTTCAAGGAGGTTGAGGTGAGATTGCCAAGGCAGTAAATATGCAGATGTTCCCAATCCTTAAGAGATTTGTTGCGCTTTGTGTGGGCTGGCATTATCCTGTTGGAATTCAAGCTGATGATAAATCCTTCTCTCAAAGGGTACCTACCACATCTGGCCATAATGAATACCTGTGAATGACCATCAAGCTGTTTGTATTGGAGTGCTATTTTACAGTGCTGGTTGTGCTCATAAGCACACCTCCAATCACAACTCTGCCAAGTCGAGAAGGAATCTCGATCATCACTGAATATAATGTGATGCCACTGACACAACTGCCTGACACTATGACGCCGTCCTAACTCCATTCTTAATCATCTGTGATCAGTGCTGTCATCTTGTTGCCTATCACTTGGTGATATCTTTTAGAACCTGCAGCATTCAACCGATGGTGCACCGTTTGCTATCGCAAAAATTACATGCCCTTTTTTTCATTAACATTTTACCGACCAGTCAAACGTTGACATGAGGAAAAGGGTAAGGGAGATAACTCATATTACCTAGAAACCAAAGCCAACACCAGTGTTTATGGCCTTGAAGACATCCTTTCCATCCAAAAGATTTTCTAGGGCTTTCTTTTGTGTCAGTCAGTTTTTCGATGTAGAATTTCTCGCAAACTCTATCATAATCAACAGGTCTGGCCTACCCGACACTGAGGCTGGTTTGTAACACGTAGTTTGATTGGTACATTATACCAGTTGCATAGCCAATGAAACTTGCAAATGGAAATTAAGGGTCGGTAAGTTAAGATTGCAAGAACCATGGCAATGGATCCAGGGGTTAGTGTAAAAATATAAAATATAGCCTTGTATGACCTTTCCAGAAAAAAATCAGGTGAGATATTTTTGGGGCCCTATTTATATAACATGTGATCTTCTATCCCATTTTTTAGTCTTGTTTTTTAGATAGGTTCATTTCCATTTACAAGTAACCTTAAAGCCTTTTTTTATTCAAGATGAAGGAAAAAAGGAACAGCATAGATTATATGGAAGTCATCAACAAGTCACTTTCACTCTTTGGTCAGACCGGAGAGAATGTTTACGGAGTGCTAAAAGAAAACTGAAGCAATTTTGTACCATGGAGGAGATGAAAACTTGCATGGAAATTCCTACAACCATCACCGTAAGTACTTACGGCTATACATGTAAGGATATCACCTCATCAGGTCAAAGGCCAATGGTTGTGTGTTTTTTCAGGTCAAAACTTGCAATTGTATTTGTTTGTGATGTGTGTCACAAGCAAACACGTATCATCACTATTTAATAGTCATTCATAAACAAATGCTTGTGGTTTTGTTGGAATCGTACAGAGGACTCATACATATGGCTAGGGAAAGTGTTGGGGTTTTTTTTCGCTTTCATTTTCACCGAAGTGATAAACATCAAACACAGCATCCCTTTGGACCTTCCTCCCATTGAAATGATGTTACATAACTGAAATGCTTTTCAAAGCGGTATTAAACCCAACTCACTATTTCAAAATATATTGTCCTCTGTATGAATGTAATTAGCCTAAACTGACTTGAAGATTCAAAGCAACATTGATGTTGAGCTTTCTTACAGCCAAAAGATATTTCCATGGTTGGAAAAGAATATCCAAAAGCTCAAGTCTGTCTCAGCAAAGATCGAAATATGATAGAAATGAAGGGGAAACCAAGGATGGTGCTTCAGGCTATTGATGCCTTTCACAAACTTTTCCAGAGAAACTCTGATGGTGAGTGTAAAAGAGTTTATTATATACTTCAGTGTGAAAGACTGAGTTTTTTTTAAGTTGAGAAAAGAAGTGATATTTTCACTGCAGTGAACAAAACACGTGATATATCCAGACCTGTCAACCCCTCATCATGACAATGGGGGAGATTTGACTTCAAAAAGGGGGAGATTTTTAAAATAGTGAAGATAAGATAATTTCCACCTTTTATTTTTATTATTGTTATAAAGAAAACAAATTATTTTGAAACAATAAATGATTGATAACTTCTTATATGTACAGCTTGCTTAATTTCCGTATGCATTTTCCTCCTCAAAGAATAAACCTAGCTCAATCTACCCATATCACTTTTGTTCAAAAATCATCTCAGATAAACGCAAACAGATATATGAAATTTAACGATGGTAGTTTGACCAGTTGACGACATGTTCAATCCGTCCAGTTGTCAGGCTTCGTTACGATGCAGGTCTTATGAGTATTTGGCATGATTTTGGTTACAAAATATGCCAAAGAAATATCAAGTGCATTTATCTTGACGCAACATGATCTGTCCTAATTTCAATAAGATATATTGTTTATTTCTGGCTGCGGTAGTCTGTTGACAGTCCCATTACTTCGCTTCTTAAATTCTCTATTCTCTCTCTCCATGTTCACATTATTCCATTCCTAGCAATGTACCGGGGTATGCCATATTTGGAAGTACTATCATGTTTTACTACAATTTATGAATGAAATGAGTCTCGTTGTCGTTGTTGACCTTTCTGACCTTGACGTGTATTAATCTCATTGGTTGACTAGTACTGTTGTATGCAAATTATTGCAGATCTGGGATGCCAGCGAACTATTAGCCAATCAAATCGTGTAAAATAATCACAGGATACATTCTCATGAAATTTGATAAGTTCTATGTGTTGATATTTCTGTGCGTTCAAATCTCGATGACAGTCAAAAGGAAATTTATAAGTTTCACTTTAAACTTTAACTTTGAAACCCTACCTATGAGGAAGCCTGATCGTGTAACGCATTGTTATTTTGAATACTGAATCAACCAATCATGTATAGTGTTGTTTCTGAAAACGGCGCTTGCAGGTCATATTTTTGTTTTTATTTCCGAGAGTTTAATGGCGTAACTTTTAGGTATACTGATGTTTTAACAAAATTTCTGACAAACCTGATAACCAATAAAGTCATGTTTAACTGGACCGGCCATATGTATCTACATTCTAAAATTATTGAGGAATATACATGCTAAGAACATAAGGACAACAGTTCATTTCAGGAAGTGATGAATACTCAGCTGATTATTCATTTCAGTTTTCATTGTTAAATCGTTCACCATATGAATTTGAATACCAGTTGATTACTAGACAAAGGCCCACCTGGGTCCCCCTGCTTGTGACTGTGATCGCGGTTGCTTAAACTTCCCATTTTTTGTTTTTACTCACGGGACAATGAAGGTGAATTTTGAAAATAATGAAGAACTCTGTTTTGCGGGAGAAATAGTCCATCATGCAGGAGACTGGGGGATTGGGACTGGGAGTGTCCTGCAAAATGTGGGAGGGTTTACAGGTCTGTATATCACTACAGTCAACATAACACTTGATATATCACTACAGTCAACATAACACTTGATATATCACTACAGTCAACATAACACTTGATATATCACTACAGTCAACATAACACTTGATATATCACTACAGTCAACATAACACTTGATATATCACTACAGTCAACATAACACTTGATATATCACTGCAGTCAACATAACACTTGATATATCACTGCAGTCAACATAACATTTGATATTTCACTGCAGTCAACATAACATTTGATATTTCACTGCAGTGAACATTACATTTCATATTTCACTGCAGTGAACATTACATTTCATATTTCACTACAGTAAAGATAACACTTGATATTTCACTACAGTCAACATAACACTTGATATATCACTACAGTCAACATAACACTTGATATTTCACTACAGTAAACATAACACTTGATATTTTACTGCAGTGAACATAACACTTGATATATCACTACAGTCAACATAACACTTGATATTTCACTACAGTCAACATAACACTTGATATATCACTACAGTCAACATAACACTTGATATATCACTACAGTCAACATAACACTTGATATTTCACTACAGTAAACATAACACTTGATATTTTACTGCAGTGAACATAACACTTGATATTTCACTGCCGTGAACATAACATTTGATATATCACTGCAATGAGCATAAGAATTTGACGGAACTATTGTATTACAAGAGTTACCTCCCTGCGAATTGTCTCCCTTTGTCGGAAGTGTCTGGCCCATACATAAACTACAAACTGTTGACTTCCTTTTTGCGTTAGTTCTATATTGGCAAAGGCAAATAATGACAGATGGTCATTTATGGAGTTAATATAATATTTTAGTGACCTCGAATACTTTTTATTGTCCGTCCGTCACATTTCATTTCTGGAGCACAACTCAGAAACTGTTCAATATTTTTACATGAAACTTTGCAGGTCTGTCAAGTACATGCTGAACTGGTGCCTTTTTCTATTTAGAAATTTTAGAAATTTTTATTTTTTACGTTTCCATGGCAACAAGATGGACTTAGGTTCCAAACTCATATTTTTTTTACAATTTCCATGACAAGTTCCACCTTGGTTGCAAATGGTGAGGGTTTGTTTAGATATAATTATGTCATAAATTCTGCAACAGGGGTGGGGGATATAGCCAAGTTAGTCGCAAACTCTGGTTATGTTTGTTTATGTTTTCCCATAATACTACAAAATAAAATCAATAGGAAAGTTATGAAAAACAACCTGTGTTCACTCTTGCAATCATTATGTGGTTGAAAGATCAGGCTAGGACTTGTGGCAGAGTCCACCGAATTTGTGTTTAATATGCCAAAAATTCATTACTGAGCATCTTTTCTTCTGCTAGACTGGCAGCGACAAGCCAATGAGGATGTTGAGCCAAACATACTATTTCATCCAGGAGAACACTCAGAAATGTTTGGCAATGATTTGAACAAATTGCCAAGCAACACAAAAGAAACTGCTAATTACATGAGGAACATGTATCCAAACCATCAATTGACTCATCCCTCAACCAACTCTGAACATAAAATCTGGGAAGATACAACTGGGTCAGCGAATGAAAAGACAAGAACACATCAGTGGAGAGCAGAAATGTATAAAACAGGTCAAGAATCAAATCACACAAAGCCTACACAACCAGAGGGGGCAACTTGGAATGCACACCTAGAAAACCATGAAAACGACCATGATTCCAGGCCTGAAGAAAGACATGACAGTTCTGCCACAGGAAGTCTGAAGTCATTTATTCAATCAGCTAACAAAATGAAATGGTTCTTCCTGGATCCTGATGCAGAAGCTCTTGCAGCTTATGATGAAGGAATAAGCAATGACATTGAGCAGTCTTATCTGCATGGGGAAAACACACACAAACTGCCTCTTGATGAGGAGTCAGGAACTCAGTTTATCGTAAACTTCAAAACTATGGAGGAGTATCCTGAAAGTGACCAAAGTGACAAGGTAGAAATTCTGAGAAAAGAGGAAATTGACACGGGTGAGTCACTTGAAATCACAGTAGATATATACCCCGGTACTGTAAATCTTGAAATTAACGTGAGCATGAATTAAATGCGAAAACTGCGAGTGGTCTTTGCTCGCATTATTAAACATCGCATTTATATCAACAATAAGACACTTTGGATAGCAGACTGTCCAACTTAGACATTCGCTGAAAACAAACAACTATGTATTCCACATCACTGTTTATCGAGCAGCACTTGTAACAAATATGTAAACAATGTCATTCAAACACTAATTACATCCTGTGAATTGTCACTGCTGGGGTCAAGACAAGCGTTCTACTCATTTATGTTATCACTGATCACACCTGCAAGTCCAGACAGATGCCACCCACGCAACACGAGCCAGCGTGCATGTATGGTTTTAGTGGAAGACCTCTATTTGGTGTGTGATTGGATTAATGTAAGGTTGGATTAAAGGGGCACTGATCTAATGCAATTCCCCGGGACTGGTTGTTGCCTTTGTTATTGTTTTTTCCCAGTGAGTACCCGGATGTATAGCAGAAATCTAGACTAGTTCGCGACCTCTGTTGCGCCATTCTTAAGCGCATTAGTCACTTGTATGGGTAGTAATAAGGGCGTATGGTCACATTGATCAACAAAATGAAACACAGTTTGCGAGGTAATAAGGAAATGTAGGTATCTTTGTGGGTAGCATCGGTAATGGTGACGAAGTTTTGATAAGTCACTTGCTTGGTAATTTTGCGATTTTCGTTTACACTATTTTTACTTGCAACACAAAGTAAATATTTCACCTGAGCCTTGCTTTTTTTATAGTGTGAATATATTTTTACTGTCAAAATGTGTAACATTTTCAAATTTATTAAACGCCTTAATATTCAGTTATTTTACAAAGTGACTGAAAAACATTTCCATCTGTATTATTATGATAACGAATTCCAAACATTTTAATGTTTAATGTCATCACCAAGAGACTGAAAATGTTACGTTGAAAAGTACATTTCTATGTTGTTTGGCTTCTAATCCTATATAATAATCTGTTGTGATGTTTGTAGGCCCTTTTGATCGTCTTAATCAATCTGGACAGATTATTTAGTCAAAATGACTGAAATATTTACACATTTTATAAATTGCCTGAGAGCATCACATTTTACAAATTGACGGTAATATATACACGCTTACAAAGGAAAAGACCTGTGAAAACAACGTCTATCGCGCATTGAAGAATTTCCCAACCAATACGTAGAGAAACAAGGTCGAATCGGTTCAATGCTACAGCACATGAAGGAAAACAAAATGCAAATACCATAATTACAACCTACCAAATTTATGTGTAATTATGGTAATTTTGCGATTTTCGTTTACACTATTTTGACTTGCAACACAAAGTAAATATTTCACCTGAGCATTGCTTTTTTTTTATAGTGTGTATATTTTTTTACTGTCAAAATGTGTAACATTTTCAAATTTATTAAACGCCTTAATATTCAGTTATTTTACAAAGTGACTGAAAAACATTTCCATCTGTATTATTATGATAACGAATTCCAAACATTTTGATGTTTAATGTCATCACCAAGAGACTGAAAATGTTACGTTGAAAAGTACATTTCTATGTTGTTTGGCTTCTAATCCAACATAATAATCTGTTGTGATGTTGTTAAGCCCTTTTGATCGTCTTAATCAATTTTAGTCAATCTGAAGAATTTCCCAACCAAGACGTAGAGGAACAAGAACGAATCGTTTCAATGCTACAGCGAATGAAGGAAAACAAAATGCAAATATCATAATTACAACCTACCAAATTTATGTGTATAAATTTTAGGCAGCGTCCTTGTTCGAGGAATGTATCCGTGAATATCCACACAAAGGAACAATATCCCACTCGTCTCAAGGGTCGGCTGAGAAAGCCCACGTGACAACTATTTTCATAACGTCCACGGTTCCTAAAAAATCCATTGAGTGATAGATAACAATGAGCAATCAATCAACGTATTATTTGTTAATCCTTTGAACAAAGTATGTTGTTTTTACATCGACACTTCATGCCATGATATGAGTGTATTCCCTTTGTTTTAGTAAATCTAGACATGTAAACACTCACTTTTGACATATCCACTGTGCGAGATAACAGTGATTAATCAATCAACGTATTTTCTGTTAATCCTTTGATGACTAGGAACGATCCGTTGATTTACAAAAAAAGTAAATGAACTGATCATTCACCTCTTGCTGGGCTGCCATGTGCATATTACATAACACATTTCACCTCACTTCAAACCTGGATTTAGAATGACGACAAATACACAAGTGTAGGGTTATACCAGAAAACGTGGATGACAACAAGTGAGTAGTCATCGTATTATCGACGCAATACGAAATCCGAAAATGCTTTCACTGCATGGATACTTTTTTTTATTATTAAACTATAACCATCTGGGGTATTTCCAAATGACGACATACGATGAGCTCCGCCGTTCTTTTTGTCTGTTTGTTTAGGCTGAAGAAATTTAATTAACATGCGCCTTTTGTCGAAAACTTTATAGTTCACGGTTAAACTAATCAGTGTTCAAAAATGCGTAAAACAAATATTGCCTCTAGCCTCCAAGTTTATTTAGCTGTCCTTGCAGACGGTAGCCCAGTCTCTGGTCACGCTCAGTTGCGTTGCGTATCATCCGGGTAATCCCGGGGAAAAAACAATAACAAAGGCAACAACCAGTCCGGGGAATTGCGTTAGATCAGTGCCCCTTTAAGTGGTAGATAACAATGATCAATCAATCAACGTATTATCAGTTAACCCTTTGAACAAAGTATGTTGTTTTTACATCGGCACTTCACGCCATGACATGAGTGTATTCCCTTTGTTTGAGTAAACCAAGACATGTGAACACTCACTTTTGACATATCCACTGTGCAAGATAACAGTGATTAATCAATCTACGTATTTTCTGTTAATCCTTTGATGACTAGGAACGATCCGTTGATTTACAAAAAAAAGTAAATCAACTGATCATTCACCTCTTGCTGGTCTGCCACGTGCATATTACATAACACACATTTCACCTCACTTCAACCTGGATTTAGATTGAATAATTACCCCAGACACAATAAATGCCAAATGGGAACCTTTGTCAGGTAATCTAAGTGGTGCTACCACTAATTGTACCTGTAATAAATTCATTAACTGAGCATCAAGTGAATGACGACAAATACACAAGTGTAGGGTTATACCAGAAAACGTGGATGACAAGCAGGGAGTAATAATCATATTATCGACACAATCCGAAATCCGAAAATGCTTTCACTGCATGGATACTTTTTTTAGTATTAAACTATAACCATCTGGGCTATTTCACAATGACGACATCCGATGAGCTCCACCGTTCTTTTTGTCTGTTTGTTTAGGCTGAAGAAATGAATTAACATGCGCCCTTTGTCGAAATCTTTATAGATCACGGTTAACCAATCAGTGTTTGTGCAAAAATGCGTAAAACAAATATTGCCTCCATCCTCCAAGTTTATTTAGCTGTCCTTGCAGACGGTAGCCCAGTCTCTGGTCACGCTCAGTTGCGTTGCGTATCATCCGGGTACTCACGGGGGAAAAAACAATAACAAAGGCAACAACCAGTCCGGGGAATTGCGTTAGATCAGTGCCCCTTTAATGTGAGGATTCTCCTGTAAACCTCACAGGGGACATTTTCTATAGATATGAATCCACTGATGCTTGAGAGAAGGGTGGGGGGTTGCATTCATATTAAGTCACATTCAGGAGTCGCATTCTTTTGGAGACTCATTAATTTCACGATTTAAAGTATCTGTCACGTAACTAAAATGTCTCAGCTGAGATTTCATGATGAGAGTGGCTTGGTTATTCAGTTGTAAGTGCCTTCTCTTGTCTTGTCTTCTCCCGCACTTGTATTCCCAACATGGGAGGAAAACCACATGGTCACATACTGGATGAGAAGCAAAGCCAGCTGTAATATTTTTACCTCACGTTAAATAGAAGTAAAGTGTGTTTATGTTGTTTCACATTGAAAGAAATTGTTTTCCATCTTCTTCTGTTACATTTACTTCTCTCCTGAAAGCGTTAATGCCTTTGAGAATGAGATCATCCCAGCAATGGTGTCTCTACAAGGGCTCACTGGGTTCCATTCTGATTTAAGCATAACAGTCATATTTGAAAAGTCATTGTGCCAATTAAATTTGAAATTTGGGAAAACTTACACTTTCATTTTCTGAACCGTTTGCAAAGCAAACACATTTTGTTCCCTACTAAGCATGCTAAGTCAATTATTATCAGAGGCGGTCGGGTAGTCTAGTGGTTAAAGTGTTCGCTCATCACGCCGAAGACCCGGGTTAGATTCCCGACATGGGTACAGTGTGTGAAACCCATTTCTAGTGTCCCCCGCTGGGATATTGCTAAAAGCGGCGTAAAACCATACACACTAACTTAATTATCATATTGATGTTCATTTCAGTGTGCATGCAGTTCTTTTGTATTGCAATTTTTTTGTCTTAATTTACATGCTCTTGTACAGGTATTATGACCTTAATCCAGTGTTGAGCCTTATTGTATTGTTAGGTTTTCATCTGATGTATTAGCTCACCTGACTGAAAGTCTGGATGTCTGTTGTAACTTCTGTTGTTGTTTTTCCTTATTCTTGTTTATGCTTTTTTGGCCCTTCTGATCTGATAGGAATTTCAAGAAAAATGCAATTGACCAACAGAAATTGGAACTGCTTTAATGTTTTGTCTGAATTTAAAGCCGCCAGTGTTTTTTCTTTTTTCTACTGCACAAAGAATATTGACATTAGATGAACGTCAAATTACTTACACACTTTTTCCTTTGGTAAGACTGTGTGGATAAGGTCAAGGTCTGGAAGTTTTATTTTTGGGAGGAAATTCGTGGAATGTAATGATTTGGGGAATATGGTGGTGAGGGGTCTGCTTCCTGTTTTTGCTGGTACTTACTTACTAACTACTTTACATGTGTTTTGGATGTTTAGGTAATGTATCAGAAAAGGCTTTCCCAAAAACTTGGGATCCAATGGAGAGGGGCGTAAAGGTTGTGGCCCTCAAACAGACTGATGCAGCCTATAAAGGGGTTGAGGAGCACATGACGAAGTCTTGTGGAAATCTTGATGTGTCAATTGTCAAGGTAACTTTTTATGTTTTCCTGTCAATACACATAATGGGATAAAACAAATTACTTTTGAGGAATAACTGAAAAAAATAATAGATTTGATATCTCTTTATTTCAATTGAAAATCTAACAAAGTTTACGTTTAGTTTTTGATGGTGTTGATATCCTTGAATGATAAAATGTTACAATAATGTCTGTTATATCTCTAATTATGAGAAGAACCATCTGTCTGACCATGTAAAGTCTGGTCTAAATAAGAATCCCTTTACAGCTTTACAGTATGTGACATACCCTGTCATCAAAATATGCTACACTTGGCAACGACTTCATTCATAATGCTTGATAGTGCTTCTCCAATGATAATTAGGCAGCTCAAAAAAACAGAACATGGGAAGGTTCTCTGCCCAAGTGGTCAACTCAGTCCATAATCCTAGCGGGAGTTTAAAATACCCGCCTGCCCGACAGCCCAAGATGGTCTATTTTGCTGACAGTTTTGAAAGTTGGTCGGGCTATTATTGTACCCTAAAGTACCTAAGCATTCTAGTTTTAATTCTATGTAAGTTGTAAATTTACTGTAAACATTAAACACATTATTCAGTCATTTACTCATATGTTGATATCAAGTTTTTGTCCTCATTTTCTATTGGCCAAATGCTCGAAAGTATCCAGTCAGAATGCACATATTTAATGTTTTAGGCTCGTATTGTTTGTAACAGTGCATGTACTAGTATTCTATAAAAGTGTGATGCCTACAGTGTGTGTGGAGCTCTGGTTAATGATGCCAATATGGGGACGCCCCAGCAATGGGCATGTGTTCTATATAGGTGGGTTATCGGCTGTTCGGTAATTATGGATCAGAGTGTTCAGATATGGATGAAGCAGAATTGGAATTTGATGAATAAAATTTTCAATGAGTTAAACTAACTAAGTTGACATTCTATATGTTTATTATTTTCTGAGGACTAACATTAAACGGAACTATTCTTATGTTTACCCTTTTGTAAATTGTGTTAGTTTGTGTAGAAAATTGTGGACTGGCAGGTTTTTTTCTGGTCTGGTAACTTTGCAATGTTGTCTGTCAAAGTCTGGTTTGTATGACTGAAATTTTGGGGTATTTTATACACTGCCATAACAACAGACTGTGATGACACCCAATACCATCACCTGTGAATACATACAGACGCTATGTGGTGTAGTAGTGACACATTTCTATTTTTTGTCATGTGATGAAATGAACCTTATAATAACTCAAATGTCAAATGAGCCCAACATGAACTTCATGCTAACACTGCCTTTGTTGGTCATTGAGCAATGTGTAGAGGAGATAGCTGCACAAGAAATTTGCCGTGGGGACGTTTGTAATCTGAGTGCCAAGTACTTGCTGGAACCATGCTGTGAATTGATTCATTGATTGTCAGTTAAGCGACTACACCACAGTGATGGTGAAATGTAGTGTGTACAGAAGTATTGATGATTACTGTTTCAGTTTTTACCCATTCACGCTTGTGATATATGCAGCAATTACTGTGATGCAACACAATATATTTCATGGGCCTTCCAGACTGTCACAACGGTTACTAGTTCATGTCAATTCCCATTGCTGTGGGCGGCGTTGAACAACAAACAAAATCCTCCCAAAATTTAGTTTCAAACACTAAGGTTATACTTATAAGTGATATGTTTCTTGTTAATTTTGTTAGGTTGAGAGAGTACAGAATGAAGAACTATTCAGAAGATATTTGGCAAAGAAGGGAAGGAATGCGTCTTTTTGTGAAGAGAAGTTGTGGTATCACTGTAACACGACTGACTCCATCAACCTCATCAATAAACATGGCGTCAACCTCAACTTCTGCAGGAACCAACGTGGTAAACATAATCACATGACTTTCTATAACCTTTATGACCTGAAGGTCATTGCTCCCAAGAAAATATTGAACTATTGGAAAGTTGGAGTCATTCCTCTTGTCATACAGTCTTGTGGAAGGGTTTTTGTCACTCTGAATCTAATTTATGCTTGCATGTATCTATGTATGAAACAGACAAAGCAGTCGATCTCACTGGTCTCCTTTGTTTCTAGTTCATTTGTGTAAGAACCGTACACCAACCCCTTTCATATCGGAATATGCAAATAATCATTATCAATGTAACCTGTGTCTCTAACTCGAGTGCATCATGCGGCATGTTGATAGGTTTATTTTCAGAAATATGTGAGTAATTGTCTCATGACTCCTCTCTCCCCAAGTCCCTGCATACCTGTTTTAATATCAACAAACCTGGATGATTCAGCAAAAGTCATTTCAGCATTTTTGTCAGCCACTCCTATGACCATGAATGTCACAATTCGCCTGTGACAGCCATTTCTTAAAATGCGTGCTTGGCAAACTCAACACATCACCTGCTGTGTTGTTCTTCAGGGATTCCTAGGTGCAGAGCTCTGAGATATGCATTTTGAAGACGCGCTGTGCAAGTTTCACTTTGCAGCTTAGTATCTTTAAATTAATTCATGACGTAGATTAAGTTGCCTTGCCTTGGAAACTTTTTGATAAATACAGCTGGAGAAAAATCAAGGTTTTTGAGTGTGCAAAGGTAGGAGTATTTTTTTTATCACATCAGGGCATAAATTTACATAGCAGCGGGGAAAATTGAGATATGAAAACTTATCATTTCACAATGGAATGACAATTCAGACCCAGACTCATTAAAATCAGATGTTAATTCCCGCTATCGCTAAACAAAGATCTGGTGGACATCCCATTACAGGTCACGTTAGAATGACCTTTCATCCGACCAATCAAAGCATCGCTTACCAGATCATGAAAGTGACAGTCAGAATGTGTTTTCTAATCAAGCAACCTCGAAAACATTAACACTGTGTATTCCCAACGACAGTTCAACCGTACGACTGTTTCCGTCAAAACTTATCGTCTATCACTCGCTTCCGAGGGATAAACATTTGAACGGAGGAGGCATTGCACAGTACGTTGGAATCACTGCCATACAATCGCAACCATATATTAGACATTCCGGAATGTTCGTTTGTTCAGTTTTCAAAATTTTAATCGAGAACTGTGTCAATCATATTTTACAAGCATAGTCTGAAATGGAAGTTGTCAGGTTGAAACGAATGCCGTAAAGCTCGAGAAAACTGCTTTCTAATTGGCTGATGTCAACTTCTTGTTACTCATTTCAGTGGTCAGTCAAAGGTCGCGAAAGGTAGTTCTGACGTGACTCGAAATGGGATGTCCTCAGATCTTTGTTTTAGCGGCAGTGAGAACTTAGATGTGATTTTAATGAGATTGATTCAGACCAGCCTGGAGATGGGAAACATAGAAAACAATACGGATAACCTAACCCTCATGATGATAATCACTTGAATTCTGGATCCTGTAGTCGAGTTCCAGCACATCAGTGAATATTGTTGGTTGTGATGACAAATGCAAACAGTCGTGATGCCATAGATTCAATGTGCATTTTGCCCCAGAATATCGTTGTATGATAGAGTAGATTTATTTCAAATTTGTTTGATAATCTTGTGTTTATTTCTGAAGGCAAATATTTCCACCACTTTTCGGTTTGAAGCTTTTGTGCAAATAATAAAGTACTTCTTATCAACTCATGCTTTTGTGTACAAGGAAAAATAAAAGGACAGGGATTTTTTTATAGAGGAGGAGGCCTTGAATGGTTATCCCAAAATTTTCTTCTACTTCTACTTAATTATTGATTGATTTTTTGTTGTTTAACTCAACAATATTCCAGCTATATGACCAGCTAGACCAGACAATCCAGTGATTGATATCATGAGCATTGACCCACGGAAATGGGATCGGTGACATGCATCAACCAGGTCAGCAAGCCTGACCACCCGATCTCGTTAGTCGCCTTTTACGACAAGCATTGTCGCTTTTTACGGCAAAAATTGGTTACCAAGGACTTAATCTACCCCAGGTCTTCACGGGTCTCCATTTAATTAAAACATCACACAGAGCTTATCAATGCATTTTGAGTTCTTTTTGGCAGAAAGGACATCAGGTATATGGGATAACCACACTTTTCTGCTCACGCTGTCACCTTTCACTTTCAGAGCCCCTTGGTGAAGGCATCTACTTCACTGCCTTTGACCCCATCACCAAAACACAAACCGATGGATCTCAGTATGCCTATCTCTGCCGTGTGCTGGTTGGTAAGAATGCCAAAGGTGTACCTGGCCTTCGAGATCCCACTTCCCAACCAGCCGATGACAGTTCCTTCTATCACTCAGTGGTTGATGATGTTGGGAAACCATCTACATACGTGGTCTTCAGTGATGCCCAAGTGTACCCAGAGTATCTTGTAACATACAAAATCAACCAGGAATAGGAACTGTTTGTCTACATCAGTATAGCTGAGACAACACATGATTCAGTCATGTGAACTTTTGTTATGACCACTCCATTACTAGATTTAAGTATTGTGCTCTGTATAGAATGAACACTGTGTTATTTGTTTATTTGTTGTGGTCTTCTAAGTTGAAATATTGAATTTTGCTACAGTTAATGCATGAATATACAGAGCTTTTATTAGAACATATGCATTTTCTATTACATGGTTGAGTTTTATTACTATTAGGGCTACCAGGCAAAGTATCTGGAAATAACATTAAAATCATCAGATTGATGATGATGATGATGATGATGATGATGATGATGATGATGATATTTTCACAAACCGTCATTAAACTTGTCTCCAAGACCTTATAGAATAACTCAACTCAGTCCAGAATGATTTGGCAAGTTTTAATTGCCTCAACTCTAGGAAATTAAGCATTGTTCTGGGCTCCATTTGGATTTTACATTTATTTGTATATATATATTTTTAAATAAGATAACTTTATTTCTGGGACTATAGTGTAGTCTAGGCTTCCTCCTCCTACTAGGAAGAGATGACTTGCAACAGGGACAACCCAACATCAGCTTCTGTAAATACATGTAACGCTCCAATATGTTTACTGTGTCCTTGTGTCTCTGTCATTTCACAACAGTAGCACTGAGGCTGTTGTTCTTGTAAGAATATATGGGTAGTGAGACAACTGATATGTTTGTTTCACAGCTGTGCATTGCATGTACTCATGCACTGATCATGAATGTTCTTTTCCCTCCCATTCTTCACACATGCCAGTTCTCAGCAACAACTTCCCTGACAGTGAAAATGAGGAATGACTAAAACAGTTGCTGCAGAAGTTTTGTTGTGTTTGTTTATTGTTTAAAGCCGCACTCGGCAGTATTCCAGCTATATGACGGCGGTCTGTAAATAATCGAGTCTTGACCAGACAATCCAGTGATTAATATCATGAGCATCGATCCACGGAATTGGGATTGATGACATGCACCAACCAAGTCAGCGAGCCTGACCACCCTATCCCGTTAGTCGCCTCTTAAGACAAGCATAGTCACCTTTTACGACAAGGATGAGTTGCTGAAGACCTATTCTACCCCGGATCTTCATGTTGCTGAAGAGGGTAAACCTAATCAGTGTTATCAATTCAATATATTTGTCCTATGGTTGTATATTGTGTATTTTACAAACAATAATAGTTGTTCATATTGGAAGACATTTGACTATTTTGTGTATTATCCATGGGTGTTCATGTGCCTGAAGATACCGGTACTAAAGAATTAGTACAAATAATCTCCCATTCTCTTTGTACCATAAGAAACCTCCCCAGGCAGGATACAAAAATATTTGAAAAATCTGTGAAATCGGATTTTGTGTTGGGTGTTTATTACATTTGACAGGATATATGCAAAGTGAAAATATTATCAGTAGTAGGGAGGCCTTTCTGGAAACAAGCATGCACATATCATTGTTTTCTACAAAATTGGAGGTGTAGACATAAGAACCGATGTGTACCAGTACTCTGTGTAAATTTAAATAAAATGCAAAAACATATTGAAATAAAGAGTAATAACTTCACAGACAACTGTAGACAACATTACAAAATCGGCGGCATCGTTCAGCGCAATAATGCAACACAAGCCCCGCCCATTCTATTTTCAGCCTATCAGGAAACAGTTGTCAGTTATTCTTATTTGGAAACATGCATGTAATAATAATAATTGCTTGGTTAGCCAAGCAAATTCCTTGCAAATGTTTAACTTGTAATGTATTTTTTTATGTATTGAGTTTGTAATGTATGAAATGTATCTACATTTGGAGAATTTGGTAGTTTTGCCCAGGTTAAGAGTGAGTGAGCAAGGTTTAACGCCACTTCTATGTCAGCTTAATGAGGGAGGAAAGCGCGAAATGATGCAGGTCTTAGATGTCTACCACTTTGGTGAAACCCACAGGCACAGGTATGGTGCTGACAAACCTACAAACATAATTGTGGAGAATTCTGGCGTGCCTAAGGGATGCAACTCTGCACAGCGAATTGTGGTGCTTTAAACAACTGAGCAACCTGTGTGCTACATTAGTCTAAATTAGTGGGGTCAGTTTCACTATACGCTTGTAGAGATTATTTAATCCACTTAGTTGAATGCAATAAGTTCAGCGATAGAGTTGTATTTTTTATTCTCCAGTATATATGTTTGATGTGATGTTGTATTTATTATCCCCTGGTGTATTGCGCCTGTTTTTGAAACATTGATTAAATTTGAAGCAATATACATGTAGGACTCAGATCTATGGCGGGACTGTAATCCGTGGCAGATTCTCAGATCCGTGGCTGATTCTCATTGTTATTATTATGACGTCATGTTTGCAATGATATCTTATCCATGAATGGAAAATCAGTTCAATTGTTACATGATGTCATACTTGAGATGATGTCATGACTCCTTGCCTGTGATGATGTCAAGTAAGTTAATATCTTACTGATAGACAAAGTGATCAGTCTAAAATGATGGAGCCGGACACCACAGAAAATTATTTTAATGATAAGGTTTTCTTATGGGAGATTCATGTCGACAGAGGAAGAGACCAGTATTGAAATACAATAAAGCCAAATCATTTTCAAACGATTTTTTAAAAATCCAAGAAGATCCTCGTGTAATGGCTCAGAACCCTGAAGTGGGGAAGCGTGAAAATATTCAGGATTTTGTTAACAATGGCTTATCAAACAATGGTGAGGAAGCTGTCAGAAAATTATTTCTACGATGAACTTTGGGCAGTGTTTTTAAGAAAAGTACCTGTATGCAAAACCCTGCACCGACAATGCTGTTCCAAAGATGGAATGATAAAAATAATGCAGAGATATCACAACGTTGATCAACAAAAGTCTGTCGCTATATACAAATCTATAAGACACTAGTGCTATAGAAATTGCCGATTAATGATACATATTATAGGATAATATGCCAAAGATCTGAGTATGCGTCACTATCTGCCCCATATGTGGAATCTGCCATGGATCTGAGAATCCACCCTGGATGAGAGTCCCGCCATAGATCAGAGTCCTACATATATCCATGTAATACTAATATATTTATTCACTCCTAGTGTTGGCAGTTGCTGTTTTTAGCTCGCATGCAATTTTGTCCAAAAACCCGATGGTAAATGACCAAGTGGTGGAAACACGAAAACATTAATACACCAGAAACACAAGTGTCGAAACTTGTGGTGCCACTTAGTTCAAATGTGTGTCTGTTAATCCAGCAGGAACTGGGTACCTGATATGTGAGGTGGATGTAAAAACCCTGTAGCTTCTATAGGCAGCTTGTGTTTTATACTCCCCAGGGAGTTGAGAATGATAACTGGAATGCATACGGATACACTGGTTAGGGAACAAATAAACTTCATTTAAGCAGATTCTAGTATCTGGATAAGTGCAGTACATAATGTTTTGTATGATATAATATAATATGATAATAATAATTTTAAACATGGCTGCATGTGTCATTTTTTTTATCACTTCAAGCAAGGTTAGGTCTTGGCTTGTTAACCTTAAAACATGTTTCAAATATTCCAGATAAATTCATCTAACATATAGAGCATTGTGGCTCTATTTGGCTACACCTTGTGAAAAGTTGTGTCCCTTGGGCACGCCAGAAACCTATGTTTGTGGGTTCGAATCCCGGTTCGCCTCGTTTATGTTTCCAGGTTTGTCAGCACCTTACCCGTGCTCGTGGGTTTCACCGAAGTGGTAAACATCTGAGACTGGCATCACTTGGGGCTTTCCTCCCACATTAAGCTGACACGCCGTGATATAATTGGAATAATGTTAAAAGTGGCGTTAAACCCAACTCACTCACTCACTCACTGTTTTGCTACATTTCAATCTTATTCTATGTATAATCCAGAAGTTGTTGCAGGGTGATTCCCCCTACTAAGTGAAGAATGTGTTACACTGTAGATAATGCAACAAAAAAAGAAAAAGAAAAAATAGAGAGCTTTTTCCAAAAGGTGTTGTGAATAAAAGGAAATATTATTAGTTGTATGAATTCATTGCATCAATGTGAACCCACTTCTTTCATTGGGTCACGGGTTCAGTCATGGAGAAAGACCATGTGCAACAGGGCATCTTCTGTTTTTGCATGTGATACTAACGGGTTGAGGTTTTCATCAAGACATTTTAGGGAGAAGAGGTGGCAGAGTTAGGTCCCTTTGATGACAAGATAAAATGTTTGATAATAGTTTGAATACCAGATTTCTCACTGTTATGACTGTATGATATGCCTGCAATTTATGATTTTATTTTTATGAAAAATGAATGTATAATACTGATAGATGATACTAATGTTCTGTTTTTGATGAGGATGGGGATAAGCCCAACAGGATATTCAATTTGTCTGCTATCATTATGAAGCATGAGGAATTTACAGAAAATATCCCTATAATATATATTGTCATACATTATATAGTGTATTAGTTTGATTTAGTTTGCATCAGACAAAGGATCAAATCAATCAGGATAAATCTTCTTAAATGTTTTTACGACATTGTAACTACAGTGAACGCTTTTAATGAACACGCATATATTATGAACTGACGGATATGACAAAAATGGGTTTTTTTGGCACGCCATTTGCTGTATATGTATATGCTGTATACATGCTTATAACGAACTACGGTTATAACGAACTACGGTTATAGCGAACTACGGTTATAACGAACTACGGTTATAACGAACTAAAATTAGTGGTTCCTTTGAGTTCATTATAACCGTAGTTTACTGTAGTGAAAAATTATAACCAAAAATTAGTGGTTCCTTTGAGTTCATTATAACCGTAGTTTACTGTACTGACAAATTATAACCAAAAATTAGTGGTTCCTTTGAGTTGATTATAACTGTAGTTTACTGTACTGACAAATTATAACAAAAAATTAGTGGTTCCTTTGAGTTTGTTATAACCGTAGTTTACTGTACTGACAAATTATAACCAAAAATTAGTGGTTCCTTTGAGTTCATTATAACTGTAGTTTACTGTACTGACAAATTATAACAAAAAATTAGTGGTTCCTTTGAGTTTGTTATAACCGTAGTTTACTGTACTGACAAATTATAACAAATGATTGCTGTAGTGTCGTTGCTTCAGATTATTTGGCACTACATTGTTCTCTTATTCTTGAGGTGGAGGTATTCCGGTGGTTGAACATAGTTCTAACATTGGTTTTTAGCTCACATTGGCATCGTGAGCTCATGTCACGATTTTGTCTACATCCAGCCCTCTGTCCATCCATTCGTTTCTAAAAAATGTCCGTGGTTAAAAAAGTAATCTTTTATTTTCCAAAACATCCAACTGGCAACCACAGTACATTTTAGTGAATAATCCAGCCTTTTACATCCAAAACCATTGAACTTTTTGAAGACGTTGATGTATGGATTTCAAATAATGTATGTTTTCAATGGGAGGTCTAGGTACAGATGCTACTCTAGCACCTGATCAACAACAACATTGTTATGTCAAACATGGGTGACAGGGGTGAATTCTTGGATATGTTGATTCAATCCTTCTAAATGAAATAAAGTTTTCATTTTGAAAAAATCAAAATGAGTACCTTGGGAGTTGTCTGAAATATGATGTGAGTTTTTATTCTTAACACAATAATCTGTAAAAGTGATGTTTAAGGCATATAATTGGTGGACATCGATGGTCTCTTCAGATACTCTGTGATATGCTGCATGATTTGTTGTACAAAGGCGCACTCTAAAATAAAACGTTGATTGGAATCTTTGAAAGAGCATGGTGATGTATAGTTTTCAAAATGAGCCCAAGTTATGAATGATTCAATACTAAAGCTATGACTTGAACTAAGGTCTTGAACATTTCTTCATTATTGAAAGCTTTCATGTACAGGAAAGGCAGTTAATGAAATCCATCAGCCATGCATGAGAATGTGTGGAGAGAATCATCCAGTACAGCTCATCTGAGCCAAAATTGTAAGTCATACAAGGTGACCTTTTGCACCTATGGTTCTTATTTTTAACATAATATTCTTTCTTCAAGCCAAATATTTGGCCATTTGAATTCTGATACAGCTTCTTGATTCTGTGTATGTAAGACTTGATATCCAATCAATAAAGATATTCCAATCTTCCTGTCTTTGTGTATATGTGGAGCCCTGATATAGAAATAACATATGATATCACAGTTTGCATCATATATGTTACTGAATGGGAAATGTTTGTTTGTTTTTTGTTTAACACCGCACTCAGCAATATTCCAGCTTTATGATGGCGGTCTGCAATCGAGTCTGGACCAGACAATCCAGTGATTGACATCATGAGCATCGATCAACGCAATTGGGATCAATGACATGCATCAACCAAGTCAGCGAGCCTGACCACCAGATCCCGTTAGTCGCCTCTTACGACAAGCATAGTCGCCTTTTATGGCAAAAGCATGGGTTGCTGAAGACGTATTCTACCCCGGATCTTCGCCGGTCGTGTATACATGTGAGTGCATGTACATAGGTGGCATCATGCTTCGTTATTCAGTGGAGAATAGCCCCGTTATGTTATGATTAATAATACACTGGAGGACAACATGAAGTAAGTGCACACTTCGTAGTCTCACGGACCTACTTAATGAGGTCCGTGGTAGTCTCATTGGTGTTCCAACTCAACAAATACTGAAAACTGACGTCATGCAGCGTAAAAGCAAAAACCGGTATAAAACAATCTCTTTCTAAAAAACAGAATTAATTCATTTTGTATAAGAAATACACAATGCGAAAACATGCATTTATCTCCTGAAGAGAAAAGCGGTGGAAATATTTCAAGCCACAACCAACACTAATGTTAGGTTTGGTAACATCAAACATTGTTAACGGAAGATCCCGTTGTCATGGCGACAGAAAAGCACACAGACATATTACTTGGCACTGCTGATCTGCCCTGGGCCCTACTTTTAATGTCACGACAAGGTATGACACACATGAAGAAGTCACGGCTTTAACGAGGACGCGCGAGGCGCTCTTGATGTTGCATAACGTTTGAAAGAAAAACAACAGAAAATTAATGTTCATATTGAACCACGATAAAAGTGTTTGAGCAAATAGAATTGTTCCAAGAACGCATGGTACCGATAGACACGGGTCCATTTATTCATGTAACCAACCTGCTGATAAACCCCAGTAACCACCAACCATATGATAGTCATGCGCAGACGCAAGTGCATCCATGTTCTTTGACCACAAAATATGTACAATAGCCATGCACAGACGCAAGTGCATCCATGTTCTTTGACTACAGAATATGTACAATAGTCAAGCACAGACGCAAGTGCATCCATGTTCTTTGACCACAGAATATGTACAACAGTCATGCACAGACGCAAGTGCATCCACGTTCTCTGACCACAGAATATGTACAACAGTCATGCGCAGACGCAAGTGCATCCATGTTCTTTGGCCACAAAATATGTACAATAGCCATGCACAGACGCAAGTGCATCCATGTTCTTTGACTACAGAATATGTACAATAGTCAAGCACAGACGCAAGTGCATCCATGTTCTCTGACCACAGAATATGTACAATAGTCATGCACAGACGCAAGTGCATCCACGTTCTTTGACTACAGAATATGTACAACAGTCATGCACAGACGCAAGTGCATCCACGTTCTTTGACTACAGAATATGTACAATAGTCATGCACAGATGCAAGTACATCCATGTTCTTTTACCACAGAATATACATGTACACCTCCCATGTATTGTACAATAACAATGAAATATATATATTGCTTGATGTGACAAGGCCGCCCGTCTACTTGAGGGATGACATCAGCTTTCCCTTTTTGTAGAGCAATATTCCTGCAGTTCCAGCCCTTGGTGTCTACATTTCACAACGTTTGAGGTACAATCGAGTATGCTCTTCCTACCAAGATTTTAAAGAGCGTCATTCGTCTCTTGAAAGTTATTTGATTTGGGTTGCAGCGTTCAATGCCACAATATGCCATTATGCCTCCATATAATTTATACATGAAAAATAGTTGTCTTTTTTCACAGCATGTACCATTTTTAAGGCACAATTATGCTATATTATTTTATGGCTCTGAAGTATTGGAAGCTAATAAGTATTATGCGGAAATTGAAATAGTTCACACTTCATATTTTAAATGTTTTCTTGTTGTTGTTTACTTCAAAACAAGGCAATCCTTGGTGCAAGAGGCTGTCGTAATATTTTGTAACTAGCCAATTAAAGTACACAACGTACTGTTCGTTGAGATAGGGAGAAGACAAATCCCGGTGGGTATATATGCTGAGGCGATGCACGGCAAACAAGATCAAATAATTAGAGAAGTTTTTTCGGAAGAAAAATGAATTAGCCTTTGTGTTTGCAGTCATTACGAACTATAGGCTTTTTCAGTGGGTCGTATTGGTACTGTTGACATAGTTTTGAATAACTTTACTAGGTATACTGCGACTGCATCATTGCGTAGATCGATGTTCATGATGTCCATCACTGGATTGTCTGGTCCAGATTTGATAATTTACAGAACGCCGTCTTATAGCTTGAATATTGCTGAGAGCTGCGTTGAACAAAACATAAACAAAAGTAATATGTAATATCCTAATATTACAAAACTAAAAGGGGTTTCAGGAAACAGTTGTCTGTTGGGGGGATTTGAGTAATGTTTGTTCGGTTTAATGAAACACACACTGAAACAAATGCGTAGTTAGCCAATGAAATGCCTCAGAATCATTGACAATTTAGTGATGTCAATTTGTCCACGGCTGTCATGATTTGAAAATGTACAAATAATACAAATGTAAGTAATTATATTTACATGCACATTTATTGTGATGGTGAGATCATGTAAGCCATTGTTGTAAGATTGAAACAACTGTAGCTCAACTGATCATATTTCTCAAGCTGTACTACCACGCGTATATTACAAAATATGTAACCCAACCCTACAATTACAGTCCACCGTGACATGATGAGGAGAAAATGTCAAATTGGAACCACTCATTGCTATATACCCAAGCCACGTTATCCACACACACACACACACACACACACACACACACACACACACACATGGATCAAAGCAGAGAAGAAGGTATATGGTCTCTGATCAAAGGCAGAAAGAAACAGTGTTTATGTAACGACTGTCGTGACAGTCGACATGTGTTTGTTGTGCGTTGCGTTTGTCTGTGTGGTGTTCCCACTTATCACACCTGTGATGTAAACATGAACTGTGAATGACGACACACACAGGTATCTGGTCTGGCCTCAGACACATACATAAACGTGGGACGGTCACTGGACAACTAGAAATAGCGTGTTTTCATTGGTGCACAAAACCGAAAGCGAAAATAAGATTCTGCGAGAAAAGGCTTTGAGGCTAATTCCAAGAACAATAAACACTGGTTGTGAGATACACTTCAGGAAAATATAGCTCTGTGGTAAGAGTTGTGTATATTATAAACTAAATTAATATTTTAATTGATATACTTATTAGAAAATAATCTGGCATTGTGAAATGTAGACATAAATACCTACGTGGACCTGGGCCTCACAGCGATCATTCAACAGTTACCCTGTAGAGTGACGGCCTCTTCGTGTGGGGCAGTTGGCAGCACGCGGTCTTGTGCACAGCACAAATGTCACAAATCAGGTGAAGTTAAGCACCATTGGCCGTGGATGGGTGACCTGATAGGCAGCTTGACTCCTGAGAGTTTCTTAAACTTCGGTCCTGTCCCACACTGAAGCACATGTAACACATGTGGTGTCTCCTTGTGCAAGTGACTTTGTTCGAAATGTGCCTCTGTTCACGCAGTAGTGAATGGGTACCTGGTAGGATGGGATGACAATGTGAGGTAATAATGTCTAAGTGCTTAGAGCGTGCTTATGCATGGAGTACAACGCCACATAAATGCACTATATTATTATTATCAGTGCTAGAACATCTCGGCGAAATCATATCATGCATGTCTCCTTTATAACCTGGGAAAGGTTATCATACATTGAAGTCAAGGGCCAAGGTCGTCCTCAAGGTCATAGCCTGAACGAACCTTAGTAAATGAAACTTGGTACATGTGTTCGTTAGGGAGGTGCAGAGATCGGAAAGGGTAAAAGTGTCTCAGTGAAGGGTATTCGTTAAGCACGTTTGTCATTTTCACTAAAATGCATATTTCTGCAGATAAGTCTTATGCACGTAGTCGTTATTTTATTTGAATACATGTGTATGAAAGATGGGGGCAGGTCACGGTGACCTACTTTCAATGACTGGCATATAATGTATTTTAGATTTTACATTGAAATCCTACTTTAGAAATGTCCTGGGTGTTCCTTTGAAATACTTGCAGTTAATGTAAACAGCCCGCTTCACTCTATAGGTTCTTCACTCACGTACTGAAGTAGGGTGAAAGTTGGTAAAGATCTTCCTCAGAGTGGTAAGGTTTTAAGCGACCCTCATTGAAGGTCACTGGAATGCTCGTTCTTAGGGGGGCGGTCGGGTAGCCTAGTGGTTAAAGCGTTCGCTCGTCACGCCGAAGACCCGGGTTCGATTCTTGACATGGCTACAATGTGTGAAGCCTATTTCAGTCACTCGTTCTTAGGGTTCGTAGATTAGGCGCTTATATCTACTTCTTTGTGTACTGAGTTTACTCCTGTGTTTGTCTAACATGTTTGAAAAGAGCTTATCAACGTTTTCAACTGGAAATGATCAAGCTTAATATATGATTGGCTGAAATGGAGGGTCATTGTCATCAGAATCATTCTTATTAAGCTATCTGGCTTGCTATTTAAAAGTTGGTTTGGACATGTGTTTTATGAAACCGAAACTGAAACCATTAAACGAGGTGTGCATGTAATTTTATTATTAATGTAGCTACAGGTGTGGGACTTTCTGTTCTAAAATTGCGTTACATTTTCCCAAACCGGGCGTGATGTCTTGGATGTGAAGTGATGTCATTCCTGTGAAGGTGCCTTTAGGTTATGCTTTGGTCATTAGTGAGTGAGTGAGTATGGTTTTACGCCGCCTTTAGCAATATTTCAGCAATATCACGGCGGAGGACACCAGAAATGGGCTTCACACATTGTACCCATGTGGGGAATCGAACCCGGGTCTTCGGCGTGACGAGCGAACGCTTTAACCTCTAGGCTACCCCACCGCCCCGCTTTGGTCATTACGTTAGCTAGTATAATATTATAAAGGCAATGGCAGTATATTGGTATGAGGGTGTAGAAGGCACGCATTGCTCCAACTGAAGGAAAGGTATCCCACTGTAAATGCATGGTGGTGAGAATGATTTGGGGGAACTTCTAGAAAAGGCGTTGGGGGGACTCCTTCTGTTTTCGCAAATGGTTGCAAACATGTTTCTAGCTCCGGTTATTAAGAGTCATTGTTGAAATTTAGTTTCTTGTTTCAACTTGACTACAACTAATATGTTTTATGTGATCATACGCACATACTCACTTAAACGCTTTCCTCTAACCTTTATGACTCTTGCTTCTTTTTAGGGAAATACTACTATTTCTGGTCATGAGTGGTAAGGAATCAATGGACCTCAAAGGACATCGTGGAGATGGTAGAGGACAAGCATATCCTAACCTGCATGGGGAATTGGACTCTAATCCCCCAATTCCACAGCCATGCACTGTCCATCCATCTCCTGGCCATCAACAGTGGTGCTATTGTGGCAATATACCCCCACACATCCATCCTGGTGGTATCGTATATGTGCCATATCCCAACATGCCTCCTACAAACAGTCAACCAATATCTACCCACCCTACTCTTGATGGACAACACCCAGTGCCACAGTTCTGCTATTGTGGCAATATACCCCCACACATCCATCCTGGTGGTATCGTATATGTGCCATATCCCAACATGCCTCCTACAAACAGTCAACCAATATCTACCCACCCTACTCATGATGGACAACACCCAGTGCCACAGTTCTGCTATTGTGGCAATATACCTCCACACATCCATCCTTGTGGTATCGAATATGTGTCATATCCTAACAATAGCATGTCCCCTGAAGACAGTCAACCAAGACCTGCCCACCCAACTCATGATGGACAACACCAAGCATCAACTGAAGATAAGGGACATCATCGAGCTGATAGAAGCCAAATGGATCACAACATTGAAGCACCGTTGCAGCCTAATCCTCAAGTGCCCCAACCAGTTTATGCCTATCTTCCTCGTGAACAACATCCAGTGCCACAGTTCTGCTATTGTGACAATGTACCTCCACACATCCATCCTTGTGGTATTGAATATGTGTCATATCCTAACAATAGCATGCCCCCCACAGACAGTCAATCAAGACCTGCCCAGCCAACTCATGATGGACAAGATCCAGCATCAGTGGAAGATAAACGACATGGTGGAGCTGATGGAAGCCAGCTGCACCCAAACAAACAAGACCAGTTGCATCCTGATCTTCCAGTGCCACAACCAGGGTATGTCTTTCCCCACAGTGGACATCCTCCAGTGCCCAAACCAGGGTATGTCTTTCAAGGCAGTGGACATCCTCCAGTGCCCCAACCAGGGTATGTCTTTCATCGCAGTGGACATCCTCCAGTGCCCCAACCAGGGTATGTCTTTCCCCACAGTGGTCATCTACCAATGCCACAACCAGGGTATGGCTTTCCCCACAGTGGACCCCTTCCAGTGCCACAACCAGGGTATGGCTTTCCCCACAGTGGACCCCTTCCAGTGCCACAACCAGGGTATGGCTTTCCCCACAGTAGACAAGATCCAGCATCAGTGGAAGATAAAGAACATGATGGAGCGGGTAGAAGCCAACTGCACCCAAACATACAAGAACAGTTGCATCTTAATCCTCCAGTGCCACAACCAGGGTATGTCCTTCCCCACAGTGGACTCCTTCCAGTGCCCCAACCAGGGTATGTCTTTCCCCACAGTGGACACCATCCAGTGCCCCAACCAGGGTATGTCTATCTTCCTCATGGTGGACAACATCCAGTGCCACAGTTCTGCTATTGTGACAATGCACTCCCACACATCCATCCTCATGGTATCGAATATGTGTCATATCCTAACAATAGTATGCCCTCGACAGACAGTTAACCAAGATCTAGCACATCCCTCAATACTAGGTTGATCCAGAGCTGCAGAGCAAACTGTTCACCGCTTCACTCCACCACACCCCGTTCCCCACACTGGCAACCATGGTAGCGGAAACTCTATTGCCCACAGCCCGCATCAGAGGTGACAAACAACCTTCCCACCCAGCACATGCCCACACTACTGCCCCAAACAGCAACATGCCCACACTACAACACAGCAGCATGCCCACACTACAACACAGCAGCATGCCCACACTTCAACACAGCAGCATGCACACACTACAACACAGCAGCATGCCCACACTACAACACAGCCCAACACATCACTTAGTTTCAAAGACCATGCACTCCACTATCCCAAGTCATTATGATGGGCAAACTTGACATGGCCGTTAGAATCCACATACAGGGCACACTTCCTGCCATGGTGACCCACTGCAATCCCAAGTAATGGCTCTATCTCAATGTTATGGACATTCTTCAACACCAGCTCAACATGGCGCCCAGAAATCCACAGACAGGGCGCACCTTTTATCAGCAAATGAGGACTCTGCAAGGTATACTAAACCCCTTGAGTCTTGAGACAGGACCTCCTGAGACGGATTATCTACCAAATTAGAGTCGGTGGCTCTTTAATTGTTGCAACAGACTTGTGCTGCAAGATCAGGGCACTCCTCAACAACTCAGAGAGCGAGAGCCACAACCCTCCATAGAAGAGTCTGGACCTCCCCTGGTGCATCATCGTAGTCAGGATTCCAAAGACTGCCTTGTTGGAACAGCAGATGTTTTTAACGACCCTCCGCTAATGCTCGTCCTAATTTTGGGCCACCCACCCTGAAAAGTCCAAATGCAAAAGTACTTTAAACCTTATTATGAAATATCCATTTTTCAAGAGCCTCCCCAAATATCTGTATTATTTTTTATGACCCTCCCCAAGAGACTGTCATATTTTGGTGACTTTCTTCACAGACGCACGCACGCACGAACGCACGCACGCACACACACACACACACACTCCCCCTCCCAATCCTATAGTAAGTGAGTAGTCCTTAAACTTCACGTGCTTGTTCCTTCCAGTGTTGAAATCGGAATTTGTTCAAGAGGTTCGAAACAGCATTGGGAAGTTGTCAATAGATCCGCTTGGACTATATATAAGTTGCGTCATTTTCTATAATAGTAGACTTCGCTGGAGGTTGAATGTCAGTAAATATGTGTTAGTTAACTGTGGAAAGTTACCTGATAATTGAAAACGCGAGTCGTGTACAACGACATCTCGGTAACCGAGATATGACGCGGAGCCTTTGAACATGAGAGGAAAATACTATTTCGTTCCCTCGAAATTGTTTCGTTCACAGGAATTATCAACAGTTGCCACTGTACAAGAGGGAAGCAGGTTGGTGTAATGTCTACAACATGGCGAAATCTTGTGAACGTGAACTGTTGTTTTTTTATAGCTTTGAACATTAAAATCATTATGTAATCTTCTATCCTCGGTGATTTATGACTATGTCCTGAAAGAAACATTAGTAATTAGAACTTTACTTTACGTACGTATTGCTATATGTTCCAAGTGTAAAGGTCACGTATATTTTTCGCCAGAAGATGTATAACTATTACCAAGGAAATAAATTATACCTGTTACAGTTATGAATCATGCAGTTCCTCGTGTTTATGAATCATGGCTCCCATGAATCCACCATTACACCAAGTCTATGAATCACTAAGGACATAGACCATGATAAGTGAATCTACATTTGAAACACAGATGACTGTTTCCGATGATATTCTACTGATTGGTGCGAAGTACGGTTAACACCTGGATTCCTGACGCGTTGGAATCCAAGATGTGAGATGATAATTCTACATACACATTTGAGCACAACTGTTTTCACAATTTATTATTTTTCGATACACATCAGCTATTACATCTGTTCACTAAGTCACATGTATATTAAATGGCGACGTCGCAAGTCGAGAGTTGCATTGCCACACATGCCACACACTTCACATAAGGATATGCTCCCATTTAAACAGAAATGACAGTAGACCCGCGAAGATCCGGGTTAGAATATAAAGGTCCTCTGCAACCCATGCTTGCCGTAAAAGGCGATTAACGAGATCGGGTGGTCAGGCTCGCTGACTTGGTTAATGCATGTCATCGTATCCCAATTGCGTAGATCGATGCCCTTGGGATCAATCACTGAATTATCTCGTCCAGACTCAATTATTTACAGACCGTCGTCATATAGCTGGAATATTGCTGAGTGCGGCGTTAAACAACAAACAAATAAGATATGCCAGTAGGCACAGGCAAGTGTTGTCATATACACCTAATAGCCTGCGGGCAGTGGACAGTGACGTTTGTGCGGATTGCAATGAAACCCAACTCCAAACACATATAGAATGTGATCATGCCTATTATACTATTGTTACATATGCTTACATTAATGTCTATACACACGTCTACCCAAAATTGAATGCTCAGTTCTTATTTTCTTAGTTGAAACTATTACCTGTGGTTATATTAGTAAGTGTCTTATTTTAATATCATGTATATATATATTTTTCATATTTTGTTCTAATCAACTGTGCAATATTAATTACCCTTGAGGCGAAAAAAGGCTTATTTCATATTATCTCTTATTTAGTTCTTGAACTGAGTACCTTTGTGTGAATTAAGTCTGCAAATGAGTCTTGAAATGGAATTATAATTATGTTTATCAAAATAACGTCCATACACCTTTAGCAGTTCTGGGACACCACGCACGTGCAAATGTTTACAAATGCGTACACATAAAAACATACCAAGAAAACATACACATTAATGGATAGGGGCGGTGGTGTAGTCTAGTGGTTAAAGCGTTGGCTCGTCACGCCGAAGACCCGGGTTCGATTCCCCAAATGGGTACAATGTGTGTCCCCCTCCGTGACTTTACTGTAATATTGCTAAAAGCGGCGTAAAACCATACTCACTCACTCACACCCCCTCGATATTTAGCCCATGGGTTTAATAACGGAAAAATAAAACGCTTTTAAGCCCACGAGCTTAAATTAAATTGAATAATTGATTGATCTTTCATATTGGATATTCTTCAACATGTGTTGCAGCACGCTTCTGTTGCACCACTTTGCACCAATATTGCACCTTAAACGCCGTTGCAGGTTTCCACATTTACAAGGCACATTGGACCCTTAATGCAGATGATATTCTGGATATTCAGTGTGACATTTTAAACGCTTTGATAAACACGCATAACTGCGATATTGGTTTGTTGCTACTTTTTGACAGCTGTCATTTCAATTTTGAACGTGTTCTTGACTCATAATTTTCTTGTGGAAAAAGAAAATTATTTTTTATGTTTAAAAGCTGCCCTCTCATTCCATTTGTGAGTACCGGTATTGTTTCATTACACGTGGGGTATTAATCCTTCCTATCATGTTCTTGTCCTTTTTCGTTTGTAAGCCGTGAGCTTAAATGTGCATAAAATGTTATTCAACTGAAATAGGCAAAATTCGTAATTAAACTTCTTACGGAGTAGGTACAATGCAAACATACTGGAACAGCAAATGCAGAACATTAATGAATGAGAAAAAACACATGTGTAGGATAAATGTGGATAAATGTGGATAAAATGCTTTTCAACTGAAATAGGCAAAATTCGTAATTAAGCCCAGGGCTTAAAAACGTGCAGTATTAAACATATTATAAACAAAATATTAATTCAGTTAACAGCACTGGAATTAAAAAAGAAAATACCGGAATGTACGACTTATTGCAAATGCAATTTATGGATTATTAATATGTGAGAAAGCCTTGTCAAGTCTAGAATCTGCTTCACCACGATGAGAGTGCTTTCCCTTCACTGATATCGACCAATCAGTGCCACGCACGTCCCAGCGCATGTCAGACTTTTCCTGCCGGTAACGGAACTATCCACGACCACAGGTGGAGAAGACAGCAAAACAGTTACATTTAGCTTACAAGTCATTTGCACCGTCCCATCACAAACATGCAGTTTGACATCAGGCGGTGAGTATCCTTTCTTATTATCTGCATTGCAAGTATTGTTGTCACGTGGCATGCAGCCAATCCTCACAGCTGGAAAATAATATGATGTTGGCCAGCTGTCAAAACATTGCACGTGGACATACCGTTATACCATAGCACAATGCAGCATTGACCGATGTTCATTTACAGTTATGTCAGAGTTTGCGGGACAGTGCTTTTACTGTTTGAGTGCAGTGTTGTTGCAGTGTGTGCGATCTTTTGAATATAGGCCCACACTGAATTAGTACTGTACTGTGTACAAACAACATTGCAACTGGGTTGGGAATAGAACGAGATATCACCTTGAATGTTAGCCTAGTCGAAGTATAATACCCAAAACGGAATATCTTTGATACCGCTTTGCCGTATAAAATGATGTAAATCATGATGAAGAATGGAACACCCTATGGATGACAGCTACATTATGACTTCGTTGAGAGGCATTTAGAAGTTGGAGTGCAAAGAAGGGATAAGATATAGGGATGAACAACTTCTTTATTAAAATGTTAAGGTGTAGGTTCTAACACTGTTATCAAGCTAGTGATATACAGAGTATGGTTGACAAGTACATCACTTGCTTCATAACGGTGTTAGAACCTACACTGAAACGTTGCTCCTAATTGTAATGAAGAAGTTGTTCATCCCTATGTCTTATCCTTACTTAACTACTTTATTGTTTCGAGGGTGGTTGCCCCATCATCAGGTGAATAATTCCTAAATTGTATTGCCAATCAAAAACTTCATTACTGACATTAGGCCTGGCATCGACATGAATATTACTCATTCCCACCATGCGTAAACCGTCTCCATCACACTTGGTTACACACGTATTGAAAATCATGTGCAAGCAAAAGATTCTATTTAGACATGTTAGAATTAAATGTTTCCTCAAAGTATTGACGGCTCAAAGTGTTGAATACATATATCTATGAAGACAGGGTAAAAGAATAATAAAAGATATCTGCACTTACAGATAGCCTCAGATATCATGGATATGTTCCATTAAACATATTGCACATTATTGTATGTTTATGCAAATAATTCATATTTGCACTGAAAATAGTGAAAAAAGCAAGACAAATGTGTGGGAGTATGTGTTTATTTGTCACTTGTTTCTTACATTGACACTACACCATAACCTCAGCAACCCAACCCAAGGTAACTGAGATAGATATCCCAATGTGGCTTAACATGGGTTATATATCATATATGTATATGACTACAGCAAATATGGTAAATGGTTTTCTGAAACACAAGTCTGGTAGAAACCAATAGTAACTATTGCGGCTATTTTCACTGTTGCGATGGTTGTCACCGTTGCGATAGTGTTAAACCATGTATAAGTTTAATGCTTGATAATTATATTAATCAATGTAATAGATATGAAAAAAATATTGACTGTCAATTCAAAGTCGGCCATTTTCCTCGCTGTCGCAAACTCAAACCAAAGTGAAGTACTCTAATCTGTTCACGTAGTTGTAATCCTTACTAACCAACACACAGGCAGCAGAGCTCCAGATAACTTTTCGAGCAATTGAGTTTTTACACTATGGTTTCTATTTTAATTGGGTTATTACATTTTTCATTGGGTAACCAATATTTTTTCACTCATCTATTTATCAGTCTATTAGGTTTTTCCCAAAATTAGTGAACATTTTAAGATTTGAAAAAATGAAGAAATGTTTTTGATGTATATAACTGTTCTAGATATATAGGTTTGACTTGGAAAGCTCGTAATTGTGTTTTGGAAATTAGTTCCTTTGTATGCATGTGAAAAAAAGCTTCATTGGGTATTTATGTGTACTGTTTTTATAATTTGAGTTTTTCATTTAATGCGTGCGTTTCTGTACGCAAGTTAATTGAAAGAAATTGAGTTTTGAATATTTTTTTGGTATTTTATGCAAATACGCTGCTTATCTGTAGCTCTGAGGCAGGTTTGAAATTCGCATAATTTCAGTATTTTAGACCCAAGACTTCTCTTGCAAAATATTTCAGTGAATTGCAATGCTGACATTATAAATATATGATATGATAAGAAATTGCATATGCAAGCATATTGGCCTAAAGCTCAAGTCACCATGGTTGCTAAACAGGCAAAGGAAATGACTGTGTCTGTCTCTTTGATTGATGTTAAAGTAACAGAGTAACCTGTCTTCTATATTCTCCAGCAGTATCTTACATCAACCTCCACCGTAGGCCCTGGGGCTTAAGAATGATACAGATGTGTGATAACAGGACATTCACGGAGAGGTGATACCACAAGCTAGTCGTGCTTGATTGGTTTTATGGCAAGTTATGTACGGTTATTTGAACTGTTGATGGTTATTGTCCCAGCAGGTTGTACTGGTGACATTTACTGGAAGCTATTCACTGACGTGGGTAATGCTTTCATTAGGAGTACATTTCTCACCACTGTTTCATGAATTTCATCGGTTATGTTGATGACGTGGATCTCAGCACCTACCGCTTTCACAAGTATATTGTGTAGACACAGTTACCAAGCTGTTGATAACACAGGCTTATTGTTTTATGCTATGAAACTAAGGATGGAAACCATTTTAAGTGGTTTGTGGAGGAATTTTGCTTTTCTTTTCATTATACTTACTAAACCATGTAAACTGTTTAGTTGTTGTTACCCTGACTGGCACTCGACATTAAGGGTCTAAAACAAGGATTGGTTGGCGCGGAGTCAGTGTACTGTGTCTGAGTGGGGTATTCATGTTAAACTGCGGCATGGTATCTCAATGGGCTACGCCATAAAATTGGCATTTGTCAGGACTAGTACAAGCAGCCACACACATGCACATGCATTCACGTCGCTATACAAGTGCAATATTCCTGAAATCGACGTTAAACCCCATTTTACCTCCCCTTGTGGTGTTGAAAAGGTCTGTAATAGAATAGTTACCATGTTTGTAAAGACCTATAAAAGTAAAGATAATGTTTCTCATGAATTATTTTCAAAATGACATACCGGTAGTCACCTTTTGTATTTTTCAGTCAGTGAACAGACTCTTCTGACAGCGAAGACATTCTTGACCTTTGTAATCGAAATAAGATTTTTTTTTTAAAGCAAACATTATTTATCACCTTTAAAAAGCCACTGGTCACAGGACATGACCCATCGCTTAACACTGACAATAAAAAAGATTGACGTTTCATCATGTGTTCATGTGCTCTTGAGTATTCATACAAGAGACAAACCAGTCTTGGACTGACAAGCAGACACTTTTTTGTAAACTGACCAATTTCTTTAGCCATAATGGGCGATCTTTTTGTTCCAAAGGGCAATAACTCTCCTTTTGAAATGATATAAGCGACGGTCCAAACTGTCGCTTCCGGTCTGGTTCCCGGATCTATGCGCGCTGCGCCAACTACTGACATGTAGAGACGGAGCCAAGCTAAAGAGTTATCCTGTTGCACCTTCGTTCAAAAACGGTCGTTTACAACTGAATATTTTTAACTAGCACATATTTTGTAGTGATTATTAGTTTATATTATCAACATTTGTTGAGTCTTCAACTACAAGACGAATTGTCACTATGGAAGATAGCGGGAAAAACGTCATGAAAAACGGTATATTGCCACGGTATTTTCTACGTCAGAAAACAGCCAGGCATTCTGTCAGTCTGGGCTAACATATTGCATCGATGAAATAATGCAAACTCATTTTATTTATCAGCCTTTGTGTTATTTCCCACAACAATTCAAGCATTCAAATCTCAACAAATACTACCATGGACTTCAATTTAATAAAATCAGTGATATGCCTACATTTGCAACACACAGACATCTTTGACAGGGTTTACCAATGATCTATATATAGTAAGTATACATCCGTGCCTTTACAAATATTTTAAGAAGAAATAACATTCAAAATAATAAAACAACTGATTTTAAATGTTACTTTTTATATCAAAAATAAAAGTTGCATCTGAATATTTAAATTTATATTATTTTTTAGAAATAGGCCAAATGAAAATCTACCATGCATCTATTAAGCACTCAGTTACTCAGTTGCAATATACATACTAGTCATCATACTTTGAAAAAAGAGATTTACCCATATTATTCTGCCCCTTATAACATGTGTCTCACCATTAAGTGCTCTGAGTCATCACAGGTGTTAAATCATTGATCAATAATTTCTTACAGAATTCTGATACTCATGCTCTTCAAATAGTAGTAAATTACAGAGATTTGTCCCAACAAACAACAAATCATACTGACTACCCCACAAAATGTGTATGATGCATAAAAAAATGGAAATCATAGTTTTATCTTCTTGTTTTAGTAACATTATATTTATTTTAATGTTGACAAATTATTTCCCATACATACCAACACACTATCCTGATGTATCTAGGTATCCTGATTTTCATTCAACAATATTTCAAGACACCTGTAATATAAAGTATATTTTGTAGATATTATTATCATATAGCAAATATGAATTTAGAAAGTTTATCATCAAATCTTCTGATGGTTAAATAAATGCAAATTGAACCCCACAATCATTCCATGTAGATAAATGGATTTATTTATGTTATTTGTTTTTGCATACAACAGATAATACTTACATATGTTACAGTCAGTGTCTATAAACAGGTCCAATATGTATATTGACTGAAAATTTTAGTTAATGTGCATATTGACTGATTCACTCAGGCAAGGTATATTTTTTCTTAAATTTTCATTAATTTATTATTGCCTGAAAAATAGGACCGGATTTTAGACAGACTGGCTGAAATGAATTAGACTGCATAATTTAATCTCCTCTATTTAATTTGGATCTATTTTGATCTATCAAGATCAAAGTAACTTATGCAAGAAATTAAAAATGTTTTCACAATGAATTGAATCCTTGAGTTCTTTTTTTATGTTACTTATCTTTATTAGCATAATATTCAGTTCAGAAACAGATGACTGCTGAAAAGTCATGCATGTGTAATCAAAGACTAGTACACATGCACAAGTATGCC